CAGTGCGTAGTCGAATCGAATGATGCAGTCGGAGATACCAAGCCGGCTGAATGCGTCGACCGGGGGTCTGCAGGACTTGAACGAGGCAAGGTGTTCGTCAGGTCTTGCCGGCCACGGGGATATGTGTGATGAAGATTGTTAGTACCTAAAAATGGCAAAGTAGCTGCCTGAATCAGGATGAAATGACAAGCATACGAGCGAGACGGACGGGCGCACCACGGAGGTTCCGCGGCGCGAAGCGCTAGCTGACGCCACCGAGTCCGTCATTCTTTGAGATCTTCTTTGAGCTCAAAGTGGGACTCTTTGTCGGCGAAGCGCGAATATTATTCAGTTTTTTTCGTGACCAGAAGGCTAGAAGAAAGTATTTGATGTGTGCCGGAATTCGTCTACTGCCAAGATGATGACTGAAGCTTGAAAGTTGGCTTTGATGCTGACTGTAGCCGTGCTGAAAAGTCACCCTTTCTTCATGGCTTTGACGGAGTTTTGTGCATCTAGCTCGCCTAGAGACGTATAGTATGGTCCGCATCGCACGCTGGGTCTGCATTTTCTGGCATTTGGAAGTTTTCCAATGGTTTGCGATTATTCTGCTTGGAATGTTTGGCAAATTGAAGTTCTCACGTCAACAGATACTAGCCCCAGAGACTTCAAATAAACACTTAATTACTGGCGATACAAAACCCTCCAATTGATAAGACAGATATGTGTATGGTGGTTTGTCGATGCTTGCGTGTGTTAGAGAGCAAGTATGTATTCGCAGACGACATGGACTCTACGCTTCCAGCCCCCTATCACTTTAGCTTTTAGCAAAATGACTAGACCACCCAGCAATTACCGAGATATGTTCCATAAGGGCGAGTAAATCAAAATTTCGGTGTCAAGTCCACTTGTGATACCGACCCCGGAATTGGCGGAGCGTAGCAAGTCGGCGCCGACGTTGTTGCAGTTTCGCGGCGGTGTTATCCCCTGTTTCAGAATTTCGTGGCGATGCCGACATGGTGGCCATCGGCTGCGAGAGGTAACTTCCAAGAAACAAGGTAGTCTATATTTTCAAGCCGGTCGAAGACATCATACGCGTCCTAAGGATGGCGGAGTGCCGGAACTGTGCCGAACCGGTCGCCAATTGAACAATCACCGCCATTTGTTCACTTTCTCGACTTTGGTGAGCCGATATCTACACACGACTTAATGGACGGAATCTTCTTGATTGTTTCCATGAGATCATGGCCAACGAGCTTATGACGCGAATAGACCGTACTATTGGGCTACTCAATTGATACGCAAAGAAACCATTTGAGTTGGCCAGATACCGGTAGAAATGTTGTGAAACAGGTCAAATCATTTAAGTAATTGTACAGAGCGCTCTTAGGATCACACATATTCTGCTAGACATCCATTAAGTCGATAAAAACATCCCAATCCAGAGCTCTTCACTTCCGTCACTTGTCGACGAAAGTCAACTCGGAAGCTAATAATGCTGCAGCCTACGGAACAAACTAATCTAGAATCATGCTTCTGTTCGCACGATACTTTCGAGATAGCTGGTTCCATCTCATCTGATGTCTAAGTTATTCCGAGGGACAAGCAACCACTTCGGTCGGCCTTCAGATTACGCCGATGGCCTCCATGAAGTGATCACATGCGCATCACCAACTGTGCAGCCAGCTACGACAACTTGGATTCATATCTTACGCTCTTACAATGAAATTTCCTTCGAAGATGAGTTAAACACACTGTTTGAAACAAATATTGCCGGAAAGGCTGAACTTCGAACTGTACACGGCAAAACCAATCCCGTCAGTCCGAAAAAGTAACAACGACTAGGCAATTATCAGCGAATTTTGGAGCACTCTAGTTGTATTCCTACACCTATCCTAAATGGCTCGTTGCCTAGTCTTCATATCTATGATTGATACTCTATCTTTGCCTCGTGATAGTTCTCGACGAAACGCTTTTTGTGGTGAACCCGGACGAGAAGTGGCCACCCTTCCGCTAGGAATGTCGTCTTACGCGCTTTGCTAAACAGTGAATAAGGAGAAGGGAAATTGCGACAGAGGCAAGCCGCGAGAATAGAGACGGAAAATAGTGCGTGGAAACCGCATAAACATCATAATCTTAGTGGTTCCGCAAGCACTGATACGCTGAAATCTGGTGAAGAGTTCGCGGGATGTGGGGGTTCGCGTTCATGAAGTTGGAAAACAAGTTGAGTTATGAGATCTGAGAGCGACAGTTGCCGACTAGGCTCTTGCGTTGGTCTTGAAAGAATGAAAGGGCGGACTTCAGCCAGGGCAAACTGTCCGCTTTTGCGCCTTTGCGCTTTGGCGTTTCTCGGCCCGCTAGCCTGCTAAGCAGACTAGACTTGCGATGCTCCTTCCACGCATGCGATAGATTGAACCGAACTACTGGGTTTTCAAGGGTCGAGCCTGTTATTATTTTACTGTCGTGAGACTTCCCCCAGTTAAATTGTCCACTAACGACATGATTTAGGGTTTGGGGAGCATCAGATGAACGAGCCTGACAAGCACTGTTTATCATGCAAGACACCTTGTGAGTTGCCGGAGTAACCCAGCTCGGAAAACTTGCTTTGACCATTTTCTGTACTGCAAGGTCGGCACGCCGCCGGCGCAGAGGTTTGGACCAGAGAAATGGCTGAAACCTGCTGCTATGTAAGACGCTTAGCGAGAAATCCATCAGCGAGTTTAAAGTTAAGCTGAACCCCTCTTATCCACACGACTCCATGCATTTAGGAGTATTTCATTCTTATCAGGTGGAAACAATGGAGCGCCAAGACTGTCTCCTCCCTATTTGTCTCTCGGTGCTGGTCATCTGTCATATAGGGTCATTCAAGCTATTCTGGGTTGGAGTTCGAAGACTTACGTAGGTGCCATCAAAGCGTTTAGCCAAATAGAAGCCAGTGAAGCTTCAAACAGTGACGTATGTTTTGCTCACTGTTTCTGAGCATGAGATCCCCAAGCGCTGACCGGGACGGGTCGATTACTGAGCTGCGTATGAATTAGCTCACCTTTGATACAGAGGCTGTCTCTGGAAGATTATGTGCGAAAATAATGGCGTCGGAACGACCTCGTTCCCGAACGGCCAAGCCCGTCCAAGAGGAATAGCCTCGACCAAAATGATGACAACTGTAGACGTCGTAGAATTATTCCAATGCTACGGTAGGCGGTTCTCGTCTACCAGAATGCAACCCTCTCTCTCAAGCCCTGCCATTTTTGAGAGAGAGGGTTGCATGCAGGAAGGAGATCTTCCCGGGAAGTGGCCCCCGAACGAGCACAGCGGGGTGAGCGATATTGGGTGCCACAAGTCCCGAAGGTAGTGTTGGTCCAAATTCGTAGCTGTCATGCTGCCGACGGTCCATCGGCTTGTCTACACTGCGCTACACGACTGTGTCTATTTACTGCGTACTTGTTCGTAACACTTGAGCGTCTTCTCATATGTCTTTCCACTATTGGTGTTCTGTGGGACCGAGGTTTCCGAAAAGAATCATGTAAATACCGTGTGAGAGGAAAGCGCCTTTTCAGCTAACTTCAAGATGGAGATGGTTCGACATAGCCTCCTGCAATGCCGTTTGAAAAGACAAGCAGAGCGCTGGCCTCCGCACCGGGAGCCGCGCGCTACGGCTTCGTGATCGACACCGGAAATCCAATTTGTCAAAAACGCATCGAGTTGCGATGAGATTTGCTCAACGCTCGTGGTTTGTTTTGAACGTGTTGCCTGCCGGCGCGCTCTTTTGACACCATTGCAGTTCCATCAAAGAAGTCAAACCCCAATTCCATGTTCTTCGTGTACCTTATCCAATGTACAGAACCCAGCGAACCAGACAAATGTCGAAGTTTCCAGCCTGTCCGTAGCATGGTGCCAAACAAGCAGGTTGTCAGAGGGGCCGAGGACCAACTGCAGCCGCACCGGCCGGCAGGGTGCCGACTTGGGGAGAAAATCGTGGAGGAGCAGGATGCAGGAAGCAACCGGGATTAAGTGGGGGGTTCCTTGTCAATGAGTCGCGGACCCGGGGTACTTGGGATGCCGCACTCTTTTTCAGGGACGTTTTTCGGCGATGGGACGAAATCTGGCTATCGGCGATGATCCTCGATCGCCATGTGTCACTGCAGATGAGGGTGCACGATGATTCCGTACTATGCAGTAACACTCTACATGTCTTGGCCACGGGAACTCAAAAGACTATTCGCGGCAACTTGGAGCTCAGCTGGACAGTTTGTCAGCATCTTAGCGGGTGAGTTATCGCGGGGCGAAGCTCTTCCTCTTGGCTAACGCGCCGTTTCAACCAGCATGAACCTAAATGATTCAATATCCTTGCCTTTCGGCAAATCGTTCCCAGTCGACTGCAGGCGCAATCTCCGGGCGACCATTCCCAGAAACCGGCTTACAATCCACTTGGCTTGTCAACCACGTGTGGCAGTTACAGTTGTCTTCGCTGACCGAGCCATCGCTAACACAGCATTGCGCCACCCCAAGACCTTCTGAACTGCCAATACCAAGCTTCGGCTGATGTTCGTAAGGGACTTTCACCCGTCCGATTGCAGGTTCCTCCTTGCCTTCCTTGCGGGTCTCCGTGCTACCCAATATGTCGTTCTTACCCGTTCTGTTGGCATCGTCGCACTATGTCACGTAATTCTCTCAGTACCAATATGTCGGCGTCCCAGGCCTACAGCGCGCTGTTGTCTCGCTTGTCGTGCTTCCCACCCCCTGACTCTGGTGGAGAAGAAAGCTGACAGTCGGCAAGTAGGAGCGGCAGCATCAACAAGACAGGCAGGTAGGTCGGCTGCAAGCGCGCATGTAGTTTATTATCAGATGGTCCAGTCCCATCTTCAGGGGCAGGACCAGATCGTATACATATCGGGTCGTCCCGAGTCGATACACATCTGCAACTCTTTGCGTCTCTACTCACTCGTTGTCGTACCCCTGTACATACGCACAAACATTCATTCTTTTTTGTCTTTTAAGAGTTGAATCGGCAGAAAACAGTCACCATGGCATTCGTCGTGAAGATGGCTGTAGCTGTGGCAGCAATGCCGCTCTACGGAGCGCTTGCTCGTCCGTCCTCTCCTTGTATTAAGCGCGCAAACGAGTCCAACCTGCTGCCGAGTTATGATTATATCGTCGTTGGAGCCGGTGCGAGTGGTTTGACGGTTGCCAACCGACTTTCCGAGGATTCGAGTACGTCATTCTGGAAAATGTGGCTGAATTGCACCAACTGACTCGAAACAGATGTGTCCGTTCTGATCATCGAGGCCGGCGAACTGTTAGTTGAACATAATTCGTATCTTAACAGCGATACTGACAGTCAGCCTACAGTGACGCGGGAGAAGATTTTGTGAAGATTCCGGGTCTGGCAGGAGGCGCTATTGGAACGAAGTATGACTGGAACACGACTTACATCGCCAACGATGCGCTCGGAGGCCGTACCGTTTCTATTCCCCAAGGAAGGGTTGTTGGAGGCTCAACGAAACTCAACCGAATGGTCTTCGACAGAGGTTCCAAATCCGACTATGACCGCTGGGAGGCGCTTGGAAACACTGGCTGGAACTGGGACTCTCTTCTGCCGTATTTCAAGAAGGTGTGCCAACTTAACCGACAACGCGATTGACCGGAGGGGATGGCTAACTTGGCTAGAATGAAATCTTCACCCCTCCCAAGGCAGACATTGTCTCCGAATGGGGTGTCGAGGTTGACGACTCTGCTCACGGCAAGGACGGTTTGATGCAAGTCACGTACTCTCCATTCTTCTGGCCCACTACCAGTACGTTATTGCTGAGAGAAACTGTTTGCGGTTATTTTGGAAGCTTACAATATTACAGAGTACATGATTGATGCCGTTAAGGAGCTCGGCATCACTGTTGCCAAGGATCAAGCCAATGGAAGCCCCATCGGTGGTTACTTCTGCCCTCACAACCAGGACCCCACGACAAACACTCGTTCTTCCGCCAGAGAGGCTTACTACGACAACTTCACCACCAGAAAGAACCTGCACCTTCTTACCGGACAACAGGTTACCAAGGTTTTGACTACTGGTTCTGGCGACTCAGTCACTGCGACCGGCGTGGAGGTATGACTCCTGTCTTGCCTGACGGGGCTCTCTGAGACTAACGGATTCGCAGTTCGCCGCCAGCAAGGGTGCCAATGTCCAGACTGCCACCGCTAGCAAGGAGGTCATTCTTGCTGCTGGTTCCTTCCACACCCCTCAAATCCTCCAGGTTTCTGGTATCGGTGACTCTGCCCTCCACCAGAGCATTGGTGTTTCCACTGTTGTCGATCTCCCTGCTGTCGGCCAGAACTTGCATGATCATGTTCTTCTGACTGTAGTTAACACCAGTAGGACTTCCCTTCCAATCGTGCGTGCGTACAAAGAGCCGGCGAAGCTAACATGATGATTTAGTCAACACGACTCTGCCCGTGAGCAGCCTCCTGACGAGCAATGAGACCTTCGCCGCCGCCGCCCGAGCCGAGTACGACAGCCAGCACACTGGTCCCTTCGCATCCCCCACCGGCGACTTTTTGGCTTTCCTCCCTCTGTCCACCTACTCCCAGGCTGGCCAGTCTCTGAACACCCAGGCCACCTCTCAGGACGGCACGACCTTCCTTCCTACTGGTACTCCGGCCGAGGTTGTGAAGGGTTACCAGGCCCAGCAGAAGGTGCTCAATGAGCGTCTTCTGGCCACTGACTCCGCCCTTCTTGAGGTTATCTGGTCCGACGGTGCCATGGTGCTTGGTCTTCAGCACCCTTACTCTCGTGGCAGTGTGAAGGCCTCCTCCAGCAGCACATTCGACGCCCCCGTCGCCGACGCCGGCTTCCTCCGCAACCCTCTGGACGTCTCCCTTTTGACCGAGGGCGTTAAGTTCACTCGTACCCTCACTGCCACCTCCGCCATCAAGCAGCTGTCTCCCGTCGAGGTCGTTCCCGGTGTCAACGTTACCAGCGATGAGGCCATTGGCGACTTCATTCGTCAGCAGGCTTCAACTCTGTACCACCCTGTCGGCACCTGCAAGATGGGCGCCAAGGAGGAGGGCGGTGTCGTGGATGGAAACCTGAAGGTCTACGGCGTCAAGGGTCTGCGTGTTGTCGATGCCTCTATCATGCCTTTGGTTCCTGCCACCCACATCATGACAACTGTTTACGCTGTCGCTGAGAGAGTAAGTTGCGCTCCAGTGTTCTCTAGTATTGAATCCCACTAACAGTGACTCCTTTGCAGGCTGCCGATATCATCCGTGGCAAGACTTCTGCCTGAGTATCTTCGATGAGACTCGACGAAGCTACGTGATGGAGCGCGTTCGTGCACCAATTCTTTTCTGGTCATACTTCAGGGATAGAAAGTACATATCAATTCGCCCTCACCTCGGCAACAAATGCATTGTATTGAAAGCGTCGACAGCTGGTAGTAAAGATTTTCGGTGACTGAACATCCGTGTGGTACCCGATATGAACCATTTGATTCTGGTGAAAATATGCCGTAGTAGTTCTCTTCACGCACCCTGTTGATCATCGGCGATGGCTTCGTGAACACGATCTCACCATGATAACTCAAGACACCAACTGGTATGGAGTTTCTCAGAATGGTAATATGCATGCTTCAAATATGTGCGCTGCATGAACTTGGGCACATTGTCTCGAGCGAAAGCCTCCCTTTGACGCAAAGAGAATAACAAGATTCAAGACACTTTTCCCAATGGCAAAGTACCTCGAGCCTAACGCCGTACTCGGGCGCAGTGCATGTTCTCCAATCAGGAATTTTTCACTTATATTTCCAGTGGTGCTTGTGTCTCGCTTGATATATAGAAGGCTGGGTAGACACCGTTGCCTGCGTGGCTCACTGCGCGCCTCTCACTTGGGGGCTGTCCGAGGCACCAGCTGAAATGCAAGACATCAGACACCCGTCTTCCCCTCCGTTTAAGCTTGGGTATCCTGGATTCCATGCAAAGGCGGCAAGGTTCATCTTCCCCGCACCGGACTAACATCCGCACATCTCCAAGAAGAATGACGTCCAAGACAATTGATCCCAGGGCTGCTCGGACATGTAAGATCAGACCATTGTGCAATTAAATCCCCGACCAGGAATTTGTTCTTCATGAACGTGAGAAGTTGTAGAGGTGGTCGACTTGGAGAGAGGATCTCATTACATTGACAGATTTTAATAGAAAGCCGCCAGGGGCGCGCATCGCTCAACGTCTTCTTGCGCAAGCCATTTTGGTCACGAGCACAGAGCAGCCTTCCTCGGACCACCGTATTGAAAATTCACCACCTCAAACTTTGAGATACTCCGCATCGCGGGTGCACATTTTGCCATCATGCTCAAAGTTCTGTTTTCTTTCGCGGTTCTAGCGTTGTGCGCCGTTGCCAGGACCGAGCATGACCTTCCGCAGCTGAAGCTTCCGTGGGGTACTTGGGAAGCTGCCCGATTTCCAGGAGACGAGGATGTGAGCAAAGAAAAACATTATATGTGTTTGACCTGTGATATCTAATCAGTTCATACAGATATACGTGTTTAGAAACGTGCGCTTTGGCGCAAAGCCAGAACGCTTCGGCGCTCCATCATTCCCCGACTGGGAAGACGACAGCATTCAAGACAGCAGAGGCGGCCGGAGTTGCATCCAGATCAACCCGAACGGACTCAAAAATCCACCTGGTGGGAGAAATCTGATTTACGAAGAACCCGACACCAGCATCATCGAGGATGAAGACTGCCTCTTCCTTGATATCTACGTACCAGTCAAAGCTTTTGACAAGGATTCCACGCGCCTCCCCGTCGTCGTTTGGCTCTATGGTGGTGCGTACGCCTTCGGCAGCAAGGATCAATTCAGTCCTCTTTACACAGGCCAGTCTCTTCTTGAGGCGTCAAGATATGGTACCATTTTCATCACTGGCAACTATCGTCTAGGTGCATTCGGATGGCTCGCAGGCTCCTACATGGAGGACAGCGGGCTGCCGAATGCCGCTCTTTATGACCAGGCCCTCCTTTTTGAGTGGGTTCAGGAATACATTGATCAAGTTCAAGGCGACCGATACAGCGTCAGCGCCTGGGGCGAGTCGGCCGGGGCTGGTTCTATCATGCATCATTTGATCCGGGAAGACGGCGAGAAAGACCCCAACTTCAACACGTTCCTAGTCCAGAGCCCCGCATTTGAGTGGCAATGGGATAACTCCAAAGACGGGGCGCTCGATAAGGCCTACCGGATGTTCTCTGAACTGGCTGGCTGCGGAGACAAGTACGACATTGACTGCTTGCGCAACGCCAGATCGGCCAAATTGATTGAAGCAAATCAGCAGTTCTTTGGCAAGGTCAAGCAGACTGGCATGGCACCTGTCGGGCCTTCTGTTGATGGCAAATGGATAAGGACTCTACCGACAATCGCGTTTTCTCGAGGTATGTCTCTGTGATCATACTCCATCACTTTTTGTAGGAGAGAAGACTCTAATTTGACAAAATAGGTAACTATTGGGATAACATCTGGTCCACTGTCGTCTCTCACTGCGCCAACGAGGCCCAGTCATTCATACCCGCAGGCATGGACTCACAGGCAAAGTTCAACTCTTACCTGGCCATGATGTTCCCCGGGGAGAAACTTTCGCACATTAGAGATCAGATACGTCAACAGTACAAATGCTCGGCTTTTCATCATGACAACTACACCACATGTTTGAAGGAGGTGATTCAGGATTCTACTTTCACCTGCAACACCCGAGACCTTTACGATGCCTACTCCGACAGGTCATATATGATGGAGTATGCATACCCTTTCAGAGTTCTGGCTTACCATGCCAGCGACTTGATCCCTCTCTTCTCAAACAACGTCCAGCAAGTTGTGGGCCTCCTCTCCAAGTTTTTGAGGAGCAGATTGCTGGCCAAGATCTACGCCAAAGTACTTGAGGGCCTGGTAGCGACGCGGTACAAGGCATATCTCGCATCCTTTGCTATGAATGGAGACCCGAATAACCTACCAAGAACTACGCGACTATACTGGCCTGTGGCGGATGGTAACCACGATAGGCTGCGAAGTGTCCTCCAAGTCCGCGCCCCGGGGTTTCTCCACTCGGCGTTCCGTCTGACATCCGATGACCAGAATTCGAGGAATAGATGCGAGTTCTGGAACGATATCGCTCAGCAAATCGTAGGACTGAAAGACGGCAAGGTTACTGTTGAGAACGAAGAGCAGCTGGTGATTCATAAGCTCCCTTCAATATTTGAGGAGCTCTGAGGATGATGTCCACCGAGTCGCCCTTCATGGATTTTGCATGATGATAAGCTTTGCTGAGTGGGAAGGTAGACATCAATTTGACTTATTTTGCTGTTCGTCACTCGCCTGGAGAATTTCTCCAGGTTTCTCTGTGGTTATCAGAGGTCGTTCTCATAGCAGCTAAACCTTCCCTGTGGGAACACCGATACCGACAACTCTAAGTACGTTTCTAACATCAGCTACCTCAAGAGTTGTAGCTCAATGCATTATGTGAGAGTCCGTTGTTGGCAACTTCCTTTACATCATGTCATGCTTATACAGAGAATGTTGCTTCGGGGCCAACAGGACTTTTCAGCCGCTTCGCACCTTTTGCCAATCGAATTTATATTCGTTACTCGTCACCGCGAATACTGCCTCTGTGCACGAGAGATGAACCATGACCACCAATATATCCGACAGCAATTCCAATAGAAAGAAAAATCATTGCCGCAAAAACTTGTAATAAATAGTGGCTTTTATGCCGGTTTTTTGGATCTGAAGCCCTGGGGTCAGCAAAGAATTTGAAACACGGTATCATGATCCGGGTACATACTGCTCATCGTAATGACGACTCCCTTTCTCTTAAGTGCTCTGACGATACAATCATACAATTTCTGGTCTGTATCGAGGCTGACACCTATTCCGTCCTGGGGCAGAATATGCATGTATGTCAAACTTCGAGTTCTCGCCCGCGGGTGTGGAAGTCCCAAGTTGATGGTTGCCAGTTCCAATGGTGTAATACCGAAACCACATTGCCGGTTCACATCTGCCCCGGCCTCAATCAACATCTCTAGTGCCCTAAGCTCCCCTAAGTCGACGGCATATATAACAGCACTGATACCAAGGCAATCTTCGCATTCGAGAGCAAGGCCGGCATCTAATAGCTGTTTAAGGTAAGGTTTCCTATTCTTCGTTGCATCTACCACCTCCGAGCCGCACCTTTGGCCGTGGTCTGTTTTGGCGGGTTGTCCATCCCTCCGACCATACCCATACTCTAGGAGGGGCGCGATTACAGGAGGAAGATGTGCTTCCCATCCCATTGCGGCGTACAAAGCGTTGTGACTCTCGTGATTCGGCTGTCTCAGTAGCCACGGCAGTACCCAAAGTTCTGGGTCTGGGGAAGATCTCTGGATGCCGGGAATAGGCTTTCGTTGAGTGATGAAAGCCCAGCGCTCGAGCAAATCCTCCAAAACCGAGGCACAAAGATTGGTGCTCTTAGATACCCATTCCACCTGCTCCAAGCTAGCTCCTGCCTGAGCAAGAGCCATAACCACTTCCAGGTTTCCTTTTCTGGCCGCATGACGAATGTATGTTTTGCCATCCGACATCTCCGTTTCGTTGACGTCAATGCCACATTTGAGGAAGGGCTCAATCATGTCTACGGTACCAAAAGAGCACATTGTTCTCAGAAAAGTGACTCTGTCAAGGCTGGACGCACTCTTTACCCATGATGCTTGCTTTTGAGGATCCAGCTCGGGCAGATGTTCGATGCGGGGACGGATACTAGATGAGATCCCGATAGGTGTTCGTATCCCTTGAAACTCAGCTTCGAGCTTGCTCTTAAAGGAAGGGATTGATCGTGCTAAAGACGCCACGAGCCACAGGTCTGTCGGGCGAAGATTCTGAAGCATGTCGAGGTCGATGAACTTATACAGAACCTCATCGAAGTAATCGAATCCTTGAGGCATCTGGAACATCAGAAGACATGATGACTGTCCAACTTTGTCGCAAATGGAGAGATCGGCACCATTCTCTATGAGAATACTTGCCATCGGCTGCATCCTCTCATAAGATTTGCTGCTTTCTAGCATGAATTGACAACACTGCATGAGTGGAGTTCTAAGTATACGTTAGTGAGCCATTCCTATCGTAATGCGCCCGGTGATTCGTCTTCTTCGTAAGCGTCATACTTTCCACTTTGATTCAGAAAGTCCACGTCAAATGCTTTAGTTGAGCCTAGAATGATTCGGCAAAGCCCAAGCATGTCAATGCCCATGCCGTGTCTGACAACAATCTCCTGGTTGCTTGTCAATATCGCCGTTTTCTTTCATCTCTTCTGAATACTTACATGAAGAAGGGAATTTCCTGAGGGAGCAAGAATATCGGTTGGGTGGGCTCGCCCTTCCGTAAACATCTCAAGAATGGCCGAAAGATTCCCAGCATTTAGGTGTCGGCGAAGATCTGGGTCCTGGTTGTAACCATACGTTTTCGGTACGAATTTGAACTCGCCGGAGCAGGATTTCTGAAAGTATAACCGGGAGACTGACTTGGTCCAAAAGCCGCACGGGTAAAGAAACACATCGAGGCACCAACTCTTCTGTTCACGTAAGGCCTTCCCTCTCCGGGATGTGGTGGTTGATGTCATACGACGAGCGGAAATAATTCCGATTGGTATGCGAATCGAATAAATGCAGCATGTCAGTTCGTGGGCTAACAATTCAACTTTGCCCAGAAGACTGTGGTTGTAGTCCCAGCCTTGGACGCGACCTGGCTCCGAGTTGACGACACTAGCGTCCCACTTTGGCTCTGCGAGAATCGATCCGCGATGACTGATGGTGGATTTAACGACGCTTCTTGCTTGCCACTCTTCGGGCTCTATGCATGGTAAATGATCGATTCCTTTGGCTACAATACCCCGGAGCCCGATGTCCAGATCTTCGTCTTGTACAAGGAAAACACTGCCAATGGGAGAGGCTTGCGGCAATCGATGTTTTTGAGATTTCAGCTCAGACAACAACTCTCTCTGACGTTTCCTAAAAATAAAAAGGTTAGTTTTTGGTCATCGAATACTAGCAGAAACCTATATTAAGTTGACGAACTCTTGTACAACGCTGAGCATGAACGTGAAGAAAGATTGATGATCAAAAAGTCTCTTTTCGAAATTCTCTATATCCTGGTTGGAAAAGACCTTTTTAAATCGTGCCCGTATCGATTTGGAAGTCTTTGTGGGCTTGTTGAATTCTTTTTCGAGTTTTTGCAGCGCCTGCAGCAGGCTCTCTAAATCAGCTTTCACAGCGGCAGTTTGGTCTTCCCAGGGGACTCCAGTATCTGGCTTCTTGCTGATGAGCTCTTTTTCTGGTGCACCCAAGGCCTGTATCTCATCCAGCACATGCTTCAGGCGATGCATGGCCCCGGAAATGCGCCTGATCTCATCTGACGCTTCCGATAATTGTGTTTGCAGACGATGTAGGGCGCTGAAACTTTTCAGCAGAAGCTCCCCGAAGCTGCCAACACTTGCGACAAACGCGAAAACCTCCATCTCGTCGATGCGTTGTTTAGATAGCTGATGACGAGTGTTTCTGTGATACTGTTACTTGTTGTTGTTGTTGTTGTGTGTCGAATGCTGAGCGTTCTTGTAGGTTGCGCGCCAAGTGCCCGTGATGCTCTTTGGCTAGAAATGGGAGGATAGTGACACCGTTTGGTTGCGATTGGTTGCGGGACAGAAATATTTAGAAAGTATTTGCTTTTGGCCCTCGGGTGACGGGTCAGAAAGATCGGAACGTAGAGCCTTCTTCGCATGCCAAGACAATATAAGCATCCAACATGTCATTTTTGGGGAGAGACCCAGTTGCCCCCAATATCTAATAGGCCACCGCCATCTCGACGTGCCGCATTGTTTCCTCATTTGAATCTTGGGCGCATGGACAACTCATAACGTGTGACAAGAACGAACGAATAAAAACGCTCCATCTCTTATGTGCCTCAACTTCGCATGCCATGCGGGCGCCTCACGCCTGATTTGAAGAGTGTTTCGGTGTGAATTATGGGCGGCACCTCATCTAATAGGCCTCCCTTTTGCAGGCGGCCTCCGCCAAATTGATGATGGCCGGGGGTGCCCGTTCCAGATGCCCCTCATCCAGTTTTGATTTGCTGTGGAAGCTGTACCCGAAAGCCCGAGAGCCCGAGAAACGAAGCCTTGGCTACTACAAATGATGGTCGGATCCTGTCTCTCCTACAGAGTTTTCACGACTGTGAAGCCTTGTCTAGCACCGCTTTTTCCAACTCAGTAAAATGGAAACGCCTTCAATTTTAGCAAGATGGTGTTGGCCAATGTCCCTCTTGTTCAGTATTGCCATCATCAATGGATTAGTTTTGCTTTCCCGGCGCTTTTCTACGAAGCCTCGAGGGCCAATCTCTCTGAACTCCCCTGACTTCCAAGGGGTGCCTGAAAAGAACGTTTCAACAGAGATACCAGCCTACATCTGCTCTTCGGATAATGACAAGATTCGTCGAGACCAATGGGTTGGCCGACTTGCAGAATACGCCTTTCGAGAACGACATCGGGGTCGCTACAACGTGCTAGTGATCCATGACAGTCTCGAGTACTACTTCAACAGTAATTCGATAGAAGAGGACAAGATTATTCACTACTCGGACCCCCGCAATGGCGCACTCCCTTACCGTCTCCTCGTATTTCATGATGGAGAAGTGGTAAACTTTGGGGACGGTGGCTACATCAATTGGACATTTTGGGGAGACTTTACTCGACACGGTGTTTCTTCAGTCACATTTCATCCGAAGAAGAAGGACGTCGAGTCTTAAGACGACCATGGTTTTGTAAGGCCGATGCGGCCGGGGGTAATGTCAGCTCTTCTTCACGAGTGAGAGAGTAAATACGCATATATTCAGAGGAAATCAGTGGTACATCACAAGATTTGTTCAATTTGCCAACAATCAATCAAATTAACAGCCGCTAATTCACTTGGTTGAAATATTCGCTGTTGAAAAGGAATATCTTAGAAAATCCAATACAGCACCAGCTTTCATTTAAGCTCCTCACAAACCATGGTCATGGGCCTATGATCAAAAGATATACCAATGAAGAAGAGAAAACCCCAGCCATCGGGAACACATGCCTTGGACGTCTAGTTCTGGGCGCTAAAGTTGCCGGAAGCTAGGTTGCGGCTACCTAGGTTGCGGCAACCTGTAAAGCATGGTGGTTCGTCTGTCGCTTGAGCCTGAACTTGCTTTGAGTTCTGTCAGTTCTCGACTCTTCAGGAGCCAGGCATAACCAGCACATCCAAACGGTAGACATAGTATCCAGAGCATCAAAGATGAATTTCACAGCCTAATGCAGGCCGAAAAAGGTGCTAGGCTTCTGAACTAACCTACTAGCTCGCTTAAATGTGTCACGCTATCTTCATAATCCACTTGAGCTTCGGTGGTCCCCAACCATCAAACAAGCTGGGTTCAGTCGCCCGGCTAGCTCAATCGGTAGAGCGTGAGACTCTTAATCTCAAGGTTGTGGGTTCGACCCCCACGTCGGGCTCAATTCCCGTCAGCGATTGGCATCCAGTTTCATTTTTTGTGTTTTGTTAATTTTGGGAAGTTTCCTTTCCTCATGATTGGGAGGTTTCAGAGACGTCACGGTGCCACGCCCTGTTTGTGTGAGAAACTTTCGACCTACCCCGGGCGGGTGGCCGACAAGCGAGAGCGTTAGTGGTGGGGCCGTGGCGGCCCCATACAATCGTTAACGATTCCGGGGCTACGGTAGCTCCTAGTCGCTCCAGGACTAGGGAAATCATTGATGCCGGCATTGCGGCGTCGTATTTACGCACCTTGCTTCTCTGGCATCACGATGGCAGCAGTGTGAGAGTAAACCTCATAGTGCCTAGAAATAGATGCCTCCAGGCCTCGCTATGGAGATTGTTCTTATAACTAACTCACTTGTATCCCGCTGAACCCCAGAACGCCGTGCTATGCAAGCTTGAAAGAAGGTGTACCGCCAAAAGTATACTTTAGAAGAGGTTTGTGTGTTCGTGTTACCAGTCCACCGCCCAGCCATTCTTTTCCAAGAACATCTCACACGCCTGCCTGAGTCCAAGATTGGGCCTCAGCTCGGATGGCAAAAGAGGTTCCCTAGTCAGAGGGTCGCTGGGGTGCCTCCTGAGGTGTTCCATGATCGAAGCCCTTTCGTAAGACTTTCCAGTCTTGGTCTATAGAAACCAGTCAGCGATGGTTGAGGATCCATGATGGCAATCAAACTTACGATGACGGGGTCGACCATGATGCCGAAGCTAATATCGTCAATCGCCCAATCCGGAACCTCGCCTCTCTGTTCCTCCACCGGTCGGCTCTTCTCAAACGTCTCTCTCAAAAGCTGAATCTTCTTGTCCCACTCCGCCTCAATCTCCTTCTTCTCGCTGTCGTCCATGGCGTCATCAATGGCTTGCTTGCGCTCCCTTTCCATCATCTCGACGATCTCGTTCTCCATCTGATGTGCTTCGCGGAGGCGGTGCCTCTCCTTCCAATCCCACCGCTCCTTCTTCGAGCGGAGGACTTGTGCTGTGATCGCCGCAAGAGACTTATCTCCAGTCTGGACGCACAGTTGATGGGCACGTAGGGCATTTGTAAGGGCCGATTCGTAGTCCTTCAGCGCAAGCTGGGCCTGGGACAGATAATAATGGGCTTTCAGGTTATCAGGGGCAAGGCCCAGGCAGGACTCGCAATCGGAGACGACCGAGTCCCATATTTCGAGCTTTAGACGGGCCATGGCGCGGTTCGTGTAAAGGGCTGGATTCTTAGGGTCGGCGATGATTCTGTTCGATGTCCTTGTCAGCAACTTGTCTCTACGTACTAAGCTCGCCTGGCATGCTGGACAGGGTCAAGTTGGAGAAGATGAGTGCTTACGCCTTAGAATACAATGCCTCTGCCCCGGCATAATCGCCTGACTGGAAGTGGCGGTTACCCTCCTCCTTAAGCTGGATTGATCTCGACATCGTGAATCCTATCCTGTCGGCAGTGAGGCCTACGCACTGGCGTGGGAAATTGATACGATGGGTGGATTTGTCTAGGTTCGTGTCGATTGGTAGTCGTGAATCAAGACTTTGAACTGGAAGGACGGAATGCAGTGCGAAGATGACTGGCCAAGTGCAGTATTAAGTGGCCGTCGGCAGGTGTCGTCGGGAAGACCAGTGCATGGAACGAGCAAGAACGGAAAGAAGGACTGCTGCTGCCAGAGAAACCCGGAGATTATTCGACTCCAGCGCAGAGCATGTAGGTGTGTGTTTCGATCGGTCGGCGGGGTGGATCGGGATGTCGAGATCGGGAAGTTGTATGAGGTACGGGAACTAAAGTAACGCCCAGCAGGAGGAATTGGGCATGCCGACCGATGCTCCGACTCAGCCTCGTGGAGTCAGAACCTATATGAGGTGTGGTGTGGTATTTGCTGCTGCAACCACCGAAGCTGGTAACTACTGATGCTGCTGCTGCTGCTGGATGGCAACCGGGTGCTTGCTACCTACGAGGTCGACACCTTCAGGCGGGACCCCGCCAACAGCTGCGTCCTTCCGCGTGGTCGGATTGGATTCTAGGGGTCTTTGCTCCTCCCCCGACCCCACTTTCGCCCGGGAAGCGCGGGTGAATGCTGCGTTCTGGAATCTTCCGCTTAGAAACACATGAGTGGCTTGCGCGCTCGGTAGAATGATGTCCGATCACGTGCTGTGGCTGAGGTCGGCCGACTCGCCGACTGTGGGTCAACGACGGCGCCGGCGGAGTGGGTTCCGGTCCGGTGCCTGCGCCGGCTCGCGGTTCCAGTCAAGGGTTCAACCTGAAGGTCGTGGTGCCCAAATTCAATTGACTCAATGCATCGTGCATCACTTGACACAAAGTTTGGGTTCCATAATCAAGAGAACCCCTTCGGTCTCGAGCCGCGTGAAAACTCAACTTCAGCATCCATCAGGGTCGGAACCAGCAAAGTATTTAAAGCAGCAATCTCTGTTAGAATTTCAGATCGGCACACATAGCAAACCCCACAAACACATCAAGCACTTCAAGATTCGAAAACCATGTTGAAGACAATACTCATTGCTGCTCTCGCAGTTTTTGCAAGAGCTGAGCTAGTAATCGACCCTAGCTCGATTGCAGCATCCCACCAAAGCTTAGCCAGTTGCATGGACTCGCTTCCTTCAACAAACAAAACAGTTCTCAACATTTTCAAGGGCCGATGTCTGTCTGCTCGTGTCAACGACGACAACGTGCTAGAAGCATGTTGCGTAAGTCGAGAGGGGTGGGAAAGGGCGGCATTGCCTCTGGCAAAGTGCACAGCTTTTGTTGGCGAAATCGGAGAGCAGAAGCTTATGTGGGGAAGCAGCTCTTCAGAACCGTAAGTCGCGTCTAGGCTCTTGCCGGTTGAGTTGCAGAGTGATACTGATAGCGTGACTCTAGGAGCCTGTCTGAGCACTTCCAGATAGGGCATTGCACATGCGACCTCCTCCAACTCCAAGAACGAGAACTGGCACCAGAGGCAGTCAAGTGCAAATGCTTCAGCTATCAACCTAAGAACAGCAGACTTTTGTTGGGTTATGGAGATATCGACAAGTCCTCTGATAATTACATGACGCATTTTTCGGGTCCCCTGCCTTGGGTTACCGCAGACGGGTCTATGGACTGTGCAATGTCAAAGGCCTATATCCACAAATTCTTCAAATACTCCCGTGAGGAAAACTAAAGAGATATCGAAAGTTCGCCATGTCAGAGCTAGGCTAGGTGGCATGTGGCATGGAACATCTCAATGCGGTATCGGTGTTTAGTAATTAGCGAGGGGCGGATTTGGAAGAAGATTTCTACGAAATTTCCACTTTTTAGCTCACAGTCATACTGCGAGATCCTACTTGCACATGCAATTCTATGATTCCATTTGAGAGAACTTATTAGAGATCTAGCCTTCGAGCTCAGTCCAAGTCACGTAGACGAAATGACGAGTAATCATGTCCTGAGGGTTGGGTCTTGTCTCTGCAATTCATCTTAACCCGTCCAATGGTGAGGTTTGGCAGCGAGGTTGATCATACCTTCGCCAATGAATCGCGGTCTTCAGGCGGTTTTCAATTAGTTGTCTCGTTGTCTCTGTGTGAGAAACTTGAATAAACCGCGTCGTTCCATACCGAGGCAGAACGTGACAGTAGCTCAGGCTAAGTCGGAATGCAAATTCCATTTTCTTCTGAGTTGTTTCATATCGTATTTTTAGCCAGGTAGTCATGGATATGCCCTTGCAGGCTGGGGCTACCTTAATACACTACGACCGGGCACCGGATATGACACCGCAGCGGGGCTATCAAACCTAGTCTACTTTATCCGAGCCGGCCTATGGGACGTGGCAAGAAACCAAGTAAATCGCTGCCTGCGCTAGTTGCTCGCAATCAGCGGGGTGAAGTTCGTCTCTCATTCCTCTGCCCGAGATATTCGTTTCCCATGCCGAGAATAGCCAAGCCTGCTACCTGGACGCAATGCAACCCGGAGCCGCTGAGTCTAGCCAACATCCATCCGTCGCGGCCGGCTGCGTGTGGATGTGACGCGGAGCTTTTTAGATTGTCTTATGGGGTACAATCACTGAAGAAATTGGGACTTTTCCACGTACAAAGCGTGCAGCAAGATCGAACTTTCAACCAGTCGCCTTGTGATGTTGCCTCGGCTCCGTTGTAAGGATTCAGTTCCTGGCTTGGGGAATTGCTAACGGTGGATGCTTGAGCTTGGCAATATGTAAATAGCAAACGAGCTGTTGTACAGCATACACGTCTTACAACCATTCTAAGAAGAAAAGTGGCCTTGAGTGGCCTAACAGCCACATAAATTTGCCTATAAAGCCTTTCGTCGCTCTACACCTTTCGTCTGGTTCTCCTTCAAACCAGCAAGTCATATTCTAGTCCCTTACTTCAACTTCAAGTTCTCCTTCAACATCGACCATACTCCAAAATGGTCAACTTCATGCGCGCCGCCGGCCTTCTGGCAATCACCCCTCTTATTGCAGCAGCCCCAACTGTTACGGATGCTGGTATTGACGTAAGAGCCGTCGATGTGGCAGTGCCCTTCTCTTTTGAGAAGTGGGCTGAGGATATCATTGCCAACCCCAACGGAAACCACCCCTCGCCGGAGGAGGCTATCGCCCTCGCGTTCAACCAGACTTCAACCGGTTAGGAGAACTGATCCCGGCCGTAGAAGCATGTGAAAGAGGCTGACATACTCGAATCTGTAGATGGTCTCGAGAAGCGTCAGGCTGATGTTAGTTGCACCTTCGACAAGCCTGGCGGCGCTGCTTCGGTCAGTACCACTGTCCCCACCTCCCTGTCGTGAAGTCTTCACGACGACCCTCGGGGAGTATGTGTGGGCTCACTAATATCTCGAATTCAGGTCGCTGATGCGGTTTGGTGCATTGATTTCATCGCTGCCCGCGCCAATGTCGCATGCAATGCTGTCGTCAGCGGTACCTCCTTTTGCAGCCGCGGCCAAGCTCGGATCACCGGTGTGCCCATCGGTGGAAACCCCCCCAGGGATACATCCAGCCCTTGTGGCAACGTTGCCCGCTCTGCTGGGCAGATCATGGATGCCTGCACCCGCAACGGCCTCGTATATGGACAGAACAATGCTTGGGGCAACGGCAACATGAGAGTTCACATCCGCGCTGCTTTCTAAGTTAGCAGTGGTCTGTAGCGGGGGTCAGAATAGTTTTACGGAGGCATAGAGCTTGACAAGCGTTGAGTGAGAACTAGAGACCTAGAAGGAGAGAATCCGGACGTAAAATATGAAGAGTGGCAAAAGTTCGTGGTCCATTTTGCTTTGACTTCCCAAAGCGTCGAAGACACCTCGAGAAAACATATTGGGTAAACAGGGCATCAGAAGTCACGTCATAACCATGGTCTCCGTTGAAACTACCAATGTTCTATGGGCTGGCCACGATATCAACGTAACAATGTGTTATTAAACTAACTCAATGAGATGCAAGCTTTTAAGCGGTGGGCCTCTGAGGCTTCTGGGTAAAGCGTAACAATGATGAGCAAACAAAAAGGAAATCGGAACATGAACCCCCGTTCACGGGCTGTCTAGTAAGTTGTCACCTCCACGCTGGATCCATAGCTCCAGCACCTCCATCTCTCCTTCGCAGACGCAATTGTAGGCCTCTTGAGCCCTGCACCTGCCATGTCGGCACCTTCAAGCTTCCATTCCATAGGCCAGGTAAAAGCCTGGTTGGCCTCCCTCTTCTCATCTGCAGCACTCAGTGTAGTCCACTGTTCAACCGCAGGTGTGTTCAGCTTGCCGTACCCCTTGACGAGGCGGCCATACACCTCCTTCGTATTCCTCAAACCGTCGCCACGAGAAGCCCAGTTGCACTTGCGCATGCCGTCGAGATGGATGTCAGCAGCGTTTCGGAGACGCTCGTCCTTGTCGGCACCGCTGGTGGCAAGTAGATGCTCTTCGAGATCGCACACGACGTCCTGATGGACGTGGGCGGCGTCGCGAAGACGGTCGCCACGGCGGAGAAGCTGTGTAAGGCGGTTGGCAAAGTCCAGAGCTTGGATGTCCAGACCGCCACGGGATTGGCGGACGTTGTAGTAGAGAGTGTCGCAGAGGTTGATTGCCTGGTCAATATGTCCCGCAGAGATGTGAGCGTTGACGAGGAGAGAGCCAATGTTGAGGACCATATCGGCTCGCCACATGCGTTGCACCTCCCTGGACTGCCAGAGAATGGTAAGAAGGTTCTGTGAAATGGTTGTTAGCTCAATCTGGTTCACAGTTGTCATACAGTAACGTACCTCGAGCTCGATGTAGTTCTTCTGTTCGCCAAGGAGGTAAACCAGACTCTTGACATCTCTGGGCTCAAGGCCAGCGAAGTCGAACCTGCGCTCCTTCATGGCGGTGAACACCATCTGCATCACATGTCTGCTTGTAGCAATAGAGGATTCCTTAGCGTTGTCATTGGCAGACTTCCAGGTGCTCACGCCAATGCCAGCAAGAAGCTCAGCCAAGCGGAAGCCCCAAACAAAGTTATTGCCCATGTGGTAAAAGCGTTGAGAGTTGGCAAAGCTGAAACCGACCTTGGCCACTTCGTGGGCTCTGTTGATGTCTTTCTCCTTCTCCATGAACCTCTTGGTAACCGTGTAAGCGGCCCTGCATGAGACGAGGCCGAAGTCGATGGAGTCTCTGTCGGCAGCAATGCCCTCGCCGATCTCGCTGAGCAGGCCGACGTAGAAGTCGGAGCCAGCTTGGTTAGTTGCGGCGGGTCCGAGATACTTGGAGTACTTGGATGTGAACAGCGAGAAGAGCTTCTTGTCGAGGACAGCCACGAAGCCGGAGCGGCCACGAGACTCCCAGACAAAACGAAGACGAGCAGCGTGTTCGATGACGACCTCAATGTTGTTGGTCTCTGTGAACTTGGACATGACAGTCATGTACTGCTCGTACAAGATCGTCTCCAAGAGCACGTCCGCCATGATCTCAGAGAAGCTGTACGACACCTTGGAGTCGACGTTCAAGGCCTGCTCAAAAGAGATGAGGAAGACTAAGGACACCTTAGAGACCTTGCGATTGACCTTGATGCTAACATCCTTCTCTCCACCCTCGAAGCCGGGGAAGAGGAGAACGTAGCGCAGCTGGCGAAGGAGATCGTGACCGTGTCGCACCATGCCGCAGGCGATGTAGATCTGGGCCAAGGAGGAGGCGGCGGTGTGCAGGGTCGTGGAGATGGTGACGGTCGTGATGATCTCCATGACGGACGCCTGTAGCATCTGCACGATGGCCATGTGGGACTCCTTAGTGCCGAGCTTCTTGTACAGAAGGGTGATCTCCCGGAGTTTGGCGAGAGTAGTTTCGTGCCACCAGCCGAACTCGATTCTGAGCTGCTCGTAGATCTCGACGTTGACAGAAATGGCGCGCTCGACGGTGGTCGTAGTTGAAACTTGGCCTGTGGTAATGACGGTGACGTAGAGGTGGGACAGACGCTTCTTCATCGTGCGAACTGTCGTCTCGGTGACCACGTTCGTGGTCTTCGTCCTGGTAATGACTTCCTCATAGACCCTAACCGACTCCTGGTAGTGCTCCGAGGAACCCTCGCACACCTCTGCAAGTGCGATCATGGCCTTGATAACGATGCCGGCGGAAGCACCAAAGACCTTGGTCACTGTCTCGCGGTACTCGATGGTAAGCTTGTACCGGACAGAGAACTCGACCTTGGCGTGGTGCTCCAGGACGTAGCGGTAGCGCTCGTAGATGACCTCGACCATCTCCTCGGTGAACTGGATCTCCTTGTTGTGGTGAACGAAAGTCTTCCAGAGAACAGTACAAATCTTCTGAAGCTCGCTGTAGCGCTTCTCAAGGTGGTAGTGGTTGAGAACGATGATGGCGGCATCAAGGCCAGCAGCATGACAGCAGCCGTCGTGGGTGTAGATAGTGACAATCTCGTTGTAGCAGTCGTAGGCCTCCTTGCGACCGAGCTTGAGGTAGACAGCAGCCAGCTTGTAGAGGGTCTGAACTGTCAACTGGTGGTCGCGCTTGAGGTTCTTGCGGTAGTTCTGAAGAAGCTTGTTGTAGATATCGATGACCTTCTCATGGCGGTGGTACTCCTCGTAGAACTCGACCAGAGCGACGCCGGCCTCGAGTACGCAGTGGTCTTCGACGCGAAGGGAGTGGAAACAGGCGTGGAAGATGCGGAGGTAGATCTCCTCGGCCTTGTCGAACTGCCTCTGCTTGTGGTAGCAGCGAGCGAGACCCCTTGCGACGGAGACGCGCTCCTGCACGAACTCGCCTTCGATGGTCAATTTGGTGGTAGCAGTCAGAACACCACCCCAGGTAACCTCCAGAGACTTGCGAATGATGACCTCTGCCTCAGCCCAGTTCTCCTGCCTGAGGTAGAGGTTAACGAGGGCCATGCAGGAACTGAAGAATCCCTTATTGACCTTGCCACCCTTGCAGCGGTTGTAGGTCGTCTCCCAGACCTCCCTGGTGACGGTTTCGACCACAGTGGTGGTCGTTTTGGTCTCGACGGTGGTCTCAATAATCTCCTCGACAACCTCGGTGATGATTGTAGCGGTCGAGAGTGCCTCCTTGTGTTCAATGGTCTTCTTAGACTTGAAGTAGCCCCAGACCCTGCTGAGCATCGACATGGAGATATTGATGATGCCAAACGACTTGGCGATGACGGCCAGCTCCTTGAAGCGGATGACCATGACCTCAGACTCGAAGTTGTGGTGCTCGTACTCAGCCCAGAGGCACACCAAAATGTTGCAAGCCTCCTCGGTTCGCTTGATGCGCTGAAGGAAATGGATGTATTCGATGGCGATGTTGAGTTTCTGGAGGTGGAGCTCGGCGCTGCCCTTGAGGCGGCAAGCCTCCAAGATGGAGCGCCAAAGGCTGACGTACAACCTCTCCGTCATGAGATACTGCTTGTTGAACTCGTAGGTACGAGCGAGGCTGAACATAATCTCGATGCGACGGACGTCTGTGTATGAAAGCTCCTCGGCAGCGTCAAAGAGAAGCGTGGTGTGGCGGGAGATGGTTCTGGGGTCATGGCCTTCTCTTCCTTGGAGGACAATACTCATGGAACCAGCTAGCTCAGACTCCTCCTTGGAACCCTTACCAAAACGGGCGGTGACGATGAGATGGAGTTCTCGGTATATTTCCAACGACCTCTCCTCCTCCTTGACGTCGACGTAAAGCTTGGCCAGCAACTTGGTCCACCTGATAACCTCGTCACTGTGCTTACCGCTCTTGCCTCGGTGCATCTCAATCATGTACTTGATCATCTCCTCACGGTAGGTGACGGTCGTGGTTCGCGTGGTGATCGTGATCTTCTCAGTGCAGGTAAGGAACAAGTTGGTGCAGGAGATGACGATAGGGCTGAACTTGTACAGCACGACCTGGCCAATGCTTGAAGCCTTGTAAAAGTACTCGGCAGCGGAGGTCTGGTCGGTGGTGCGTCTTCGAAGGCTTCCCAGAACGATAAGGTTCTGGAGATACGAGCGGTGCCTCTCGCCGAAGCACGTAGACCGGATGCGAAGAGTGAGATCGTGCATCTCGATAGTGTCCTTGAGCGAGAATTGCGTCTGCCAGTGGGACCACTCGAGCAGGGAGAAGAAGGTGGTCTCGGGGAAGACCTCCTTGAACTCAGTAGTAAGGGTGAGTTTGCCCTTTTGTCCAACCAAAGATGATGAGCGGAAGTGGTAGACCCAGTGCTGCATCATATACGGCACGATGTGATGCGAGTGAAAGCAATCGTCTATGAGGTCTTGAGGAAGCCCCTCCAGAGACGGCTCGTAGGTGTAGGTGAACTTCGTCTTAGCGAAGAGCATCAGAGCCAACGTCAGGTGGCGGTGAGCATCCTCAATACTCATGAGGGTGTTGCCACAGAGGCTGTGGACGTACTTCCTCACGACGGAATGCTTGAAGCGCAGGGTTCCCCGGTGCACATTGACGAGGCCCTGGGTGTTGTTGATGGGGGCCCAAATGTCGGCAGAAGGAGAGACGGTACGCTTCGACAAGGAAACGCCCATGAGATTGGTCATCTCGCCAGTGGTGAGGGGGCGCTGAGCGGCGAGCATGAAGATGAAGAGGTTGTAGGTCTTGCTCTCGCCGTACTCTTCCTTGATGTTGACCTTCTTCATGAGCTCTCCAATAACAGCCTTCACGTCAGAATTGCAACGGGAGATTGTGTCTCTGAATGAGCCGATATTTAGGCCTGTAGACAGGAGCTGGATGGAAAGGTAGGCGAAGAGGAAGGAGCCCTTGGCTTGATCGGCAAGCTGATTGACAAGGTTGCGCTTGGAGTTGTCATTCTCTTCAGCGAAGGCGCGAATGCGTCCGAGCCTGTTGGCGAGGAAGAGTTCGATATCGTCGCGCACGTGGTCAGGCGTTATGACCAGATGCTTGCTGCCACTGCCGCCAAGGTGGGAAATCGGGCGGGAGAAGGTGACGGCCTGAATGTTGGGGTGCTTCTTGAGAGCGGAGTGAAGGCGCTTGTGCAGGTCACTAGCCTTCTGAGTCCCGCCCGTGATCTCATCGAGGCCGTCAATGACCAAGACCAGGTGCGCCTTCTTGTTGATGGCAGCAAGACTCAGCTCAAGACACTCCCAAAGATCGGTCTCGAGCTTGTGGCTGTGCTCTCCCGGCGGGGTGCTGCCGAAGATAACTCCCAGCTTCTCAAAGAGTGCAACGTCACCGACGTTAGACTCCAAGAGTTGAGAAAGCAAACTCTTTAGAAGAGCAAGAGGCGAAGACTCCTCGGGAATATCGCTCGCTGGTCACAATGTTAGCACGGAACGTCTAGAATGCGACTAGATAACTTACAAAAGGTATAAGAGATGGTCTCGAAGTGAGTTCCGTGGATGGGCCTCTCGAGCCTTTGCCTCACCCAAGCAGCAAGCATACTTTTGCCGCATCCCTCATTTCCAGTGATGGTAAAGATATCATCCTGGCTGCCGAGGAACTCGTGCAGGTCGTGCTGAATCCACGTACACGTGCCGTCGACGCGGAGCTTGCGGTCGGCAACACGGCCGTAGACAAAAGACTTGACAGACTCCTTGGACGGCAACAGATGCTGTCGCATGGTGGCGATATCAAGCGATTGCTGCTTCTCACGGAGCTTGTAGGCCCACATGTGGTTGAAGAGGTGCTCCTTCAAAGACCAAATCTCAGAAACCTGAGCACCAAACTCGGCATCGAAATCAATCGTCACCGAGCCGCTGAAGATGCGGTTGATACGCTGTCTGTAGAAGATGGCGATGCTTCCAACGAGGTGAACGAGGCTGGAGAAGACACGGTCAAGGTCAGACCTGATAGCCTCACTAGCCGAGAACATGTCATGCAGCCTGATGACATGAGAAAGCAGCAGACCAAGCTCATAGAGGGCGTTGAACGTAGGCTCCAGAGCCTCGGCTTGATCACAGCCAAGCTGTATAATAGGTTAATAACCAATAACCATAAGTGATGGGCAAACGACATCTTACCTCGAGAAGCAAGTAGCAGCTTGCTAAAGCAGTATCCCGGGCGCGGTAAGAGTCGGGAATGACCTTCTTGAGGTTCTCTGCGAAGCCATCCAGCTGGATAGCAAAGAACTCGGCCTCCTTCAAAACCCGGTCCCACTGGCTGCCCTTGGCAGGCATGTGGATCAAACGCTCGTTGCCGATGTACTCCAGGTACCCTTCGAGGCCCATCCTCTCAAAGTGATCGTGGCTGACATCCTCGATCTCTCGGACGATCTTACCTTTGATAGTCTTGACAACCTCAGAGACACTCAGCATCTTCCACGAGAATGAAGATGAAGATGTAAGCTGGGATGAAGACTGGGTCCTGGTTGACGACTGGGTCTGGATCTGAGAAGAAGAGGTCGTCCGCGTTTGAAACGAGGTGTGCCTTGTGACGGCCTCATTGCCAGACTCAGAGGCAGAGTCGCTGCTCGAGGCGCCGTTCATCCTTCTGGACTCCTCCCTGATGATGTGCTTGTTGACCGATGACTGACTGCTGGTGGTTGCCATGATGGATGGTCGTGACTCTGAGATAGGAGTGCCGGTGGGTGTGATGTCGTCGATAGATCTTTCTGAACTGAAGGATTGCTCGGAAGAAACAGACTTCTTCCGTCGGCCTATGAAGATCGAAATATCAGTTGCGGCTCATAAAAAGGTATGGGAAGGAAGAATAAAGTTTTGGCTGGGCGTACTCAATGGGTTTCTGCGGAATCCAAGCATTGTCGTGGAGCTTGACTGCTGATTCCTTCATCATAAACTCGGGGAATACAAGCTGGCTTTTAAACAACGACGACCCGGGTCGGATAGCTGCCCTGCCTCGGCACCTCGGATGGCCTGTTCAGGTATCTTCGGCCTCCCATGAACCAGCACGCAGGACGCCGACGACCATGAGACGCCATTGATCGTGATCACACTATTCCCTGAGACATCAAAACGACTTGCTCTTCAGCTTGACCCCGGCGAGTGGGTGTTAGCGTCCGGTTGCGCGCTTTCCCGATGATTGCTCGCGTCTGAGAATGGCATTGCGAGCATGGGAAAGCTCACAGGGGCCCGGTCAGAGCTCGTTCTCCGGGCCAATCCCAGCGTGTTGTCGTCGATATCACTGGAAAAGAGGGGTTCGGAATGCTAAGTTTTGCCTGGGAAGAAAGAATGGAGGGTTTGATATTCTGGATCATGTCTTGATCAATCACCAGCCCTGAAGACCCAACTAGCCATACGAAGGTGTTCAGAATGCCCATCCTCCAAGAGTATGTTCACGAACAGCGTGAAGAGCCACGAAATTTGTATCCAAAACCAATCGAAGAGAGCTGTGGCTGAATATTGAATAACATCGAACGACAAGCTCACATTTTACCCCGCAAATTGGACGAAGGCCGATGAAAACAGCCGAACCCGTTCGAAAGCATCGCCTCAGTCATCGCCAACATCGTACAACACGCATGGATTATGAGCGGGCACGGCGGGATATCCGTTCCCCGCTTCCAAGGGAAGCCGCTTGAGCCGCCGTACCGTGGGCTTGGTAGATCGCAGGTGGAGTACGCGTACATCAAGGGAATGGACGTTTAGAAGCCAGTCCAGAGGAGGAAGTATTATTCAGTGATGGCCGGCTCAAAGAGGCAATGGGGCGCCCACGAACGGGCTGAACCGGCCTAACCGGGGCACCGGCGCTAGACTATCTCGGGTCCGGGGTTGTTGATCGACCGCCCGGGTGAAACCCGAGCATACGAAAGTGTTGATGAATCAGCTCCTGCAAGGGATAGGCGACTACTGAAAAGTGGCTTGAGCTTGGCAACTACCCCGTGAGGACGCGCGACGAACGCAAACATGATGGAAACAGCAGCGCGTGCCGATCATACCTCCCGAGAGGATGGGACACTCATGTTTGCTAGCCTCTTAGCTTGTAGCCAAGCCACGAGACTGGCGTTGTTGTCTTATCTCAATTCTCAAAATCGCAGGTCAGATCTCAAATGAAATGCTTGCTTTTCATTCTTCCATAGCTTGGCCGATCACATCCGCTTTTGTACACGATGGAACCCAACGAAGGACGCCTCGGAGCCGAAATGAAATCAGCCATGCACACGCCAACCGAACCGAGCTGAGTCGTCACATTTCCAGTGTGAATACCATACATTCCAGGTGGCATTTCTTCTGCCAGCCACTAAACATGGAGGTTTTAGATGCTCCGGCCCGTGTCACGTCCAACCTCCTCCTGGAAGCCCATGCCATTGCGGATGCGTGCTTCAACTTCGACGACTCGCTTGGGAAGCATGAAACCCAAACCGAAGAAGACGAAGAAGGCCCATTTCCATCGGAAGGGATTAAAGGTGACGCTGAAGGCGAACCACCATAGAAGCTCGAGGTAGGTGAAGAAGTCGAAAGCGCCAGTGGGCGAAAAGTATTTCAGGAGCTTTGTCATCTCGATCCACGACTTCATCCAGAATGGATGCGGTCTCGTCAACGGGTCGATCAGGAACATGAGGAGAATTCTCGTGTAGATACCGATATGCCAGTTGCCTACGGTTCCGATAGCGGCAACATAGGTGCTGCAGAGTGAGTCAGTTACATGTGAGTTTGCATGTGTCAAGCCAAGACTTACCAGTTGATCGCAGAGATGGACGGATGGTTGGGTGGGAACGTCTGGATGTACCAGTTGGGAGGGCTGTACGGCTCGGTGAAACAGTCCTCGGGTAGGAAGTCGAGCGAGGGACGCTTATAACCAGTAGCCATGACAATGATATCCGCGGGAACCACCTCTCTCCTTCCTGGGCCATCCTTGGGAACACCTTGAGCACGTCGGTTGACGATGACACCATCAGCGGTAAAGCCCTCGATATCGCAACGAATCCACTCAGCATGGCCCGAGCGAATGGTTTCCATGACGTGGCTGTTGACCATCGGCGTGTCCATGTAGATGCCTTTGTTGTAAGGAGCGATATCTTGCAAGTCGCGATAGAACAACTTGCGGAGCAGGGTCTCGGGGATCCATGAGAATCTCGTCTCTTGGCCAAGAATGTTCATTGCCAGCAACATGTTCACGATTGGATTGCGAGGAATGATCCATTTGTCGCTGCGAGACAGGATCGAGGTCTTTTCGGCTTCTTCGTCTACGGCAAACTCCAATGCCTCAACAGCGCTGGCACCACCACCAATGACGACCATCTTCTTGCCCTTGGCGTTCTTTCTATAAAGTCATTAGTCCTGCAGCGCACCAGAGAGTACCTAGGGGTTGGAGATTCATACCCGGTGAGTTGACTGGAGTGGTACACATGACCCTTGAAGTTCTCCATTCCGGGGATATGGGGCATTTTGGGCTTGCCGCATGTGCCAACAGCAGCGATAACGCCCTCGAAGTGACCATTTGCGGTGTTGTTGACAACCCAGCGACCCTTTTCGTCCTGGTAGACTTTGTCCACGGGGGTGTTGAACTTGGTGCGAGTCTCCAGTCCATATTTCTCCCAAACCTGCTTAACTTGGCTGAGGATTTGCTGTCTGTCGGGGTAGCCGCGCTCCCATTTCACGGAGGGATGGAAGCGGAACATCATGGAGTGAATCTGTAAGCTGGAAGAATTGTTGACTTTCTGTATCTGACGTTAGTGCTACTCCAAATTGGGTTGCCAGGGGTTGTCGTACACTCCAGATACCTCCCAAATTCTCGCGACCGCCCGCCTCGAATATGACGACGTCGAATCCATGACCGATACAATGCGCTGCAGACGTGACACCGGTGATACCAGCTCCAATGACCGCCACCTTGGGACGGCTCAGGCGGGTGCTCGGCTCGGGAGGAGTGGGCGAAAAGATCTTATCCGCGAACCATTGGAACACCTGGAAGAGGAAAAGGAAGGGATGGAAGAGGGGATTCTCTACGCGAGATTCGGACGGCATCGTGGCAGACAGGCCTCAAGCCCAGACGTGTTCGGTGGTTGTTTGAGTAGCAGAGCAGTCGATGTTTTGTCCAGCGGAGTGTAGGAGGACAAGACAAAGCAACGAAAGGGGGTATGAAACTCTATAAAACCAATTGAGGAAAAAAAAGGCTAAGGGAGCTCAACAGAACGAGGCGAACGTGGCAGACGGCAAGCCTAGGAAGCTCCAGGAGCTCTGGGCAGCTCACTGGCATGTGAGCTTCCCTTAACGTTGAGGTCAGGTCCGCCTCAAACCCCCCGCGGCTGGCAGACTGAGACGGCCGGCGAACAGGCCCACTGGTTATGAACGATTGACGTCACCAAGAACGCTAGGGGAGTCAATTGAAACGCCACAGGGAAGCATGTGAAATACGGGGTTAGCCCGGCCCAGCCCACTGTTCTGTGCCTGTCTTGACCTGACGCCAGGGAACTGCTGGGGGGCATGGGCCGCCGTTTGATCCAGCCCGCCTTCAAAAACCCCATTGGAAAAGTCTTTCGAAGGTGGCTGTCATCACTTGGGAAGACATGCGAAATCAAGGCCGAATGGTCGACTGTGGCAGGGCTATGCATAGTCCGAGGACCAAGACACTGCCGAGGCCACCTGCTGTTGGCTGCTACGCTGAAATGGTTGGGTGATCTAAACCAGGTTGGATCGCGAATTCGGAAGATTATCGCTGGCTGGCCGATCGGATTAGCTGCCGGTATGGTACTTCCCAGTCACTGAGCATGGCACCAGACGAATTTCCATGGGCACACAACCAGGCCACACATTGTCACAAACACAATTGCAACTCTAAAACGTCGACTGAACTGGTCTAACCCAGTCCAAGAACCTCGGCAAAAACTCCTTTCTTTTTGATGCTGAATACCTTTCGACGCACTGTTGGGGTATCTCCGTCCGTCTATCGCTTGCCTCTGTCGCGTCTGCCCGCCTCCAGGGTCTTGACACGCTTCTGGAAACGCTCTCCCATCTCGGCTCTTTGGCCGCTGCCCCTCGGCCCGTCTGTCGTCTCTCTCCCGCGCTTCCGGCTCTTGTCGAGGAGATCGCGGGTACCGCCGCTCTTCTTGCGTGCAGTGAGTCTGTTGATGCGGTCCACGCCCTCTCCCAAGTCTCTCCATTCCTCTCCGCCAAATTGCATGCGACCACTGCGGCCGGTTCTCGCGTTCTCCTTAGCCTGCTCCTTCTTGCTCTTGGGAGCGAGACGGACAAAGTTGGTTTCTTCGTACTCGCGGCGTTCGTCCTCGTCCTTGCGCTCCGCCGCCGTCTTCATCCTGCGACCTCCAGACACAATGGTTGTACCAATACTTGGCTCTGCGAGGGGAGCGGTGGACATTTCGGTCTCGATAAACTCGTCCATGACAGCAGACTTGTGGGGGCGACGGTCGGTCTTCTCGCGGCGCTCCGAAGGCATGACTGTAGGGGCGATCCTTGGCGGACGGTAGACTCCATCCTTTTTGGCGGCTGCGACAGCGGCAGAGGCCGCGGCGGGACGGACGAAGGCGTCTGGTCGCGCTTGCATGGCGGAAGCCTTGAGGTCTTCCTCATCGTCGGACTCCTCCTCGCTGCCTGATTCGTCGTCGGACGCAGATTCGGAGTTGTCGCCGTTGCCTCCCTCCGCTGCCTCGGCGGCTTTGGCGTTTCTCTCGGCATCGTCCGCAGCGCGCAGGATCTTTTCAATCTGGTAGCGCAACTTGTCTTCGAGAGGGCGAACACCCTTCTCCAGGTAAAGTCTCAGTTCCACCAACTTCTTGACGACTGCCTGCGTAGTGTCGTCGGCGTTCCCATCGTCGCTAGATTGCTTCTTAGCGTTGCGAAGCTTGAGCAAGATCAGGAAAACCAGATTTTGGAGGTAGGAAAGAAGAAGCTCGTTCTTGACGTCGAGGAGCGAGATGCCATTCTGAGGTGGCGCAATTGAATTCTTGGGTGCTGCGTCCAGCGAAGTCGCCAATGACTGTGTCAAAGAGTCCAGCAGAGCTGGCAGACTGCTTGGTGCAGCCATTTTGACCTGGCGAGAGTGGCTGCGACTGGTGAAGATTTTTGAAGCAGCAGCGTGAACAGGAACGCGACCAAGGAATTTTTTTTTTTGCAACCGCAAAACCGATCTGCAGGTGCGGGACCCGGACCTGCGGGCGTGTGGATCCCCGACTGTCGGACCCCACCACCAGTGTTTCCTTCCCCTGTGCCACGGGCGGGACGCCGGGGAGATAATGTTCCGATAGGGAGCTCGGACAAAGGTGACTAAGCCGCATTTGGGACAGTTGTTCGAGACGGGAGGCAGGCGACAGCAAGCAGCTGGAGCTCCTGTGGACGAAGCTCCCAAACCTGACACAACAAAAAAGCAATTGGCCATCTGTCCACCTTGGGAGCTCTGTGCTTCTACACCCACGATCGCAGGCTCTTCCGTCTTTTCTTTCGAGTCATTTTTTTCAACGCATCTCGCCTGGAGCTGAACAAACCCGGACGATCCACCGGCTGTAAGCCGCTTCGCGTACATATATCCAAGGGTACGTAATCGCGATCTATGGAGCTATTCCCATCGGTTTCATGTTTCACGCTACTGTTCTCTTGAACAGCGCAAACGCATCGCAATTCGCCGAGGCTGACGGCGAATATTGAACAGAGCTCTAGTATCTCCCCATAATGCAATTGCGAGATATGGTGCCTTCATCGGCGCTAGTCGCCTCGCTGCTGGCGATCCCGCAGCTGGCGTCCGCATTCTACCTGCCAGGTGTTGCGCCCACGTCCTACAAGAAGGGCGACGTCGTTCCCCTGTATGTCAACAGCATCAAGCCTGTCGCCGCTCCCTCCGACTCGCGACTACATTCGATCGTATCCTACGACTATTACCATCCCGGATTCAAGTTCTGCGAGCCGTCCCCCGCGCCCGAATATGTGTCCGAAAGTCTCGGCAGTATCCTTTTCGGAGACCGCATTATGACCTCGCCCTTCGAGCTGCGCATGAAAAACGACGAGGTTTGCAAGCCGCTCTGCATCCAGAAATATCCTCCGGCTGCTGTTGGCTTTGTTCGGCGCCGTATCGAGCAGGGCTACAGCTTGAACTGGCTCGTGGACGGCTTGCCCGCGGGACAGGAGATCTACGACGACTTCACGAACACAACGTTCTACAACCCCGGCTTTCTGATGGGAGGCGCCGACGAGCAGGGAAACATCATCTTCAACAACCACTATGACATCAACATCGAGTACCACCCGGTCAACGGCGACGAGACCCAACTCCGTGTTGTCGGCGTTGTGGTGGAGCCCAGCTCCCGTGCTTACCCTGGTCTGCTGGACTGCAACAACCAGATGGAGCCTATTATCTTCAACGAGGACAGCGGCGAGAAGGAGGTCAAGTTCTCTTACTCGGTCTACTGGAAGGAGTCCAAGACAGCCTGGGCAACTCGCTGGGACAAGTACTTGCATGTCTTTGACCCCAAGATCCACTGGTTCTGGCTCATTGACACTGCTATCATCGTGATTATCCTGATCCTCACAGTCATGTCCATCTTGGTCAGGGCCTTGAAGAAGGATATTGCTCGATACAATCGTCTGGATCAGATCAACCTGGACGATCTGTCGGGTACCTCGGTCATCGAGGATGGCGTGCAGGAAGACTCCGGGTGGAAGTTAGTCCACGGGGACGTATTCCGCAACCCATCCCACCCTCTCCTCCTTTCCGTTCTGCTCGGAAATGGTGTGCAGTTGTTCGTCATGGCCGGCTTCACGATCTGCTTCGCTCTTCTCGGTTTCCTGTCGCCGTCTAACCGTGGCTCGCTCGGTACTATTATTCTCCTCCTCTACACCATTCTGGGTTTCGTCGGCGGCTATGTCTCCTCGAGGACTTACAAGTCGATGCAGGGTGAGAAGTGGAAGATGAACATTGCGCTCACCCCGATCTTGGTCCCCAGCATCGTCTTTGGCGCGTTCTTCTTCCTTGATCTGTTCTTGTGGGCCAAGCAGTCTTCAGGTGCTGTTCCTTTCACCACTATGCTCGTCATTATCGCCATCTGGTTCGTCCTGTCGGTCCCTCTGTCTTTTGCTGGATCGTGGATGGGATTCCGTGCTTCCGTCCTTGAGCCCCCCGTCCGAACCAACCAGATCCCCCGCCAGGTCCCGCCCGTCACGACCTACCTGAGGCCGATCCCCAGCATGCTGATCGTCGGTCTACTGCCGTTCGGTGCCATCTTCGTTGAGCTGTACTTCATCATGAGTTCGGTCTGGTTCAGCCGGATTTATTACATGTTTGGCTTCCTCTTCCTCTCCTACGGCCTTATGATCGTCACCACTGCCGCAGTCACGATCCTCATGGTCTACTTCCTTCTGTGCGCCGAGAATTACAACTGGCAATGGCGCTCTTTCCTCGCTGCCGGTATGAGCGGTGGCTACATCTTTGCCAACTGCCTGTTGTACCTCATCACTAAGCTGAACCTGAGTAACCTGGCCGGAACTGTGCTATACATCGGATACAGCGCCCTCATTTCCTTCCTCTTCTTCATTCTGACCGGTAAGAGTACCCACCACACAAGCACACCCGTCCGGACACGACGCTAACTTCGCACAGGCTCGATTGGTTACTTTGCTAGCTGGTGGTTCGTCAGGAAGATTTATGCCTCCATCAAGATCGATTAAGTGGCATGGTGTGGAGGCGTTGGCATGTGACGAACGAATCATGTTGCTGTATGATTACTTTATTTGTACGAATACTTGCTAAGCGTTGCATTGGTGTTGATGAGCAGCGCATATGCAGCGCTTTTGATCATGGGATTTCAAAATGCTCTCTTCCATTTAGATGTTTTAGACGGATGAAAGGTAGACGAAAAATGGATGCCACCATGTCCCGAAACGCCTGCTGTGATGCTTTTACTACTCCCGGGAGGTTGTACACTGTAAGGTCCAAACTGAAGACTATTCGTCATCATCATCGTCGTCCATGATGCTCGTGAACTGGAACTGCTTGTTCTTTCCAGCGGATGAGGCACCAGCGCCGACGGCCATGCTGTCGCGTCTGTAAGCCTCCTGCTGCTCGCGGCGGATCCTCTCCATCTTCTCCTGGTACTCGCGGTTCTTCCTCTCCAGCTCGGCCTTCTCCTGCTCCTCGCGCGCCTTGCGCTCCTCCTCTTCCTTGCGCTTCGCCTCGGCGATCTGCGCTGGATCGTAGCCACGCGGTTCAATGCCTTGGTCCTGCAGTTCTTGGAACACCGCCATCGCACCGCTGCGGATCTGGAACTCGTTCGGCCACGGGATGAAGCTCGCGTTGAAGTGCGGGTCGAGGTGGTTGCGAAGACCATCGGGGAGAGATGTCGCGCCACTCGTCGTGGTTTGCTGCGTCGCAGCCAGGTCCCCTGAGCTGGTGCCACCGTTGATAGCACCTGACGGGTCGGGTGTCTGGGTCTGGCTGGGTGTTGGAGCAGCGCTGACGGGCTGGCTTTGCATACCGTTTGCGCCGGGGGTCGTGGCTGCGGTCATGCTCGTGTTGGGTTCTGGGGCGGGCGTGCTGCCTTCCGTCGGTACGCCGTTTGTGATGGCTGCCGGGGGCATGGTGGTCTTGCTGATGCGGCGGGCGTAGTTGAGGAGCTCATCGTACTTGACGGGGTACTTTGGTCCGTTGGTGTACATCGTGATTTGGGTGGTGGTGATGTCCTTGCGGGTCGTTGCGAGACTCTGGAGTGTCTCCCGGATCTGGGAGTCAAGGGACGAAGTTGTCGCACGAAGCTGCTGCAGCCGCAGGTGGTTGTTCTGGTGAACTTGTACTGATTTTGAGGGTTAGCAGTGAGTTGTGAATAGCTTCATTCGAGAAGACTGTACCCTCATCGAGGCCTCTCGCGAGATCGTTGTCAGCTTCATGAAGGTCCAGTGCCTGTTTGGCATTCGGATGATATTTCGAAACCGACTCGATCAGACTGGCAAGAGCCTTCTCAACGCGCTCGAAGCGCGCATCGATGACTTTGTCCATGTTGGCGTGCCGAGCTCCTCGATCGCCGACGTCGGTTGAGCTGTGCTTGTGGAGGAAAGGATCGTTGCATTCGAGAAGCGCAAGGCTGAGCCGATTCAGGGCGAGCTGAGTGGGTCCTGCCGAAAACCAGCGCCGATTGGCTCCAGCTCCCTCAGCCAGTAGCCTGAGGCGCAATGGAAATCCGGCTTTTCCCGCTAAGAATCTCGCGCAACATCATCACTCTTTCACGATTCCCTTTTGCATCTGCAATTGAATATCCCAATTCGTCTGCACGACGCACACAGTCAAGATGGTCACTCCTGTAAGTCCGATGTCCGCCCAGAGGCTTTTCTCTTCGCTCAGAGCCTTTTTGAGCCACTGCGCAACCTACCATTTGCTGATCACTGCTTTCTCTGCAGCCCCGTGTTGGTACTCTGTACCCTACCTACCGCAGCAAGTTCGGCCCCAAGTACGTTCCTCGATAGCCCTACGATTCCGAAGCACGTCACTCCTTCGATTCTCGGCCCGTCAGCGTCATGAACGAGCGATGCAATGCCTCCAGAACCTACGACATGAAATCAGAGCAGTGGACTGACTGGTTGGATTTAGGTACAACACGGTCCCCAACGTCGCTGGCTGGACTGTTAGCCAGGTTATCAAGCTGTGAGTGTTCCCCGAACATCTGCGCCCTTCGCGGAAGCCCCCATAGCGCCCTCAAGAAACCTCAACACCCTCTTCCGTTCGGCCGGACACCCGAGATCAAGGCCGAAGGCAGGAGCAGGACACGGGTTCCGGTTCTAGGGAGCAACACGCCGCTGGAAGACCACGTATTTGGAGAGCCAAGTGCTGACTTGCTATTTCAGTGGTGTCCGTGCTGGTGGCTTCGGTGCCGCTGCTGGTATTGCTGCTCTGTTCTACACCTCTGGCATTCCCAGAATACAGAAGGACATCCTCCAAGTAAGCCAAGCCAACTGCGTAGAACAACTGCAGAAGGAGAGATGACTGACACCCGCACAGAAGATCCCCATCCTCGGCAACCAGTTTGTCAAGGAGGTCCACCCTGCCGACAACGTAAGTTCCCTCCAAATGTTAGAGCATACGTGAACAGCTTGCTGACTTTTGGCCCAGCCTTTCTAAACAACTTCCTGTCACAACTATGTTTTCCTGGATAGACAAAGGGAAAGCATTGTGAGCTGGAGTTATGAGACCATGGAGAGTTCTCCCTCTGAGGAGTGTATAAAAGATGCAATAGACTCTTAAACTTTACTTTGTTTGACTTTGGACCAACTGCTCGGTTACATGGGATTTGAACCTTGACCAACTATTCAATCTCAATACTGTGATAATATCCAGGTGTTTTGCTGCAAACATGTCACTGATCTTACCTGTGTGGCTGATTTACCAACTTCAATATGCACCGTGCACATACAGTGCGAAGACGCGTAACCTCCCCCATTTGAGCGTTTGGCGAACTGTTCACTTTCATCTCACTTCCACAGTCAGGAGGCCCAACTTTGGTAGCAGACCAGCTTTCGTATTGAGTCAGAAACGCCTCAGGTTTATTTTTCTCTTGACTTCAGATTCTCTTCCGCTTCCTTTGCTCACCTGGGTTCTCATGCGGCCTTCATAATTATTTTCATCAACCAGCCTGTCCTTTCCGCACCAACGGCACCTCAGGGTGTCTTACAACCATCATGAAGGCCATCGAAGCCTACGTCGATGGGCTCAACCTCCTCTCAATCATTGTGCTCTACACTCTTCTGTGGTTGATTACTCCGAGACTCCGTAACCCGACACCATCGGGTCCCAAGACCAACAAGCTTTACGATGGCTTGATGCGCGTCTCCTACAGCATCATCTTCATTGTTGGATGGGCTTGGTGCAGCAATGTCATGTCGCATGTGGAGGAGCCGTACCTGGTCGGTCAGAAATGTTCAATTTGATGTGGCTGCACTCGTTGACACTGCCTAGGATGAAGTCTTTCATATTCCACAGGCTCAAAAATTCTGCCAGGGAAGGTGGACGGAATGGGACGACAAGATCACGACTCCTCCCGGCTTGTAAGTTGCCCTTCTTGGCCAGCATCTATGCCCAGCACCCGTCGCTCACATTCTCAGGTACGTCCTTTCGAAGTACTATCTCGCCATGATGCTGCGTCCCGAGTGCTCCGTCTTGGACCTGCGAGGCGTCAACATCATCGCCATCATCGGCCTCGGCATCCTGGCCACGCACTGCCGTCACCTCATTGAGACCCGTCGTAACGACGCCAAGTCTCCAGCGCCGCCCGTCGTGCTGTCCTTCTACTCGATCCACACAGGCTGGAACATCGCCTTGTTCCCCGTCCTGTTCTTCTTCTCCGGCCTCTACTACACCGACGTCGTCTCGACCTTGTCCGTCCTGGTTGCCTATTACCACCATCTGCGCCGCGTCCGCGAGGAGAGAAGCTCGTTCCTCAGTGACCTGACTACGATCATTCTCGGAGTAGTGACCCTGACGATGAGACAGACGAACGTGTTCTGGGTAGTCGTGTACATGGGCGGTCTCGAAGCTGTATCGGCGGTCAAATCCCTCCGTCCCGCCCCTGCTAAGAAGCCTGAGTTCGGAACTCTGTTGGATTGTGCCAAGTACCACGGATGGAGGTACTCCCTAGGAGACATTCACGATCCTCCCCTGAATACTGCCTGGCCAGATGGTACGTCTCCTACATTTCAATACCATGTCCTTCGCTAACCAGTCAGATCTCGTTGTCTCCGCGCTCAGTATCGGCGTCGCCGCCATCTTCAACCCCTTCCGCGTGTTGAAGAAAGTCTGGCCGCACATCACCATCATGGGTCTCTTTGCTGGGTTCGTGGCGTGGAACGGCGGTGTCGTACTCGGTATGCCACATCGCTTCCCATTGGCTTGTTGATCTAACAACTTGCAGGTGACAAATCCAACCATGTCGCAACGATCCACCTCGCCCAGATGCTCTACATCTGGCCAATGTTTGCCTTCTTCTCCTTCCCGCTGTTCCTCCCCTCGGTCATCTCTGTCCTTCGCTTTGGCCATGGTCTTTCCACCTCCGTCTTTGGCACGGTTGCCACCAAGGAGACATCAAAGGCATCGACCAAGAATCCCAAGGCGGGAACTGACAAGGACGAGCCGACGCAGAAGCCACCGCAAGTCTCTGCCGCATACGCTCTCCTGCAGACCATCGTCGGGAACAAGCTCTACCAACTCGCCCTCACGCTCTTCCTCGTCGCCCTCACCTTGCTCGTCGTCAAATTCAACACAATCATCCATCCCTTTACTCTGGCAGACAACAGACACTACATGTTCTACGTCTTCCGCTATACGATCCGAAGGCCCGGCCTCTTCCGCTACTACCTCATCGTCCCTTACACCGTCGCCCGCTGGCTGTGCTGGGACGCCCTCAGCGGCTGCGGACAGGGCGGCTTCCTCTCAGACCACACGCAGGACTGCTCAGGACAGTATACCCACCTCCGCCCCGGTCCATTCGAGAACAGCCCCTTCAGCGCCGGGAGCTCGCAGCCCCGTCCGGAGAAGCCGCCTTCCACCGATGCTCTCGAAAGCGAAGTCGTGGGCGAGAAGCAGGGCGGAGACGCCAAGTACCACCCCTACGCCCTCATCAAGCTCGACGAGCCGACCTCAAACAGCACGGAGCCCACGTCGTCGTCGACGGCGATCCTGCTGCTATTAGCGACCACTCTGTCCTTGGTCACGGCGCCCCTCGTCGAGCCGCGGTACTTCATCCTCCCCTGGGTCTTCTGGCGGCTCCTCACCCCGGCGTGGAAGGTCCACGAGCACGCGGTCACCCACCCTGTCCTCACAAAGCTCGAGGGTCTTCCGATCGTCGGTGCGCCAGTTCGGTTCAGCAAGAAATTCGATGTCAGGCTGGTATTGGAGACGTCGTGGTTCATCTTGGTCAACTTGGTGACCATGTACATCTTCATCGCCAAGCCATACAAGTGGAGAGACGAGAATGGGCGGGTTCTCGATGGCGGCCGGATGCAGCGTTTCATGTGGTAGAGCACCGCCGCCTTACCTTTCCCGTGGCACATGTACAAAGAACGCGTAAATAAAGAGACGAGTGGTGAGGTGAAAATTGTATTGTAATCTGTTCAGTGGTCTTGCCCAACTTGATGCTTTTCTCTTTTTGCGTAGCAATGTTTGCACTTTCATGTGTGCTCTAACCCTACGACGTAGGATTTGTTCGTCGTCGAAAACAACAAGAAATCATTAGCCCATCCGTAAACGCCGTCCCGAGGTCCCGAAATCCTCGGGGTGTTCAATGTCCCGAACTTTGTCGGTTTTGTTCGTTTAATGATGCCCTTGTCCCATGTCCGCCTATGTACCTAATGTCATGCCCACTTCGTCGTGTCCCTGTCATTCTCTTGATGTATTTTCGTCATCGTCATCATCCTCTTGTCGGTTCTATAAGCTCAGTCGATCGAGACTCAAGCCATCGTTGCTGCGCACCCTCCGTACGACGCCGAGCTTGAAGAACTTTTCCTCGCCGCCCGCTGTCCGCCCGCCGATGTACCACTTGTCGGCACCCAGAACGTCACGGAACCCCTCGCTGCTGCTGTCACTTCCTCGTCGTCGGTTCGGGTGGCTTCCGGGAATCGGGATGCCGCCGCGGGGCGAGTGTAGCGGATACTGGTTCACGACACCTGATGTTGAACGCGTCGTGGAGTTGGCGGCTGCGTTGGCGTTGGCGCTACTTGATGATGCGGCATTTGAGGATATCGCACGCGGTGCCGAGGCGGCGGACTGTGTTGCGTAGGATGCTGAGGATGACGTCTGCGTGGAGTGCTTGTTCGGTTGCTGCGCGGACAGAGCGGTGGATTGGCGGAAGGAGGAGAAGAAGGTAGAGAGGAAGAAGGGGCGTTGGGAGGGCATCGTGGCTATAGTTGACTGTTCGCCCAGCCAAATGTCGATGATGGAGGAGGTGAGATGCGTGGTTGCTTAGCCCGGCTCCCCGTGCGTGCGTTGGTGCGCCGCGAGAAAAATCGGTCGAGGGGGGGATTGAGGGGATGGCACAAGGACGTTATTGTATTTTGACGTAAGTGTCTGGACGGGGAGGTTTACGGTTCCAAACGATAAAATCAAAAACTCGATCGGGGGACCCCTATTCTTTCTTTCCCTTCTTGTTTTTGGCTCTGGAGCGTGTAGTGGTCGTCCGGGTTGCTGGGGGTTATGCTTTCATCCGTGCCCGTGCCGGGTTGGTCCTGGAGTAGAAAGTCCAAGCTTGCGCTCCAAGACGGTTTCGCACGGGAAAAGAAATGAGCAGCCGCGGGGAAGCCGTTATTTGCGTGTTCAGTCGTCTGTCGAAGGGGTCGTGTTCTCCGAAGAATGTCAGTCCGGGGATGGCTGGCTGTCGTCGGTGATGTATGGCGGAGGTAGAAGTGGAAGAGGGAGCGAGTCGGTCGGTACTCGATCCCGTGGGCGGGATTTCGATCGCGGAGGAGTGTGGAAGCGAGTGATCGGCGGCAGAGAGTTGGCAGGCCGCAGATAGAGCGTAGGGCTTTTTTGGGGGGGAGCGTGTGCGTGGGAGAGCGCAGCAGTTGTGCGGCGTGGTGTTTGGTGAGGTCGTGTCGTTCCGGCGTGAAGATCCGGGGAGGTGTGTGTGGTTATCGGATGCAAGTTGGGTGAATAAATCCTGACGTCGACTCACTTGTGGCCCGCCAAACTGGATGATGGAGGGGGAGGCCCGGCTGGATGAGGAATGGCGATGGAAGGGCTGGCAAGGGGGTGGGAGGGCTTCCAAGTTCCAGCGGTCAGCGACAGGAGTCTCTCAGTGGTCGGTCGCGCAGGAGACACCGGAGTCTGGCTGTACTCTGCATGCCCAGCGCACTCTTTGCTCCACGGCTTCCACGCAGCGCAGCTGTTGGCACGCAGTTGTTGGCGCCTCCCCCTTCCCTTTCCCCCTCCATTCGGCCAATCCCGGAAGCGGACGAGACTGGCCAGTGCACCGTCTGGGGGCTCCGCAGTGAGTAATGACCAGGTCGCGATAGGTCAGGGCGGAGATTGGGGGAGGGGCGGTGGATATCCAGGTCACGTTGCCTGGTTTTGTGGGCACGTACCTCGCTAGCCCCGACGGAAAGGGCGCCCCTCGGTCGGTCTTTCCTTCGTCCTGGCCTGGCGTGACATTCACAAGCACCAATACCTCCCTCAGCTGCTTATCTTATCCGTCTTATCCTTATCCGAGGTCCATCGATCGATGCAGATGCACCCCAATGATGCCCAGCGCCCAGTGACAGAATGGAAGCCAGTGACATGATAACGATGCACACCAAGACACAACCACCTGTGGGCTGCACTGCAACTGCAACCGCAACAAGAAACGTCTCCTCGTGCGTCTTCCCCAGATTCTTGGAATTTGCCTTTCTGCGGCTTGTGTCAGTCACTCATATCGGTCCAACCTTCCGTCTTGTCTAAAAGTCAGTCAAGTGTCTAGGCGTCTGCCTTCTTGACTTCGACTTTCTTTCATCTCCCGCATCTGCGCCATCCCACACCACCTTCATCCACCACGAACATGCCTGGTCCCTGCCATCAACCATGATCTGATAATTCTCAGTCCTCTTGAATCATCTCGTATTCTATTGGCCACCCCGAGTAAGGCCCAGCAGCGCAGCGCAGATCTGGAACCGAAACGCCAGGAAGATGCGGCGGCACAGCTGTGCAACAAACCGTAGGATTGCAGCTGGCCTAGATATGCAGCCACCTACGATAGTCAACCTCGTTTAACACGGTTGGTTGGTCGGGTGCCTTCTAGGTCCCGTTGGTTCGCATTGTCAACTCGACTGACAGCTCGCCCCTGTTTGCTCCGTCCACAAGCCATCCGCCCAGCCTCTGGCGCTACCCGAGATGCGAGGTCATCACTGATCAAGGCTCGGCGGCACACCCAACATCATCCTTCTGCCGCGGCCCTTTGCGGCATTCGTGAACACAACCTGTGCATCGCGGCTCCGCTTCGCATTCCAACAAGACGCTGCCTACTTACACCCACATCCTTGAACTAAACCGACGTCAGAACGACTTGCATCCCTCTGATACAGTCCTTCATTTAGTCCACATTGTGTTTGAAAGGATACCTTGCCCTACTACCTCGGCCTTCATTGGTCTCCTCGTCCGAAGTCACCCCTTATGTGAGAGCCTTAACCTCCTTAGCCCGCAGCTCCTCCCGCTTCCTCCGCAAGCTCGCAGGCGTTCCTCGGGCATTCCTTCTCCACACTCAGGTACCACCAGATCGTTCCAACGTTGCGATTTGTCCCGATGACATTAAAGGATTGCCCGCGAACCACCATCGTATGACTTACTTCCACCCAAGGCTTTCGACAGAACCCTCATGTTGTCAGGTCCCGTTTAAACACCTTCCTTCAAGGCCGAGCAGCAGTCGGCCAACCGGGTCTCCTCCATTACAGACTTTGCGTCTGTATCGCCCGGTCCCTCCCCCTCGATCCCATCTCGACCTTGGGTGGTTTGGAAACTTGCGGGGTTTTGCGGGGTTGGCTTGCGTCTGGAGCAAGCCACCATGCCGTCCGAGACTCCAGCACCCAGCGCCGAAAGACTCTCCGTTTGCCCGCCTCTTGGCGTTTCGCTTTGCCGTCTGAGATTACCGGCTGTCCGCGTCGAGTGAGGACTGCTGCCCGGCAAGTGCTTTTCGACGGCACAGGTCACTGACTGACGCCGACATGCTATTTCTGGCTTCAGATGATTTGCTCGAAGCCGCGCAAATCAATTGAGGGTCATCTTCGTCGGCTACATTCGGCAGGTATGAATTTCATTTACAACGTTCAACTCACTCGTTTCGTGGTCTCTCAAACGACGACATAAATGAAGGGAGTTGCTTAAACATAGTACCAAGACATTTCACAATATGATTGGTGAGGGACCGATAACTATGCTTAAGGCAAGTCTATGTTTGTAGAAGACAATTCGACAGTCTTCTTGAGTGTTCATGGACTGATTCAATTTGCATTTCTACGAAGGGTCTCGAGTAGGTAATCTCAATCCGTGTCGACTCTTAGCGTAGATGTCAAGCTGAAGAACGAGCTATCGCCTGGGTGCCAGTCCTTGATGGTCATGAATGATCTCATCAAGTTCAAGCTTTTATCCGGCCAGGCAGGCAATCTCGACCTACGGCGAAGCACACCATTTCAGATCTTCCTCTACGGTGAAGGGGCAGGCAGCAGTGCGTCTTGACACCTTCTTGAATCAGAATAGGTCAAGCTACTGGGTTGGTGGTCAGCAAGCATCTAGAGAGCTCAACCCAATCCTACACGGCTCAGTAAGACACCACGTACATATGAAATTTCGGTGAAGTGCCACATTGCCAGACGTCACTTCTGACTTCAGCTGATGAGAGCCTTGTGAGCCGTCCTGTGATGTCAACGAAACTAGCGCTTTACGTAGGGCAGGATATCTGCTGAGACACCATCATCAATCGCCACGAGCCTCATTAACCTCACGGCTCTCATTGTCTGACTCTCAGCCTCACCTTCCTGCACACAATTTCTCGGGGGCTCTATAAGGAATGTCTCGCTACATCGGCTCTTAACAGCTGAAGATTTTGTTTTCAAAGTTTCCCCCCAGCCCTACCTAGACGCTTGTTGTTTTCATCACCAGCAAATCTCATCTCAGTGCGACGCAAGACGCCATGGGAACTCAGCCTCAATCAAGATTGGCCATTGCCGTCATTCTTTTGTCGTTCCAAGCGCTCCTGGGTGTATCTCAGTATCTCCTGAGTATTCAATATCACCGGAATCAGAGATTTCTCCTTGGGCCTGCTTTCCTCCAGTCGCTGGGATTTCCGATATTCGTTGCCGTCTTGGGGATTGTCCTCATAGCTGTCATGTTTAACGGCGAAGATCCTGAGAAATGCGATCCTGAGAAATGCATGGCCAAGGCTAACAAGACGTGCATTGACGATGACATCGGCGGACTTGGCATTCGTCTTGCTGCCTGGGCACAACTTGGAGTCTTACTCTTCCTGGCACTGATTGGAACCTTCCACACCAAAACGACGGGAATCAAGGAGGTTGCCGCTAGCCTCACCATTACACATCTCTCACTGGTCATCGCGCTTCTCGTCAACCTAGAGGGCCTCGAGGCGACTGATGCCATCCTTGGCTCCATGATACTTGACTCCCAGAATAGCGCACTTTCCATTCCATTAGTAACAAAGACAACCTTAGCAGCCCGGTGGCAGGTGTGGACTATTGTGCCCTGCCAAGCATTTGGGTTGGCAGTCATTGGCTTTTTGGTTCACAGATTCCACCAGAAGCAGTTCAATGTCTGTTGCCAGTCAGAGTGTGTATTAGTTGTATGGTGGGGCCGACTTAGAAGAACAAAAGAAGAAGGCACTTCAGGCTGGGAGCAGGCGGCTTTCTGGATATACTACGCCTGTAGAGTTTTGAGCGTCGCCCAGAGTGCTTACCAAGCTCTCGTGGACACTTATGCGTTCCATGACGCGGAAAACAACGACGACCCGGTGGCAAGCAAAACTTTTCATCCACTATCTAATAGTTATTCACGTCATACGAGGTTCTTTCGCAAACTTTTAAGAATACACGGGCATACATGGAAGTTTGTCGATTACCCGACGACTTTATCGCTTACGTTTCTCGTGAAAGGAGTTTTTGCAGTGGCATCCATGGCTGCAGCGGAGGCTGCGTTGAAGAAAGGCAGTCTTGGTACGCAGAGCAATGAATTCAAGACCGGTCAAATCATCGCCATGGTGGTTGCCGTCACCGGTATCATAGTAGGAGTTTGGAGGTTCGTCCGTCTGTTGCCGAGGTCTGACCAAACCGGTAGACGGCATGAAGGGGCGTGGAGATGTTGGCCCCTCCCTACGTAATTCGTAATACTATTACATTTCAGGGCGTTTTTCGGAAGATCCATTCATAATATACAAGTTGCAACGTTGAATCTTCCGTGATCTTTAGGAGCTGCTGCATGCTGGGCCGTATAGTGAAATTTCTCATACAGTCAACAAGAAGCGGCAAACGAGCTATATCACCACGGTGTGAAGTGCTGTACATAATAATACATTAACTCATGTAAGCTGGCCGAGAGCAATGATGTTGTATATTGAGTGGTCGTGATGACACAGGCTAGTTAGCAAATTGAAGTTTTGAGCATCGAGATGATGCATTCGAGGTTCCGCTCTCGGATAATGAAACGATGTGAATGATAGCCCTTGCAGGCCTGTACAACTCATTTTTCAAACTTGCCAAAAGCTGGTGAGATCATGAGAGAGCAAGGGCTTTCGGGGAGTAGCAAGAGTATCAGCTGCTAAGACTCACCTCCAGCGTCTTACCCAAGTTAACAGCCCATGTTCCCCCTACTTACGCCCTCTCAAGTTCGGCGTTTAATATTTCCAGCTATTCTCCCAACCAATTTGTGCGCAACAGACATAGATAGTCATTTCAACCAGGCTTGCACAACAACACTATTCAAGACTTTCGCCTAACTTATTAGTTCAACTTACAAAAGACGCCATTTTGGGCCGGTGTAAGCTTTGTGCAGGCAGGCTCTTGTAATTCCGAAGTGAGACTGTTACGAGGTCCGTTGAGTTGATACCGTGGAAAGGACCAAGGGGCCTTGAACGGCGGATCAGGGAGGTCATAGACTCCAGTCACCGTCTGTTTCTGAAACTTTTGCCCATTAAGTTGCCCATTAACAGACCAGACAACCCACCCGGGCGGCTAGCCTCTCCAAAGAAAATTATTATTTCTCAAAAGGTGGCTATAGTGTAAATCTCCGTAAGACTGCACAAGGGCCAGTTCCTAATGGTGTTGGCAGAGAATCTTGGTATCTCGGTGGACAATTCCAACTAGCTATGGAGCTACCCATATTACGGTCCAGAAATGTTGTCGTTTTCCAGAAGACAAAGAAAAAAAGAACATTCAATGTTATGTCTTGTTATCACCTCTCTTCGTCGCCTCTATTTTCGCCGCCGTCGTATATCATTACTATCCGTCTAGATACTTAATAAAAGTCTAATAAAAACGCCAAACTAGCTAGAAAAGAGCCTCTCAGCAAACATTCGCCACCCTTGATTGGTGTTTTGGGATTGCCACAATCTGTCAGAGGTGTCGAGAGATCAGGTCTACTTCCCCTGTGGCGATCCGTTCGTATCCTTCTAGATGGAACCTCACCAGTGGTCGGCCGGTCGATTCGTAGCGTTTCACAAGTACACTTTTATATTCTAGTACAACTGGTATGCCATTAGACTGCGAGTGGAAAGATTGAGGACTCCTGAGTGCACCTTGGCAAAGATTCGAAACGAACCCAAATGGGGGCCCACATGCTCTCCAAACTCGCCCGGGGCTCACAAGGGTACATGGAGTAATGGTTTTTGATTTCAAAGCACACAGCTACGTGTTTCTAGCACGCAGGGTACATAGGTGACATTCCTCACTAAGGTTCTCCTCAAGATCACCTTGCGAAGCCACCTTTCGGGGTCGAGTTATACCCTTCATTCAAAGCAAGAATCTGGAGATGCCGTCATCGGAGCGGTCTTGAGGGCGGAATTATCGTAATCACGAAGCCCGTCGTGGTTATGCAATGAGGGAAACAACCTACTTCATCATGCGAGAATCGGTCGTCAAAGGGCAAAGATCAAAACCTTGATTGGAGAAGTGATACCGCGGAGAAAACCTTTCACAAGCCCCGGGGGGGGGGGGGGGGGGGGGGGGGGAGATTGCAGTCACGAGAGGGTCATGATGCGGTTATAGCTTAAATGTAACGCATATTTGGGCTGCGTACCAACACTGATCGCTCCGACTTCGCGGAGCCAAATGCCGGTCCTGGATGTCAGGTACCGAAAGGGGCATGCCATATCCCCATACATAATGTACTGACAATCCTCTTTGCATCAAGATCCGCCGCTGCAGATCTCTTGGTCGCTCATGATTTCTTTCATAATATCTGGTCTGCCTTGAAATCGGATGGAGAATCTTGGAATGAACCGTTAGGTAAGGAACTCAGTCACATAGTCTGGACATCAGATGATATCATTATCATCGACGGTTTGCAACATCATAATATGGACGGGTCTTGCAACCCTTCCCCAACCTTTGAAATTCGTCAAGGCATTGCATCGGACAGATAATACCAAACAATCCACATGACTTGTAACAACGCCATACACCCAGAGGCACCATGCGGCCCTCTAGCCGGCGGGAGACTCGGGACGTCCGGAGACAGGGGAAGGCACTAGATGGTGAATCTGAGGGAGCGATGTGAACAATATGCGTAGGGCGGACCATAAAATAGACTAATCGTCCGAAAATCCCGAGTCCGAACCAGTGGAACCATGTCCCCATACATTTTTAAGACGGAGGCTATGAGCAGCGAAACTCGAACTTCTTGGCCAAAACTCCCTCGAGCGACTCGAGTACGTCGTCATTGAACCCCTGACAAGCTAGACCCTTGTTCATCGCCGTGCCAAACAGCCCCCAAAGTCCGAACTCCTGGGTCGCAACGGCCTTTTTTAACTTTTTACTCTCCGTCTCCTGCGAACCCCCTCAAGACACCACACCATCTTTTTTCTCTTGGGGGTGTCAGCTTTGTTGCACTGCGCCGCCCGCCTTTAGACTTTAGTCCCTAAAACATCAGACTGCGATCATGCCAAACACGACAACGAGTCAGAAATGGGAGCAGAAATCGTCGCAAGTGTACGGACAGATGCAGTCTGAAGTTTTGAACTCTATCTTCAGATGGCATGGGATAAGGCACGACACTATCGGAGGCTTCCGTCGGGTTGACATATATCTTGGCCGCAAGGCCGCGATGATAATCATGGCTTGAACAGTTCATCACTTCCACTCTGACAACACGGTCTCAACTCTCTTTTTCGCTTCTTCCTTGCACATTCCTTTCTATTGCGCAGTGCCGGCCACTTGCTCTTTCTGCATCCGTTCGTTTCAAGGCCAAGAGTCTTTAATCAATCTACATTCTCTAGAATTTCCCGAGACCTATAAAGAAACAAAATGAAGCCCACTTTCATTACCCTCGTTGGCCTGTTGGCCTCATCTGTTGCTGCTGGACCAGTTCCCGCCGAATTTGGCTCTGGCTTGTCGGTCAGAGGTAACGGTGGAAATGGAAACACTGGCAAGCAGTCTGGGGCCAAAGGTGGCAACAAAGGCGGCAACCAGGCCGGCGGTGCCAACAACAGCACGGCTAACGCTGGCGGTGCTACTGGTGGTGCTACTGGCGGCGCCGCGAAGGCGGGCAACACTACAGCGCTCGTCTTGCCTGATGGTCGTATCAAGCAAGATGCCACGCCTGAAAACTTCAACGTACTGGAGAGCGTTTTCAAGAGTGCCGTCGTCAAAGGAGATGGTAAGAGATGCAAATGAAATTTCAGAGCTGGGAGCTCATACGTGCAATAGGCCTTGTTTTCAGCGACGTCATCACTTTCCCTCAAGTAGAACCGTCTTTGGTAAGCCCTCGGATCTGGAGTCGCCCGGGAATCGTACTCACACTTTCTAGTTTGACAAGTCAACCAACACCAAGGCCTTTGCCATTAACATCGACGACAAATCCGTCTTCATCCCGAAGGGCGGCGAGGCACAGTCCAACATCCGCCGCGCCGATCTCCTGCCCAGTATCCGTTCGCAGTTGAACGATGTGGCTGTTACCGGTGTCCGCACTATGCATTTCTCTATCCAGCGCGATGCGACCAAGCCTCTCAACGTGACTCACGACTATCAAGTAATGAACTTGGAGTCCAAGGACTTTAGCTTCCACCAGTTTGATGTCCGCACCGGAGCTGAGAACGGTAACGATATCGCCATCTTCGGCAACTCCAAGGCCACTGCCAAACCTCAGAAGATCTTCTCTACACCTTTCGGCGAGGGAAAGTTTGAGAACTTTGCTATCAAGATGGATTTCACTGCCAAGTATGTTTCATTTAAGTTTACTGCGGTATGGGCATGAGGGCTAACTCATTTGTATCAGCACCATGCAAGTCTTCCACAGCACCGGCACCGACCCCCTCAAGCAGGTTACGGAGCCTGTTCAGAACGGTTAGTAGCTTTGTGTTAGAGAGGATTGGCACCAAGCTGACTTCAATAGACATGGCCGGCCTCGGAGAGTACCACTTTTCTCTGCAGAAGAACCCTGTTGGAACGGCTGCTCAGCCGACCGGTATCAAGGAAGCAATCATTTTTGGTGGTATCTTCATGGAAGACTCTACCAATGGCCAGGTCACTCTTCAGTAGATGCAGCTAGTGTAAGATTCTGTGATGGAACATCGACCAAGGCACATGTGGCAAGCTTCTATTTCGGAATTGGTTGTATGAGATACTCACTGGTGGTACTGCTAAGACATAATACAGCCATTTCTGGAATTATGTCCTCGGCACTGAACACGCAGTTGCAATTAAGTAAGGTACAGTGTGTTACTCAGACAGCCCACTTGTCATCATCATCATCATTCTTCTCCCAGGAGTCCCAGTCCCAGTCGTTGTCCAAGTCCCAGTCGTTGTCCAAGTCGCAGTCGTTGTCCAAGTCTCAGTCGTTGTCATTTGACTCCTTTCCACCTCCACATTGGAGCTTGCCTTCGTCATCGACCCAGAAACTGTCTTCACCGAAGGTCGCCGTGCCAAGAATTATTTTGGACTCTGCGTCCTTTCCGTCGTCGCCCTTGCAGTGACACTTCAGGAAAGGCGTGAGCGAGGTCATGCCCCTCCCATCATCCCCAACCACACATTTGGAGCACTTATCCTTGACTGTGCTTCCACCGTTTTTTCCGGCTTCAACCTCCTTGAAAAATGTGTCATAGCTGATACACTGGTCAAGGTTGACCCACGTTGGCTCCGTGAACTCTCCCTTTTTGTTCTTGCAGCACGCCTCAAAAAAGTGGTCGCCATTGTAAGGGCCGTATTTGCCCTTGTACGTGCGAGCCTTGACACAACGGCCGTCCAGGATATCGAGACGTGTTCCGGAGCGATTGGGAAATTCGTCGAGTCTTTCGAGGCATCTTTTTGGGTCTTTAGAGGGAGGCAGGTAACCGGATGGTGGGTCACCGGCAAGAGCAACGGCGGCGACAGCCAGAAGAACGAAAGCTTGTGTGCGCATTTTGGTTGCTGGTTGTTGTTTGCTTGATGAGAGTAGTGTCTGGTGAGGGTGGGCAGATTTTAATTATAGTAGAGCTTTTCGAATGAAGAGCTGGTTTGTCTGAATTGTTTTTGCTGAGTGGCTTGCCGACAATGTTGTGTTGCTAAGCCAGATGAGACAAGAACGAAAGAAAAGTCTGGGAACGCGGAAGATTTTCAGTCTAATATATCCTGTTGTGAGGCTTCGGAGATACGAAGGTACAAACAAGACTATCCCATCGAGTGCGAGTTGACGCCAAATCCGCCAAGGTGCGGAGAACGCTAATCAACAAGCAGGACATCACGCTAATACTTTTTTCTAGCCACTTAGAAATTCTGATATCAAGGAAATTGGAGAAAAAAGCGGGCATGTATTTTTGGCGTTAACTCGCACTCGATGGGATACCAAAGAAAAAGAGGTTATGAGCGAATCTATGGGCGATGGCAATGCCAACCAAGTTGAAGTGCAGTTAACCTCTTTGCCTTTGACTGGGCGATAGGCCCGCTTGACCTACCGTTTTGGTTGTTGGCATCAAACCGGAAAGTTGCTACTAACAAGGAACAGATTTCAGACATTGTCGAAGATAAGCAATATGCAATGTGATGGAACCCATTGTTATTACCAATATTCTGATCACTGATCAAGACCATGTTAGAGGAAGTTTTCGAAGACGAAATCTCACAATCTCGTGTGCATGTCAGGCATTAAAGCTGCCGGGCGTTCAGCTGTTCCAAAAAAAATACTCGAAGTCTATGTGGATGGGCTAGAAAGGTCGCCAAGAACTAGGAGAGCGGCAAAGTCTAATTCGAGTTGCCTAATATCCTTGAAATACAAAGAGCCAATTATAACTCCGCGAGCTCTTTTCGATCTTAACAAGATCCAGCACTATGTCAAGCCCAGTTGTGCCATCAAGGGCGTAGGAAGCCTCGGAGACCAACCTTGCGAAGGCATAGGGAAACTGCCCAATTCAATCTTGAACATCGTTGTTCATCGCGGCTTCAAAAGCGTCCCCCGGCAGCCATAAAAGAAATCCCTTTCTAGGGGACCGGGGTTGCTTGTTTACCCTTTCCTGGTTTGCAAGGTGATTGTATATCAGACACTCCTATAATGCCATACTACATTAGTAATTGTCCTCACGAGTCCAGAACCTGCGATATCAAAAACACGATCCACAACTACTTAATGATTACCTCCCATCTGGCAGAACCGAGCTCATGGAGATCCAGACGTACGTTCTCCTTGTAGCATCCCTTGTAACTGCAACTCGACTGGATGCCAACATCGTGATGTCTAAGGGCTTTGATGCATAACGTCTGGTCTGCTATCAGGGTCAAGTTCATGATTTGAGCGGGGAAAACAACACAATACCCCGGCACCTAACCGAGTCCTCTTCAGACTTCGCCTTAATGCACGCCCTAGATGGCAAACTTGCACGGCAAAGCCAGATCGCCCTTGGCAGCACGCCCTACCATGCTCCCTGAGGCCCGTAAATGGCCCAAATAAGACGCCAATTGATACCAACAACGGCTAAGACTCATGTTTTCATTCAAAGGTGTGTCCGGTATGCTGCCTGAGCAAACGCTCCATTTGATGGTGTCTGGGGGCAGAATGCAGCAGCCTAAAACTAAAGCTTATAGTGAACCAAGTTGAAACATTGAAAACTCACACAATCTTCTCTGATATTGAAGTAAGGTAGATGGAAGTCACTTGGCAACTGTCAGACGCATTCGTCCTTGACCAATTCTCCTTCCGGTGGCTCGATCCACATGGCCGGACCCGACTCCGCCGACCCCGAGCGAAAGCCGGAACGCTAAAGCGGCACCCCGTTCCAGGTGTGCGGGGCCTTGAGAGTCCATCGTGTTTGCGAAAACGAGAATGCTCCTCCCGATACTCCCCGGGCTTCACGCTACGTCTTCAGAGCGATTACGATAGAGATAATACTATTTTCGACTGCAAATTGCAGCCAATCTTTTTTCAACCTTCGCTGCGACTAATGCCAAGCAACGATACATCATTTCTTCCCAAATGCTGCGCTCTTACGCCGAAGGGTCATCTTGCGTTAAAAACCTGCTCTGCCCACTATTCCGCACCGTTCCGCTTTGTTCCGCTGTCTAACCACCAGGGTTATGAGTCGTGGCTGCACAGAAATGGGTAGCTAATCGCCGAATCGCCTAGTGGACTGATTGCTTACCAAGGCGAAAATGCCATTCTGCGTCATTGTCTTTTTGTAATCGAGTTCCACGCCTTTCCCGCGTACCCCGAATGCCGACTAGCTTGATGCATGTTGCAAATACCTCGCGGATGAATTGGCTCTATATATAAGTGCCTCGCATCTTTTTTCAGTTGACTGCTTGAGCGCACTCCCGAGTATACAACTTACATTTACCAGAGCGATTCATTCTTCATCGGTCATTGGCGTAATTGCAATCCACGCAAAACATTTCGGGCAAGAGACTTGACTTCGGACCCACCCACTTGGTTCAAGCACTATCACCGACACCATCACGATGTCTACCGCCAACATTTCGGAGAGCAAGCTGTTCCAGCCTCTCAAGCTGGGAAACTCACAGCTCAACCACCGCATAGCCATGGCTCCTCTGACTCGCTACCGCAACGATAAGAACCATGTAGCGATGCCATTCGTCCCTAGATACTACGGCGAGCGTGCCTCAACTCCGGGAACTTTGATCATCTCCGAGGCTACTGGTGTGTCGATGCAGGATACCGGAGTCCCAGCAGGCCCGGCTTTCGTGACGGATGAGCAGGTCGAGGCCTGGAGAAAAGTCATTGCCGCGGTTCACGAGCAAAAGTCAGTGTGGTTCCAACAAATCTGGGGCCAAGGTCGAGCAGCAGACCCCGAATACCAGAAGGCACGCGGTTTCAAGTACAGGTCGTCCAGCGCAGTCCCCATGGAGCCGGGCGCTGCTGTTCCTGAGGCGATGACGGAGGAAGAGATTTTGGAATTCATCCAAGACTTTGTCGCAACTGCCAAGAGAGTGATTGCGGCTGGAGGTGACGGAATCGAGATTCACTCGGCTCACGGCTACTTGTTGGATCAGTTCCTTTCGGATTCGGTCAACCAGCGTACCGACAAGTGGGGTGGATCTATCGAGAACCGATCTCGCCTCACTCTCGAGGTAACGAAGGCTGTCGTTGAGGCGATTGGCGCTGAGAAGGTGGGCATTCGTCTCTCCCCCTACGCCTCTTTCCAGGGCGCAGAGTCATCGAATGTCCACGAACAATACGGCTACCTCGTCGGCGAGCTAAAGAAGATGAATGTCCCCTTTGCCTACTTGTCTCTGGTTGAGGCTCGTGGCGACCCGGCAAAACTACTGGTGCCCAGCCAGGATCCTTCCATCGAGCAACAGACCCTCGACTTCATTCTGGATATTTGGGATAACTTGTCTCCCGTGATTGTCGCTGGAGGCTACACACCTGAGACAGCGGCGAAGGCCCTGGAGACACACTACGCGAAATGGGACGTCATCGTTGCTTTTGGTAGAAGCTTCTTGGCCAACCCTGACTTCGTCTACCGCGCGCAGCATGGTATTTCTCTCAACAACTACCACCGGCAGTCCTTCTACATCAAGGGCTCAGAAATTGGATACAACGATTACCCATTCTCGTCGGAGTGGATTGACGCCCGGAGGGAATGGGCCATTAAGAACCTCGAATCGAACTACAAATAGACATTGCATTGGGAAAGCGTTCATTGGGGACGGGTAAAATTGAAACTCACAAATATTTGGTATTATATTAGACAAGCGGGAATGAAAACTTACGACTTATCAATGCTAGAAAATAGAAGAAGACTAGTATATATCAATGACATGCCTCACGAGTTTTGTTCGGAATGACAACAGTCTGATTATTTATCTCCTGCTTGGTCAGTACTTTAACACCAAGTTCCACGAAATCATTTCCAACAGCAATTATTTGATTCAAGGTGCTTGCCGTACATTAACTTTTGGCTATTCCAGATACTCGCTGTGCATGCTACGTAACTACACACGGTGTTACAATTAGATAGAATGAAATCGCAATTAAATAGACCTTTCAGGGCCAAGATTCAACCTCGTAGAACATGGGAACACCACAGCCACGACGAAGATCATAGACTTGATCCCGATGCTCAATAATGCTTCCCTACATGGGTTTTGCTATTCGGGCGGATACTTCCAATTTACCGGGCGGACTACTACTTGAAGCTCTTGCCTGAGTTGTAGCTATACGACTATTGTTATGATTATTTTCGTCGTTATTATCCTCGTCTTCATCGTCTCCGTCTTCATCATTATCGTCTTCGTCGTCGTCGTTATTATCGCTGTTCCTCATTCTGTCTTCAAATTTTGTCGTTACCGTTATTCTGTTATTCCACCCGCCCCGATACTGCATATGTGGAAAGTAGTATTAGTAGAGAATAAAGCTATACTAGCTGACCAACATGGGCCTTCGCAGTGACATTTGCTACATTATGAATATCTTTCAGAGATTGCAATGTTCAACCACAGACTGGTAGAAACTCGATCATTGAGGAACGATCTTGCAAGTCTCTTCGAACTCATCTAGGGCATTCCAAAGAGCAGCCTGAAAGATAGGAGCATGAAACAACTGGCCTGGATATGTCTCTTAGCTTGCAAATCGCAGCATCAGCAGACCCATGGCAATGGCGGCATGTAATACTGTAGCGCAAGACCGAAGCATAAGCAACAAGTGATAAAATAAACCCGATGGACGCTTTCCTAAATTATGCCGCTGGATGAGGTGCCGATTAGTCTAGAACTCGACCAGAACGTTATCAACAGCCACAGTGAGGCAAAGTGGCGTAGGCGAATCTTGACATTTCCGGCCTCGAACGTTGCTGCTACGGCCGGCGGCGCGCACCCGCATGTCTCTTATCAGGGTGAACCATGTTGTGTGCTTAACGCTCTACATAGGTGCTTTCCACATGTACCTCCGTACACGTTCGATACACATTGTTGGAGACCGACACTCTGTACTCTCTGTACTCTCGTGCTCCTTAAGCCATAATCTGCCGATGGTGAAGGAATTATTGTCAAAGGCACGCGGCTGGTGGAAGTTGGTGTGGTTGTCCTTTGGCCGCAGAGGCTGAACTTGCGCCGGCGGCCACGGCTTATCACGCGTGCTAGCTAGCAGCATCGCCGGGGGTCGACCACCCAAAAGGCCGGAAATCAGGTAACCTTGCCCGGCTCCCGTGGGCGGGCGGCAGCATGATTGCTCGGCTGATGCTCCCTTGGAATGGGGGTTCAAGTGGTCGAGTGCCTGGGTATGGGAAGAAATTGGGGATGTCTGGAGATAAGTGGAACGTACTGATGGTGTCGATCCGACGGGGGGAGATCCCCAGCCACGCGAAGGTAGTGGGACCCAGGGGTCTCCCTTTGGGCACCCCCTTATCTTGGTGTGGCATCTATCAACAGATCATCTTATCAGAGGACATGAGACAAGACGAAGAAGTACCGGTGTGGCTGCAGCGCCAAAGTTTGGGCGGCAGAAGGTTCCTAGAAGCGCTTGATTGATGGTTGGAAATTGGTTGCCAATCGCATCCGAACGACTGGTGCTTGCGGCAAGATACATCGTGCAGATTTGACAGATGGAATTTCAAATTCGATATCCTTACCAGAGCACGCAATACTTTTTTGACGTCAAAAACCCAGCTTCATTGAGGGTCCCTTCTCCAGACTGACGACACGCTGACCGTGCTCCTGTAACCTACTGCTCCTCTGTCTCCAGTCGCTAGCGAAGAGAACTTCATGTGCTGGCGAGGGTGAACAAAGACAGCGACAATAGGGCCGAGAACCGATGCGCGGCCCCAAGTTCGTGAAAAATCTTCCGCATCGTTAGCTGATTTCTGTTCCATCAAGTCCCGAGATGCACGAGGCGACCCAAATCTAGCCGTTTGTCACTCCCGTCAGTTGGTTGACTCGATGAGATCGAGTAATGATTTTTCCCAGCATGCGGGGTTTTGGAGCCAACGATAAGCTACCCCTGCCAGACAGGCTAACTTATCATACATAGCCGCACCGTCCCATGCCGAGCAGGCATCATGGTGCATCTGTGCTGAGCGGGAGCCGTTCTTCGTCGCTGTGCTACGAGCGCCACCTCCCCCAGTCTCCAACGCCCCTGATAAGACCTCTCCTCGGGCTGGCCAATGGCAGCTGTCCAATCCTTCCAAGGAGACATAATTTTCGGATTTCTGGTACAGGCCTCTGGGCTCTTACTCGATCAGATTTGACGTCGTTGTCGAGCTCAGCGCTCTCCAATTTGCTGCAATCACGGCGTGACCGGCAGCACCCTTGCCCGAATGCGGTTCGTAGCTTTCTTGCCTGCGTCTGTTGGTATCCCATGCCATGACTTTTCCCCAATGGTCGTCTCCCCAGCGGGACAGGAATGCAATCCGAGCGAAAAAGAGCTTGTCAATGTGGGGGGCGTCGCTGCGATTTCCGGGGCCATCAGTCGATGTCCCCGGCCAAAGTTACGACAGACTCGTCTGCGTTCTGGGCCAAGACCGTTATCAAACTCCCCAGTCCAACAGCAACACCGGGCCTGCGGACACAGAATAAATATCAGGCGACATCCTCGCGTGTTTTGTTTCTTGTGTCTGGATGAGATCCAGCCTGGGCCTTTTCTTCAACCCTCTGCCTTGGAATCGCCACTTTTAGGGTGCAGCACGTTGCAGATCACAACCTTTGAGACCCTGAGACCCGACTTTTCGCTTACCACCTTGACGTGCATAGCGTCATCGCATCGTGTGACGAACCGCATCCCGGTCTTTGAAAGGTTGTCTTCCGGCCTTTGTGGTCATTCTTGAATCTTTGAGAGAACCGTACGCATTTTCGACTTCTTTCGACCTCTACGCGCCCGTCAAATTCCCGAGATCGACACGATGGATATCGATACTGCGACCACGAGCGCGCGGCCTGAAAAGGTCCATGGCTCCAAGTTCAGATATTGGGCTGATAAGCTGGCCGTTGAGTCGGAGCCCGGCTTGACCAAGGCGCAGCTGATGGTATGGCATACCTACCACCTCGAGAAACCGCTTCGCGTGCCGAACTGAGACTAACGGATGCGTCCATTTAGCTGACGAACCACGATCTCAAACCGTGAGTAGTCGGCGACAGCGGCAAAACCGCTTATCAATCCCCTGGACATCTTGCTGACAGGTGGACAGTGTCGAACCCGAAAGACGGCAATGGGGTCCGTGGAACTTTGTGGCATTCTGGGTCGCTGACTCCTTCAACGTCAACACGTGGATGATTTCGTCTTCCATGGTTGTAGGTGGTCTTTCGTGGTGGCAGTCCTGGCTATGCGTTTGGCTGGGGTATGCAATTGCTGGTGCCTTCATTTGCTTGACTGGTCGCATCGGTGCTGTCTACCACATCGGTTTCCCCGTTGTCAACAGATCATCTTTCGGCATCTGGGGCAGTTTGTGGCCAGTTTTCAACAGAGCTGCGATGGGTGAGTTGGTCGAATCGTGAGCGCGGGGCCTTCTTACTAACCACCCTCCTTCTAGCCTGCATCTGGTACGGTGTTCAAGCTTACATCGGAGGCAATTGTGTTTACCTTATGATCCGATCAATTTGGAAATCTTGGGTGAGTGGGAGTCAAAACAGAGACTTCTTCGCAGCACGCCAGCTAATTGTCTCTAGGATCGCGAAACGATTAACCCTGGAGGCTTCCCATCAGACTCCGGTACTTCGACCGCGGAATACGTCTCCTTCTTCATCTTCTGGTTCTGTTCTTTGCCAGCCATTTGGTTCCCTGTTCACAAGATTCGCCATCTTTTCACCGTCAAGTCTTACGTGGCTCCCTGCGCCGGCATTGCGTTCTTGATCTGGGCCGTTGTGCGCGCCGGTGGCGTTGGCCCCATCATCCGCCAGCCTGCAAAACTCCAAGGCAGTGACCTTGCCTGGGAGTTTGTCAAGGGCGTCATGTCCTCTATCGCCAACTTCGCGACGCTCATCGTTAACGATCCCGATTTCTCCCGTTTCGCTAGAAAGCCCCGCGACGCCTTGTGGTCTCAGCTTATCACGATTCCCACTGGATTTGCCTTCACTTCCTTCATCGGCATCATCGTCTCGTCCTCATCGACCGTCATCTACAACTTGGACGAACCCATCTGGAACCCGCTGTCTCTCCTCGAGAGATTCATCGACGACGGTGGCTCTGGTCAGAGATTCGGAGTCTTCGTCATCGCGAGTTCCTTCGCTTTGGCTCAACTCGGTACGAACATTGCGGCGAACTCGGTCTCTGCAGGAACCGATATGACGGCCCTTTTGCCCCGCTACCTCAGCATCCGCCGCGGTGGATACATCTGTGCTGCTGTCGGTCTGGCCATGTGCCCTTACACCCTGCTCACCGACTCGAACAAGTTTACAACGTACCTCTCGGCATACAGCGTTTTCCTCAGCTCCATTGCCGGCGTCATGTGCTCCGATTACTACTTTGTCAGAAAGGGTTACCTCGAGATCAAGGAGCTCTACGATGCTCGCAAGGCTGGGCCTTACTTCTACACCTGGGGTATCAACTGGCGCGCTTATGCCGCCTACATTGGCGGAATTCTCATCAACGTTGTTGGTTTTGCTGGAGAGATTGGGCGCGATGTTCCTGTTGGTGCCAAATACATCTACAACATCAACTTCTTCGCTGGCTTCATCGTTTCAAGCGGCATGTACTGGGGTCTGTGTAAGATTTTCCCGGTTCCCGCGACCAGCGACAGGTGGATGGAGGTTGGCGAGGAGATTGATGACATCAGGGTAGCGTACGACAGCAACAGCCAAGACTTTGATGAGGAGGCTGTAACTGGTACTTCAAAGGGCCTTCATAGCCCGAAGCTTTGAAGTTGATGGAGGGGTCATATGTCTGAGGAGTTGACGATTTGGATTTTGTTGGATGATACCACTATTGCGAGCGAAAAGGTGTGACTGTTGTCTATGGAACTAGAAGAGCCTTTGCAGTTGAATTGAAGCATCAAGGCCGATATACTGCTTCTCAATGCCAAGCTATGTTTTGAGTGATAATTACCTTAAAAGACCAATCGCACAACCCATCGTAGGCTCTTGCGGACTGCATAGGATGGTACATGGTATCAGCTTATGAGGTAGCCAGACACTCAGGTCGGTAATAGTGAACGCCTCAGCAACCACCGTGTCCAGGGCTTTACACACTGTTGCAGTAACTCTAGCCCACGAATGAGGAGCAACACTGGTCTGCATCTGTGGGGCCATCAGCAGCTAACCAACTTCAACTCACCGCCAGCGGAGCGTCCAGAAGCAATGAAGTTGATCAATGTGCATACTCTTGAGATTGAAACATTCAATGCAGGAGAGCAAGTTCCAAGATACGCCATTCTATCTCATACATGGGGCAGTGACGAGATCAGCTTCCAAGAATGGATCACAAATTTCGGCAACCCCTCTCCTGAGTATCTGGAGAAGGATGGGTACCTGAAGATCATCAATGCTTGCTCGAAGACGCGGGATGACAAGCTACGTTACCTCTGGGTAGACACCATCTGTATCGACAAATCGAGCAGCGCCGAGCTCTCCGAGGCGATCAACTCCATGTTTGCGTGGTACGAGCGGGCTACCGTCTGTATTGTCTACATGGCTGATGTTGAGTGGGAGGATGAGCTCATCCATAAGATTCACACCAACCAATACTCAAGCTTTGGCTCAAGTCGATGGTTTACACGGGGGTGGACCTTGCAGGAGTTGTTAGCTCCCCGGAAAGTCTTCTTCTTCACCAAGGAATGGACAGAGATCGGCACCAAATCTGAACTAATGTTCAAAATCTCAAAGATCACCGGTATCGACGTTAGTTACCTCGCCGATACTAGGAGAATCTGGTCGGCAAGCATTGCCGCACGTATGAGCTGGGCATCCAATCGACACACAACACGACCTGAAGACATGGCTTATTGCCTGCTCGGCATCTTCGACATCAATATGCCGCTCTTGTACGGAGAGGGTTCGCGGGCTTTTCTACGCCTGCAAGAGGAAATCATCAAGTCCGCCGATGACCACACCATTTTCTGCTGGACTTGGGATGCAGACAAGACCCCTGATCAATGGCAGAGCGTTTTGGCTCCTTCTCCATCAGTCTTTTCAAATTCAGGCTCTTTCGTGGCCACGCACAGAAACTTCGAGAGCGCGCCATATCAAGTCACTAATGTCGGATTACGGATCAAGCTTCCCGTGGTAGCTGCAGTCAACTGTCTCTGCGCCATGCTGTCCGTCATTAGCACGGATGATGCGGACCCGGAGCACAAACGAATGATGTGCCTGCCTCTAATGGAAGAAGGCCACATTTACCGAAGATGCCCGTTCCCTGGTTGCCCATTTCCCGTACACCGATCTATCGTATGCGAGACTAAGGAAATGTACCTTCTGTACAAGATCTCGAGGAATACAGAGGATCTCATGCCATGGCCGTATCGCCATCTGTTTGAGTATGGCTTTCACATCAACATCCTCGATGAATCATTTTCCACAGACATAAACCGGCAAATGATTACCTCAGTCGACTGCTTGGTTCCTCAGCATAAGCAGACCCCCACATCGCATATATCAAGGCCAGTGTACAGCACAGTTGGCTTTCGGTCAGCCCTGACACATGCTTTTGGAGGCTTGATACTGAGAATCAACTATCGCAATGAGAGGTTTCTCGTCTTTCTCTCAGTGAGTCAAAGCGAGGGGAACTTGAAATGGAACTGTGAGGTTCTTGATCCCAAGTTCGCGGACCACGACGTTGATGATTGGCTCCTTGAATTCGAGGTGCATAGCAACAGCACAGAGAACATGCCCGACTGTAGCTTCCATTCAGCGCTTTCACCGAGTGGCACCGTACAGATACTCATAGCACTGGATGGAGACATCGTAAGCGAGGATGGTCGACGTATTCGAGTTATTTACCTTGTACTTTCGAGTAAAGATAACATGAGCCCACGTATGCAGGATACGTGGGGCACTTTGCAGCGCAGTTTAGGTGATGTTAAGGGACGACGGATGTTTTCATAGAGATATAAAAGGCGGATTGCATATCCCATCGAGTGCGAGTGGACTGCAGTACAAAGGCGTACGGGATAATATCCAATCAACTCATATATAGAGGGATCGACACTTTTTTTTAGCGAATAACGAATTTCGTGGTTGATCAGAATTGGAGAAAAACTAGAGGCCTATGTACTGCAGTCCACTCGCACTCGATGGGATACTCCAATCGCGATTGATTTACTAAACTCAACATAAATCTGGATGAATGATAACATAACGGACGTAAGGATGATGAGTATTGAAACCCACGAGGTTGCATCAACTGGGTTCTTTGACTATATGGTTGAACCCGTCCTGAGACTCTCAATCGTTATTTCGAAACAAACCTGCAGTGGTCAAACCATTGATGGATCAGACATAAATATCAATGTCCTAACTGTAAGTGCAATCATGCAATGACGCTGCCATGTCCTCCATCATACCACGCATACTATCCGTATGGCTTTCCAGTATGGAAACAACTCTGGCACCATTGCCTTCTGCGCGAGCAACAATTTCAGCTTCATTGTGGACTGACGGCGGCGCAAAGATGGTCTTTCCAACGGTGATCATACCCATCTGATCCAGAGGCTCCACGGGATACGCGTTGGTAAGCAGCTGATCGGGTACCGAAAGTCTACCCAAAGCTTCTCGGAGAAATGGGGCCAAGTTGCCGCGAATACACGCTTGATGCAACTTCATTTCATCCTTCCCCTTTGCGAAGTAATCAGCGTACAGCTGGCGGAGACGCTGACACTGTTTCGGCGTCTTGCAGTTCATAAATCCGTAGTCGACAGCAACGGCGGAGACCGGCCCAGTTCGCTCCCATTGGGCATACCTCTTAAGCTGCCAGACACTTTCATAACTTTGCCCGACGACTTTCATTAGGCCTCTGAAGTTGCGAAGTCCAGAAATTTCGTTAGACAGGCCATGCTTTTCGAACAAGAATGGGATAGTGGAGTGCGTTACGGCGCTCCAGAACTCATCGAGACATGTCTCGTGGAGAAGCTTCCGGTAGGCGCGCCGCATGTGCAACAAGCTCTGCCAGTTGGGAGCCGTACAGAATCCAAGGTCAATCCAATTGTCCTCGTCCACGTTAGGAATCAGACCAAGCTTCATCTGTGTCCAAAACACAAAGGCTTGGCGCTTCGCGAGAGGACGAATATCCGTCATGATGGTGTCGCAGAGTTGGGGAGGACACCACTGGCTCGCCACGTCACAGAAGATATTCCCAAAAATCAGGACATTGCGAGTTGGTACTGAAGCCCTGGAGACCTTTGAGCCAAGCGGCATCGTCAGCCAGGCCCGTCTTATTGCAGCTCGATATCAGGAGCTCCTGTAAGTCGTCGTCCTCGCATGCCTTTCGAAGCTGTTCGTCTGCGGTGCCGCTGTGGACGATGTGGCAGTAGACACGAAAGAGTCGCGCTCGATCGGCTCCTTTAGCGAAGAACTTGAACCCGAAGGTGTGAGAGATTTCCTCGTCCATTGGGAAGAAGCGCTTGCGGCATGCGACCACTAGACGTGCTGCGGCATCTGTTGTAGGAAGATTGGCCGCATCGTCTATTTTAGGGTTGAATTAGAGATCAATTGTTACCGGCGATTGGTTCACATGCTTACTTGATGTCTTCGTCCTCAACTTCGATTCCAGAGAAGCGGGAAAAGAAGTCGGCCTCTCTGGGGTCCACATCTTCATACCGGAACAGCGATTTATCTACCGTCTCTGGTATGAACTGACAGTACGCAGCTAACGTGTTGATTCCAGTTGCCATTATGGACTGCGTATGACTCGCCCCTCAGCTACTGAGTATCTTGTTGATGTAAGGAAGTCTTGCCGGGAGGATACATGAACCAGACTAGCAGAAGTATAGTTGGCGAGGTGAGTCGGGGTAGATCATGGTGGTGAGCGGGGCTTTATAGGTACTTTCCAAGAACCGTAAGCAAGTATCAAGAACTATGGGACGAATTTGGTGTCTGGCTGTGACTGCATTCGAAATGTTTAGAAGCAAATGGCACAACAATAACACACATGGATTATGGACGCTAACTCTTGTACATGAAACACTGAAAAAGAAAGGAAAAAAAGAAAATGTATCGTAATTGCTGAAGCAATTACATGTCGGCTGTAGCCCTCACGCATGCCCTCCTTCCTCTTCCTCTTTCCATCTGGCTCTGCGCCTTTAACTTTCCCGCGTCACTTCAAATAATGGCTCAAGGTTATTCTTAGCACCTACTATCGCGCGCTTGAGGGGTCTAATCGCTGATAATAATTTCGGAAAGCAGAGATCTGCGCACCGTGGTAGAATTAGCCATGGGAAAAGCTCTTGGAATGAAGGCTCTTGAAAGGGATAAGCCAAGTTTATCAAGTAAATAATAGTCGAAGGGGAGTGTTCAAGTGTCAAGCCGTGGCGTGGATCGGCTTACCGAGACACACCGATCTCGGTGTGCCCCGCACGGAAATGAATCCCGATTACACTAACAAGCCGAGGCAAATCGCCAATTGCCCCTGCAACACATCATCTCTTTACCCCGGACCGCCCCCAACCTCACCTCCCTCAACAATCTTTACCGGCACTCACCAATTCTCACCATTGTCACTTTCCAAAGTCCTCAATTGATACCGCCAGGCCTCTTAGTCGTGAAATTACAGCTTTTAGACACTTGAAGGGCCCTCCCGAAGCTGTGTACTGCCTCCCTGAAGTCCGCCACAACAACAATAACATCCGTGCATCACCACAATGGCTTCTCTCAAGTCCCCTCCTCCTCCCGTTCCCGACACGGACATCACCTTCCCCCGTCCCCACATTCTCCAGATCACCCTCAACCGGCCCCGCCATCTCAACTCCATCCCCTCACCGCAGCACTACGCCCTCTCCAAGCTCTACGAGTGGTACGACGCCGAGCCGTCCCTCCGATGCGCCGTCCTCACCGGTACTGGCCGTGCCTTCTGCGCCGGCGCCGACCTGAAGGAATGGAACGTCCGCAACACTTCTGGTAAATCGCCCACCCCGTCGTCCGTCAGCACCGGCTCGGGCGGCGCCCTCGCAGCAACAGCCACGGCCTCCCCGGCTCCCGTCGTCACGTCTTCGCACCCCGATGCCAAGCCTGGTGAAAAGCGGCCGTCGTCCGCTGGGTTCGGCGGCCTGAGCAATAGAGGTGGCAAGAAGCCTGTCATCGCGGCCGTCAACGGGCTGTGTCTCGGCGGAGGGATGGAGATGATCATCAACGCGGATCTGGTGTATGCCTCCAACAAAGCCAAGTTCGGGCTCCCGGAGGTCACGATTGGCGTAGTAGCTATCGCGGGCGCGCTGCCTAGGCTTATCAAGGCCGTGGGTAGGCAACGTGCGACGGAGATGGCATTGATTGGCAGGTCAGACTATACGCCTGAGCAGATGCTCTCGTGGGGCTTGGTGAACCAAGTTGTGGAGCCGGACAGGTTGTTGGACACGGCGTTGGCTGCTGCCGAGGCCATCGCCAATAACTCCCCGGACTCGGTGATTGTGTCCCGGGAGGGATTGAAGAGCGGATGGGAGGCGATGGGGCCCGAGGATGCTACGGGACTGGTCGATCGAACCATCTATCGGAAGATGGAGGCTGCAGAAAATATGACGGAGGGAGTCAAGAGCTTCGTTGAGAAAAGGAAGCCAGTGTGGGTTGACAGCAAGTTGTGAGTGGGCAGACGATCATGACCATTTGTATTATTACGGTTATCAGTCTGCACCTTCAATGTAAAACGATTCGCCCTTCACACTACGTTACGGTACGTGACCGTTGGATATCATAAGCTTCCCCCATATACAACCCCTAAACCAGAGCACAAACAGCTCTTCCCCCAACTTTGACGGAGCCAACCAACTACTGGCCAAATTCCTTGTTCTCCACACGAAGCTCTCCAGAGCCAGACTCGGAGTCCTTCTCGACAGCACCGTGCGTCGCATCGCCGGGGGTGCCCATGCTCGCCTTCCAGTGCAGCTGCACCTTTCCGCCGGTGAAGAGACGGTCGATCTGCTCGAGGCTGAGGTTCTGCGTCTCGGGGTAGAAGAACCAGATGAGGGGGATGAAGAAGAAGTTGAAGACGCAGAAGTAGACGTAGGTGCGCCAGCCGATGCTGTTGATGCTGACGGGCGTGATCTCGACGACGAGGAAGGTGAAGATCCAGTTGGAGGCCGTGGCGAGGGCGGCGGCGCGCGTGCGGATGGCCAGCGGGGCGTACTCGGCGGGCAGCAGCCAGGGGATGGCGAGCAGGCCGACGGCGAAGAAGAAGTTGAAGAGGAAGAGCATGACGATGGCGACGATGCCTGCGGGGACGCTGCCGTTGGAGACGGTGCCGGCGAGGATGGCCATGCAGGCGCACTGGCCGGCGGCGGCGAAGAGCATGAGCTTGCGGCGGCCGAGGCGGTCGATGACCCAGATGGGGATGAGGGAGGAGAAGAAGTAGGCGATGCCGTTGAAGCCGGCGAGGAGGAGGGAGAGGTTGTGCGACATGCCGACGGACTCCTGGAAGATGACGGGAGCGTAGTAGGTGATCAGGTTGATGCCGGACAGCTGCTGCATGAACTGACCGCCGATACCCAGCATGGTGCGGTAGAAGAACTTCTGGTCGCCGTTCTTGAACATCATCTTGAAGGATCCGGTGTTGGCGGCCTCGCGCTCCTCGCGGATGGCGGCTTGAATCTCGGCGAGGTTGGCCTGCAGCTTGGGGTCGTTCTCGGTGATGGAGTGGGCGTCCTTCTCGACGGCCCACAGAATGTGGCGGGCTTCGTCGTGGCGGTCGTGGGCGATGAGCCAACGGGGGGACTCGGGCAGGACGAGGACGCCGAGGAAGGTGACGACGGCGAAGAGGATCTGCAGGGCGAGGGGGAAGCGGAACTGCGAGTCGTTTCCGACGTAGCTCATGCCGTAGTCGACCCAGTAACTGAGGGCCACTCCAAAGATGTTGATGGCGAGCTCGATGGCGAGACCCTTGCCTCGGTTATCGGCCTTCATCAACTCGGAGTGCCAAACAGCTAATCAGAGTGAGCATCTCTGTCCACGATGGATGGAGTTTATCATCAACACTTACGGATTGTACTAGTATTCAAACCATTGCCTAGACCCGCTACGATTCTTCCGACGATCAACTGAAAAGAACATCAGTGAGTTGTGAGTTAATCAGATATGCCGGTAATTGCCTCTTACCTGAGGGATTCCAAAAGAGGCGGCCTGCAACGCGGCTCCGATGCTCAGCACGATGCAGCCAAGCATGATGCACTTGCGGCGTCCAAGCCGCTCGCCAAAGATCAGACAAAAAATGGCGCCGAAGAAGCATCCAATCTCGTAGATGGCTACGACGGTGCCCTGCAGCGATGAGCTGCCGCCGCCGCCGTTGGTGGTGTCGATCTCGGGGAACGTCCGGGTGAAGGCGTAGCCGGTGAGGAGACCTGACATTACACCTTGATCGTAACCGAATAACAAGAAACCTAAATCCGTGTGTTAACAAGAAAATTTCCCGGCGACGTCCCGGAGGACCGTCTTACCTGATCCGGCCGTGGCCGTGATGGCCCAGTTGAGAGGGCGACCCGTGAGGATGGTCATGATGGATGGCGGTGTTGATGGTGATGGCGATGGCGATGAGTAAGGAGTGTGGATGTGTGTTGTCGCTCGAAATCCAAAACAACAAAATAAGAGGGTGGGGGGAGGCTCTCGTGTCTCACGCGATGACTTGAATCGCGGACCGATGAGAGAGGGTGAGAGAGATCTGGGGGAGGGTCAAAGCTGACTGGGTCAAAAAAAGAAAGAGACAAGGCCCCTCTCACGATGGGATGGGGATGGCGTGGCTATCTATATGTGCAACTTCCAGTGACCATGGCTATGTGAGCTTTTGGTGTTGAGAGTGTGTGCATGCAAGTAGGTACACGAAAAAGCAAAGACGAAGAAAAACTTCGCTACCAACAACCTCCTTTCGCCTCGTCTAACCACTAGGCGCCGCTACGAAACAACGTCATTTGATTGCAGCCAAAACCTTGGGGAACCTGTGTCAAATGCTGCATCTCTTCAACCCATGGAGCAACCTGTTCCCCTCCCCACAGGGTACCGGAGTGCGGGGACCCCAGCGCGGAGGTAATTAAGGCCAACCAAAGAAGACATGCGAATGGGACCATGGAACTGAAGATGGGGAGGGGGGGCCGCGACGACGTGAACTGCAGCGGCACCCCGATGTCTGTTCTTGGGTTGCTGTGGGCAGTTGGAGGCGCTTCAATGGGCGGGTGGCACGAAACTGACTCGCGACGACCTCTGTGGTTGTGAGAACCCGGCATGCGGGAAAAGACTCGAAGGGTTTTTTTTTTGTCCCTTTTTTTCTTTAGTAAAATCCTTTGTATGTACATCAAGTAGCGTGGTATATGTGTGTGCGCGCGCAATTCAATGCAATACGACCAACAGTTGTGGTCTGCCATTGGGGCCTAACGGCGGCAAGATGGCACCCAAGTCCCTGGCTGGTTTCCCGCGGGTTTTTTTCTTGGGGGAGGAAATTTGCCGAACCCAGCCATGCAATTGAACAATCGACATGGCTCATGGCCAAGGTCCGGAGGTGAATCCGGGGCCAGTGCCGATGGGTGGATGGTGGGAGGGAGCGATGCCGCAACGGAACAGACAGGGATCAGGGTCAAATTCGCCGACTTAGGGCCACTCTGTGGAGGGGGCGTCGAGCTGCCCTTTGCAAAGATGACAGGGCAGTTGAAAGCGCCTGCGCGGCCGGCGGGAGGACTGAGACTCAGACAACTCTGCTTCCACATGCCGTGCCGCTCCGGCTCCCTCCGAATAGCCGTCGGTCAACGGGCCTAGCACCGATCCAACAATGGCCTGTTTGAGCCGTCATGGACGACTGTGATTGCTCACTTTTCCCCATGTTTCCTGCAGAAGAAAAGCTGCGAGGTCATTCGAAGCGCACGAACCAGACTTGCGGCTGAACATGCCCTGCAACCCCAGCAACCAAGCATCCAACTTGTTCAACGAACCCTGACGCCCTGGCTCTGGCTCTGGTTCCCATCTGGCTGGCTCTACTGGTATGGCATGCACATCGATCGGCTGAAGCAGAGGCGAAAATCTCCTAGGAGAAACAGAAACCCCTGCCGCTTCACTCGAGGCATGCCGTTCAGCCCGGAGAACGTTAACCGATGGGCAATTGGGACCAGACGATGCGAGACGGACGAAGAGTCCGACGAACCACCCAGACGACGCCTCAGAGACGCATCAAAATCAGCCACCGAATTTTCCATCGTGAAGTGCGCCTCGGGTTGCCGCCCAAGAACCTCCAATTCCGTCTTAACCCGTCCCTAGCGCACTGTCAGGTCGGGGCCGCGTCAAAAGTTCGCACTTGTTCCCGTCGAACCACCCCCAAAACGGGAACGGCCACAGGGAGATGAGGTCATCCCCCGTCCCTGACCCCGGCCGGTCCCTTGTCGTCCTCCTCCGCAATCCCGCATGAACGCCGCAACGCTGGGCTTCCGCCTGCCGTCAGTGTGAAAAAAGCCGGTAGTGCCTCACCTTATTCCGTACGACTCACGGGGTCAGTCCCTGGCGACGAAAAAAAAGAAGACACATGAAAAACACGGGGTGGGGATGTGTGCCTCGACCCACGTTCTCCACGCCCTCCCTCCCTCCCTTCCTTGGTCGCTCGCTCGCTCGTAGCCCGAGGTGGTCTGGGGCCGCCAATCTTGTTGCCCATGGGGCCGCTTCGTTCTTCCCAGATGGGGGGATCGCGACGTCAGATGTTGAAGCTTTTGGCGGGTACCACAGAAACTTTTTTGCGTGATGCTAATCTCGGAATCCAGCCTCTCGGAGACCGCGTGCTGGAACCATTAGACCGGATCCTGTCCGCTTTGTGTGATGTACTGTACGTAGTATTGGAGCCATCTTGCGCGCGCATGTGTGGATGCGGCTTTTAGGCTTTGGTATCATAGACTTGCTGTTGTTTCGATACTAGAGGAGCCGATACTGAATATCGACGCGTGGCGCTGAGGTCGCGTTGCGCCAACTCTTTCCCGAGCGGCTGCAGCTACTCACACAGGATGTAGTGTCAGAGCAACTTCATCAACCCATCTGACCAAAATGAAAAGAAAACAACATGTGTATCCCTTCCCCCCAATTTTAATCATCCAATTCATGCTTTCGTGTTCACACACAATAAAATAGGAAAAAACAGCCGGAGGCATATACTAACCGTCTCCCAAGTCTCCCCAAAACTCCTTCAGGTCATCTGCCCTCCACTTGGTGCCCCATCCGCTCTCCTTTTCAATCTTCTCCAGGAGCTGTAGTATCGCACGATGCTCCGCGGGGTGGCTCATGCAACGTCCCGCAATCCAAAGGGGCTGGACGCTGTTTGTCCAGGCCCCGTGGTGGTGATTAGTCATTGATATTCCGCATATTTGCCTGGCATGCCAGAGCGCTGACCGAGGTCTCGGGGATAACCGGAGCGATGCTGGCCTGTTCTGTAACATGAGGAGAGACGCCGTGTGGTATAGTTGGTTACCCGATATCGCGGCCGGGTTGCTGTACAGTATCTTGGGAAAGGGCTCCGTGTCGGACGAGGGGATCGACATGATGTGCTGCATCTCGGACGGCCGACGGCTGTGCCAGTCCTCGACGTATCTCCATAGCTTCATCCACCGCACTCGGTATCTCATGTCATTCCTAGGTCCGTCAAAGAATAGTCCACCCGGGTTCGCCTTGGCCAGTGGGGCCAAGAGGTCAAGGACCTGGGCGCAGATATAGACTGCATAGTTCGCCCACATATCATGGCCGGGGTGGGAGAGGAACAACCCGACGTCTGCCTCGAGGTCGATTTGCGACGCCCAGTGGTTGACCGGGATCAGAGTTTTCACCGACGAGATCAGACCGCCGCAGACATCCATTCTGGCAAAGCACCAGAAGAGAGCTTGCTCGACACCGCCTACGAAGCCGTTCATGCCGACGGCCTCCATTAGACTGGCGCAGCCGTCCAAATGTCTTCGCCAAGCTTTTGGCGAACAGCTGGCCATCTCCAACACGCAGAGCACCACGCAGGACGCTATGACGGCTGTTGTCCGAGTTGAGAGTTGTGGTAGTAAAAGGTGTATCGCTTCTTGGTAAAGGGCTAGACTCTGATCCGTCGGCCGGTCCCGGTTCTTCAGCTCCAGTTGCCGGGCAGACAAGGCAAGCATTGAATAGCGCAGGTGGTCATGTGATCGAGCCATGGTCGGTAAGGAGTGTTGGAAGTGCCGCTGGTTGTCAAACTTGTCCAGCCAGGGTGAGATCTCATCCACCCAGTTCTTCCATAGCGCACACTCCTCTTCCAGGGGTAGGAAAGGGGGCTCGTGATCCGAAGATATTTCTCCAGTCGCCTCAGGCGCTTCGGCGGACGAGTTCTCACCAGAGCTGGCGTCGATGGATCTTCGTCTTGAGTTCTGACCAGAGGCTGGCGAACCTGGTCTTGTTGGCCCATTTGACCGTACCTCTTGGATGAGGTGGTTTCTTAGTGTTGAGTGTAGTTCGTGGTATGCGGATCCTGGCAAGAAGATTCCGTCTTCGTAGGAGCCCTCTGGCGTGAACATTTGGTCCATAAACTCGAAGGGCGCGTCTATCAGGGGGTCGAGAGCGAGGGTTGTGATGGGAATGCCGCTGACCGTGGTTGTTGAGTGATGGTCGTGTGGCCCCTGCCCAGCACCACCGCCGCCCTGGCTAAGGTATATCAGGTTTGCGACAGCATTGTCGGTGAGCAGCTGCTGCGATGCAGATGAGGGCGACGCCTGGAAATCCATGCGGTCGCCCGTCTGCGCGTGCCCCTTGTCGCTGGTGTCGTCATCTCGACGTGTTGATGGCGTCAAAAGCGAGCCAAAGCCCGACACAGCAACCGGATCTGTTGGTGCAGAACTAGGCCCTGAGGAAGACAGCGTTCGTTTTGCGGTACTCGAGCCCGCGATGGAAGCCGTATGGCCACCTGCCGTCGATGTCGTATATGATACAGGGCTGTCAAAGGTCTTGGTCTCATCATCCTCGAGGCTCTTGCGACGGTCTCCCTCACCATCACCTCCTGGTGGTGACAGCGGTGAGGGTTCTGGTTCCGGTTCGGAGTCGTAGTCGTGAAAGCCTGGTGGGAGGTGATAGTCCCGAATGACCTCGCTTGTGACATCAAGAATCTCAAAATGCCGCCGTGGGGGTGGTCTCCTAGCTTTTCTCATTGACGGGTGGTCTTGCAGGATCGTCTGGGCGTTCTCGGCACGGAAGGTGACTTTGATGCCCCATTCGCACCTTTCCTTGCGGCGAGAGCAGCCTCCGCACGCCGGCCGCCCCTCGTCGCACTTGCGCTTCTTGCGGCGGCAATTGAGACATCCGGTTCGTGTCCGGGTCCTCTTCTTCTTTGCCGGTGGTTGGTCCGGGTCGGGATCGGTGGGTGGTGGAGGAGGGTGCGGACGTGGCCGGGTCGTCTGGCCCTCCTCGGCCGGCGACGGCGGCCTGTCGACCATGATGGCGACAGGATGGGATTGAAGCTTCCCTGAGGCGGTGCGGTGCGGGCGTTGGTGAGGCGATGAGGGTCTAGACCATGGGTATCGCAATGCGCAAGCGCAATCCTGTTGCGGCAGGAGAGGCAACAGCAGCAGCAGGAGGCGGCTATTGCTGGGGTAGGTCGTCCAATTGGTGAAAGGTTGTGTGAGAAGTTCGTGGAGCAGTTGCGCTTCGACATGCGCTTCCGCGAAGACAGCCAGCCAGGCGGGCGGGCGGTGCGGGTAGAGATGGGATGTCGTGTATGTATAAGGTAAGGTAAGGTAAGATGTGCAAAATGGTTCGATAAGATTGCCACGAATGGAGCTGTTCAGGGACCTGTGAAGAAGAGCAGAGAACAGCTGCAGCTTTGGTTAACTCCCCCCGAGGCCAAGGACGGGAGATGAAACAGAGTTCATTCTAGTTCTGCATAGGAGGTGTTTGCCGATGGTTGAGAGGTGAAAGGACCCTGCAGTTGCAGTTCAGATTGAGGTTTGGTGCCCAATGACGGCGGCTTCGGAGCACATGAGGGCGACTGACATGTTGCTTCTTCTTCTTCGACGACTTCTCCTGGTTGGCTGTGTGGTATAGCGTCATGTATCGTGGCTGAGAGCTATCCCGAGCAGCCGGTCTACTACTCCAATGTCAAAGAGGCAAAGGGGCTGAGCTGTGATGGAGCTACCGTACCTCGCTCACCAATTCGAACAATAACACAGAGACAGACACACGGGGAGGAGAGTTTGCGGGGAGATTCTGGGGGCAGTTGTAAGCGGTGTCGGACGGCCTAGTGACAGCTACCTACTCGAACTGCCTGCCCGCCGCCCCCCAGAATTGGCTGAAGAGATTGGCCCGGGGATAAACAGGGGTAGCCCCTGTCGTCGCAGCTCTTGGGACAAACTCTGAGCGTTGGGCTGCTGGCTGCGAATGCGATGCGCTGCTTTCAGTGGTCTGAACCGTTGAACCCCTCGTCTCGGGGGACGCTCCTGAGCAAAGTCCAGCAACAAAAGCCCTGGGATCCCCGGCTGAACCCCCGCCATTCTGCTGTCCGCAGTGACACTCCCCCACACCCGGAGAGGAGCAGCAGCCCAGCAGCCCAGCAGTCCCCCCTTCAAGCTTTTCCCACTGCCGTTCCGGATGGCAATGAGCGTCACGCTGTCGCTTTTTTTTTAAGCATGATTGAGTGTGTGCGTGGCCCGCGGACTTTCGGTCCAAAGCTGAGAACTGACATGTCCGCCCATTGATCTTTCTAAGGGACCCGTCGGAGCTTTCCCCGACCAATTGACATGGAATCACGATAGCATCGTCATCCGTGATCCCCTTCAAAAGCAAAGACCGAAATTCTGAACAACGACCACGAGGACAGACAGAAAGCAGGCTGAGAATGGGATCTTCCCCCAGCTCGAACCGAAGAAATGAAACCAATCAAAGGCAGTCCACAACGAGGCCGCGCTGCTCTGCGACACCGGTTCGCTCATGACTCGGAACTCGGCCTGCTGATGCCGTGGCCAACGCTCGAAATTCCAAAATAAGGCATCGTGTAACTTTTTTCGGGCTCAATTACTATCCAGGGTTATCCGTGTCTATGCAATCCATGTGCCAAATATGCCCCCCCTAAACGCCGCTCGCACCTTTGTCCCGAACCAGTCCTCCTCTTCTTTCTTCATTAGAGCTCGTTGGGTGTGATGCGACAAAAAAATTCCTCAAGACAGCTTCATGAGTAAGTGCTTAGTGGTGGTGGACGGGGTTCAGGTCCCGGAACTCGCCCCGCAGGCTGTCCACGCCATTGGCTCTGACCTCCTCGACGAGCTTGGCGACCTCGGGGGCGATGACGTTCTCGTCGAAACCGAAGTACCTGTACGCGTCGGGGCCCGGGAGAGAGTGTCCGAAAGAGCTCATCGAGTAGCCGGCATCGGCGTAGCGCTCCCATCCGTTAACAGCGTACGCCTCGATAACCACACGCGGCGCCTTGGAGCGGTACTGGAGCACCTCGCGCTTGTACTCAATCGACTGCTTGTCGAAGATGCGCTGGCACGGGAAGCTGACGATGCGCGCCTTGATGTTGTGCTTCTCCGCGAGCAGCTTGGCCGTCTTGACGGCAAAAACCATCTCGGCGCCGACGCCGATGAGCGTGACGTCGGCATCCTGCTCCTCCTTGAAGACGTAGGCGCCCTTGAGCACCTTGTCGCGGGAAGTGAATTGGGGGTATTGCTCGAGATTCTGGCGCGAGAGGGAGATGATCGTCGGTGACTCCTTGGCCTCCATCGCCGCGATGAAGGCACCGGCCGTCTCCTCGCTGTCGCAGGGACGGATGTACAGAAGGTTCGGCATCGCACGGTAGAGGGCGGGCAGGGCAATAGGCTGGTGGGTGGGGCCGTCCTCGCCGGTTCCGATCGAGTCGTGGGTCGCGATGTGAATCTGCTGGAGGCGCTGGAGAGCACCCATACGCACACCGGGGGCGGCGTACTGATTCGTTAGTATGGACTTGTAAGTGGGTTGAGATCAGGTGTCACTCACGATGTAGAACATGAAGAAGCTGGAGGTGACGGGGAGGATAGCACCCTTGTTAAAAGCAGCCAACCCGTTGGCGATAGAAGCCATGGCATGCTCACGAATGCCGTAGTGGATGTAGCGGCCGGTGTAGTCGCCGTTGATGCCGCAAGTCGTCTTCAAGTCCGGGTTCTGGAAGTCGACCTTGCCCTTCCAGATCATGTTGACGGAAGGAGACAGGTCAGCGGTACCGACCATCAGGTTGTTGACTCCGGCAGCAATGGGGTTGCATACGAGACCAGCCGACTTTCTCGAGGGAGTGGGAGTCGTAGGGAAGTCCTCCTTGGCGGGGATAAACTTGCGCCAGTCCGCAGTCCACTCCCCAGCGACACGCTTCTTGAACTCGGCAGCAAGCTCAGGGTGCTCGCGGGTGTAAGCCTCAACCAGCTGGTTCCACTCGGCCTCGATCTGCTCACCGCGGGGGATAGCCTCGCGGAAGTAGTTGTAAACCTGGTCAGACACGACAAAGTGCTGCTCGGGATCCATGCCGAAGTTCTTCTTGATGTTGGCAACGTCAGCAGGGCCGTAGGCGGCACCGTGGGCCTTGGCGTTGCCGGCGACAGCACTGCCAATACCGATGACGGTGTGGATGTTGATGAAAGTAGGCTTGTCGCTGCTGTTGCGAGCAGAATCCATGGCACGAACGATGGCCTCGACGTCCCAGTTGCCGTCCTCAATCTCAATGACGTTCCAGCCACAGGCACGCATCTTCGTGTTCACATCCTCAGTGTTGCAGAGGTCGACGCTGCCATCGCAAGTAATCTGGTTGTTATCGTACATGACGACCAGGTTGTTGAGCTTCCAGTGGCCGGCAAGCTGAATGGCCTCCATAGCCACACCCTCCTGCAAGCAGGCATCTCCAATCATACACCATGTCATGTTGTTGACGACGGGGAAGTTGGGACGGTTGTAAGTGGCGGCCAGGTGCTTGCTGGCAGCGGCCAGACCAACGGCGTTGGCGATACCCTGGCCCAGCGGGCCGGTCGTCACCTCGATACCCTCGTGCTCGATCTCAGGGTGGCCGGGGCAGAAAGAGTCGGTGCGGCTAGAGTGGTAGGACTTGAGCTGGTCCATAGTCATGTGCTTGTAGCCGGTCAAGTGCAGGAAGCTGTATTGGAACAGACATGTGTGGCCGTTGGACAGAACGAAACGGTCTCTGTTGAAGTAGTTGGGGTTCTTGGGAGAGTACTTCATAATGTACTTCCAGAGAGAGGTTCCGATGGCAGCCATGCCCATGGCACCACCGGGGTGGCCGCCCTTGAACTGCTCACACAAGTCGGCGATGAGACAGCGGAATGTGCGGAGAACGAAGTCGACCTCCTTCTTGTCGGCCTCGGTGAGCTGGAACTGGCTGTTTGAGCCGTTGATTGACTTTGCGGCCACAACGCCATGGGGGACGGGCTCGGCGGGGACTGCACTGGGCGCCATTGTGAATTGTGTATGAGAGACGTCAGGGGTATCACGAGGTGAGGGTATCTCGGTCTCGGTGTGAGAGTGTGGGGTAGCGTCGGGAGTCGCACTCGTTTTCTTGGTTGACGTTGACCTCGTTCACAGTGTCCAACGAAGAGAAAGAGAAGCAGCCGTCAAAAGCAAATGGTATCAAGCAAGTCGTGTCTCTTTCGAGAGTTAATTAAGTGAGGAGAAACAGAAGGGCCAGCGAGTAGACGGCAGAGGCGGGCATCGGGCCATTTTGTTAGATATATTCGTGGCCATGCTGGTCTGGTCTTGTCTGGCTTGGGTTGGTTCTGCCCCCTCTGTGTGCTTGAGATGACCATTTTGGGATGGAAGTGGGATGTGAAGCCAATGCGAAGCAGTACGGCATTCGGAAGGAGCGCTTAACGTTTCCCAAAACAGGCAGGGGAAGGGAGCAACCGGCGACTGTCACTTGACTGCCGGAAAATTTAGTCGGGAAAAGTACGGCAGATTTCAATCACGATTCTCATTGGTCAGAAAGTTCGCAGCACTGGCGTCGGGCGATGCAGCTGCTGTGTGTAATCTAGGACGAGGTAAAGGCAAGCGCTGGTGCATGCACAAGCACTTTTAAAAAAAAAAAAAAATTGAGATCAGAGAAGGTTCAGATCATAAGCGCTTTTTTTTTTTTTTTTTTCAAATTCTGATCGATGATGCAAAACAGCGGACCAGAAGCGCAGAGCGATGACTCGGAAAAGTCCCGAAGAGCAGCGGGCGTATCAGTGTCTTTGATGGATGAGCATTGGGCAGAAAATTGCGGGTGACTAAGCGAGAAAAGCTGCGTGTGGTCCGTGCTTCACCGCGGGGGAGATTGGAAGCGCTTCGTTTTGCCGTCTTGTCGCTGGCGTCGGGCACGAGCCACCATCTGGTCTCCTTACGTAAGACTTCTCTGGCCACTCACCGTCTCAACATTCTTCCCCGCCAAACCACCCGCGTGAACGCGCAGTTTTTGAAGCTGTTAGTGTGCGGAGTCTCCACACCCATCAGACACTAACAATTTTCATCGCGGGCAGCTTTCCATTTGATCCATTCCTTTCTTTGTCTGCTTGTTGTGTCGTTGGTGGATGGTATGGTTGGATGCCACGCTGGCGCATTGTCGACTCCAGCTGTCCTCTAATAGGATCTCTTCCGTCCAGTATCAGACAGACCCTCTTCGCTTCCGCCTGCTCTTTCTCCCAACTCCAGTCTCCAGCATCTCTCCCGTGGGAAACAACCGGGTCCTTGACCCAATAAACGTTGCAAATCTCGTCGAAACTATTTTTGCTGCCGTCCCCTTGCCCCGTCATCGCCGAAAGTCTATTCCTGATTCCATCGTGACCTGAACCCAACCCACAGACAAGAGTCCAGACTTACACTTTTCTGCTCTTTGTGTCTCTCAAGTGGCCCTCAGTTCCCCTCATCCGACCGGCTGCCGTCTCCCGTCCCCCCGCCTTCACACCGGAGACGTCCCGCCAAGAGCGCTTGTACCTGCCCCCCTCCTCCACGTCCCCGTTCATCTCCAGCGGTGCCGCGGAGTCAATGCCGCGCAAACATCGAAGCTGCAGCACCATGTTGGCCCCGGCGCGTCGGGATGCTTCACCGTCGCCTCGATGAACGCCCGGCAATCCATCCTCCAAGATGTCTTCACACAACTCCAAGCGAAACTCGTCGTCGTCTTCCCGTCCTCCCCGGCCGCTCTTGTGTCACTCATATAGCCAACCCGTGACCGCAATGTTTCTGTTTCGACCTCGTCCACCTAGCTCACTCCCACTCTCACTACCTGTGCCTTGCTCATCTTCATTCATACCTTGAACAACTGCGACCTTTAGACATTCGACAGCCTTGTTGTAATATCATCCTTTCTATACACACTGTTTACTAAGATACCCAACCTTCAACCTTCACAATGCCTCCCGTAGCTGTCAGCGATATGGATCTCCCCGCGGAGCCCGTCCACCCCAAGCCCGAGGCCAAGGACCCTCTCGCTTCCTCCGTCGCTACTCCTCAACTCTTCTCCCTCGCCAACAAGACCATTGTCATCACCGGCGGCGGCCGTGGCCTCGGAATCACCTTCGCCCTCGCCGTTCTCGAGGCCGGAGGTCACGCCGCCTGCCTCGATATCCTCCCCGAGCCCGCCGCCGTCGAGTGGGCTCACCTCGCCAAGCTGGCCAAGGCCAACAACCTCTCCGTCACATACCACAAGTGCGACATCACCGACGAGCCCGCTACCGAGAAGATCTTCAACCAGATCGCCGACGAGGCCGACCAGCGTGGCGCTCCCTTCTGGGGCGCCATCGCATGCGCCGGGATCCAGCAGAAGATCCCTGCCCTCGAGTACCCCGTCGCCGACTTTGAGCGCATACAAAAAGTCAACGTCGTCGGTGTCTTTGTGACCGCTAAGCAGGCCGCCCGCGTGCTCGTCGGCCGCAAGAGCAAGGGCAGCATCCTGCTCATCTCCAGCATGTCTGGAGAGATCGCCAACCGCGTAAGTTTGTCAGTCTGTCTGAAAAGTGTGGACCCCGGCTGACATTCTCTGTAGGGATTGACTTGCAGCGCGTACAACACCAGCAAGGCCGCTGTCCAGCAAATGTGCAGATCCGTCGCCCAGGAATGGGGTCAGTACGGCATCCGCGTGAACACCCTCTCCCCCGGTGTAAGTTGGCCTCCATCTCATGCCACTCTCACTCGTCCATGTCTAACTCATCTGTCAACAGTATATCCGCACCGCCATGACCGACCAGCTCCTGCAGGCCGAGCCCGACGTCGAGACGACCTGGATGCGCGGTGCTCTGCTCCAGCGCCTCGGCACCCCCGAGGACTTCAAGGCTCCGGCCGTCTTCCTCCTGTCCGAGGGTAGCTCCTTCATGACCGGAGCCGACCTTCGCGTCGACGGCGGCCACTGTGCCTCAGCATAAACGACGTATTCTCATGTGAATGCGACCAAGAACAAGACCCCATGCATGATCGATGAGATCTTCGATGAGATTGGCTCCGTAATATGGCACACAGCCCCCCCTCGGGAGCAACAACTCACTCGATGCCACCCACTCCTGGGTGTTCACCGCCGACGAGAGTCGCGTGGTGCAGACATGTAGAATCAGTATGATTAGAGCGAGCATTAATAGCGGTTTCTATTTCGTAGAAGAGAATGCAATCACCCAAAGCAGGGCCCTTCCTGCAGTAGACACAATCCTTTTTTTTTTAACCCACTGATTGATGTGAGTACGTGTGAGCCAAGGTCAGGGAGTTGAGAGTGTGGCGCCATTCTCACTGAGGTTGAGCCTCTCGATATCTCATATTATCAACATATTGTTCTGTGATGTCACGTTCAACTATAATCTCAGTCTTATGCTCGCGCATGAGTTCAATAGTCAGGTGTGAAGGCAACTACAGTCACCTAGCGTTCATTCGCGACACGTTGGAGGCGGCAGAATCTAAGCACTCTACCCTGGCAGAGAGACTTCGCGAGAGGGTTGATCCCTTTTTGAGGGAATTCCCGAACGTCTGAAAAGGGACGCCTCGGAACTTACTTAGCCACCCAGCAGCTTGCAGAGTTTGGCTGATCACTTGCACTTCGAGTTGTTTGAGCCACTGAGAATGCAGCGCATCCCGTCAGATGAAACGAAACCTTGAAAAGAGGCACCGCCCGGGCCAGTCGGATGAATGACGCGAGGTCTGGATGAAGATGTCGTCTAGACGGAGAACCTGCTCAGCTCTCCCTTTCTTCTATCTTTCCAATTCAAATCACCACTGGTCAAATTCAGTGAAAAAGAATCAGCTCAGTCGCTTCTACTGCGTTACCGAATGAGTGTAGCAGGCAGGTGTCATTCTCGATAAAGTTTCAAGAAACCTTTCCTTGCAAGTGCTCATACCATTCTGGTCTCAGCATGGGCAAGGGAAACAACGATTTCAAATCGACGCAGTTTTAGTCTCCGTCCCATTAAACGTCGATCAACAATCCTACGACCTCTCAAAGCGCGCCTTTGTCACCGCCTCTTTCTGGTACTGACCTTTCAGCACTTGACGACGTGACTTTTTCCCGGAAGAAAAATGAGATTTTTTTTATGTTTACTTGCAGCGGCGGCCGTCGCCTTGGCTGCAAGCCCGGGCAGCCCGACGGAACCCCAACGCCATCTCCGTAACCCGGTCCCCGACACCACGCGAGATAATGGCGGCAGCCCGCGTCCAGGTCAGAGCCGCCAGAGCAAATACAACGTGTGCTGCAAATTCAATGCCGAAAAGACTAAATGCGTAAGTCGACTCACGGGCACCGGCTTGAGATGTAGATCAGGCCTTTGCTAACGAAAGCTTCCGCAGGTTTGCATAGCCCGCGATAAGTTTGTAAGTGTCATCTTTGACGAAGCTTGAATATCAACCATTAATTCTTCTACAGGACTGCGAGAGGGGAACCTGCTTAACGTCAGGCTCGGGTTGGACACTGGAGCCGGAGGGAGATCTTTGATTATACTTCACCAGAGATCATATCTCAAGTCATTGAGACCTTTGAACCGAGAATGCGGGTGCATTCCAAGGCAAATGGAACTCGGCAGCGGTCAATCATCAGCGTATCAAGGCTACATTTTGTGTATGCAAGCAAAAATAGGTCCTTGGGAAGCCTAGTTTCAGTAATTGAATTCACCAAGCCATCAACGAAGAGCTTCCATGCAAGAACAAACCCATGGTGATAATGATGCTCAAGTGTACCTATTGTGAGGTCGGCATAGAATCGGAGTCTATCGGCACCGAGCCCGACAGTTGGCAGGGAGAGACATACTCCGACTTTTCCGTGGGCTTGAGCATGCTGGACGCATGTGGTGGCTATTACAACTCCGAAGTCCGTGAGGCTTATATCCACTTCATTGTGAACTACTGCAACCACTGACATCTGATGATCGCATAGCGCCTCACTAGCCCCGAACATAAGCGCTGAACTCCGAAGGATGAGAGGACCGTTGCATACTCTCGGGCCCGATTGAACCTTGCGCCGCCGCTAAATTGGAAATGAAAGGCTCAAGGACTATGATGTCGTCGTTGCTAGATCAAATTAGGCTACTATGCGACGATCTGGCTGTGGCTGTGCGGTATTCAGCCTAGGGCTGAGAACATCAGCCTGCCGCGTAATGGCTTTGGCAATGATCACTGGAGAGTTTCGATCCTTCAGAATGAGTCGGAATTAACCGCACGACTGCACGGAGATGCAAGATGCCGTCAACAACGGCGCTTGAGGATATCAAGACTGTATATATGATGCCAAGCTTAGCTCTTGGCATGAAGAACTCATCAGCACTTACTCACTTAACCTCAATCAACATTTCAGATCGAACACTTACAAGATGAGAATTACCACACTTACCTCTATTTTTGCGGCCTCGCAGCTATTAGCTGGTGGTGAAGCATGCCCTTTCCACTTGAACGACGACGAGCACTCCTCACCATCCATCAACAATGTCAGGCGGTCCATGCCGACGAATAGCACCAAAACTGCTATTCAAGACATTCAGGTTTTTAACGGGAGAAAATTCGGAAAGCCCCAAACTGTTTGTCTCGATTATGGGCACATCATTGGCTTCGGCCGTTGCGCCGGGGCGAAGACGATTGTAAACGGAACCGGCAAGTTCCTCATTCCTGGCTTAATCGACAACCACGTCCATTTGACCGACGTCCGCTCCCTCGAAGACTACACTTCGTACGGGTGTACAACCGCCATGCACATGAACTGCGCAAACTTCACGCAGTGTGCTACCCTAGCGCGTCAGTCGGGTCTCGCGTCGTTCCTCTACGCCAGCATGGCTGCTGTTGGCAACGGCAGTCTGCACTCAAAACAACAAGCCGGACGCGCCAACAATACGTTAATTTATCCAAGTACGGACGTTGTGGAATGGACGAAATGGCAATTCAATAACGGCAGCCACTTTTTGAAAATCACCGCCGAAGTCGACGGGCCGTCTCTGGAGCAGCAGACTCAGATGGTTGAAACCGCTCATGACGAATACCGGAGACAGACCATGACGCATGCATCTCAGATCACGGCATACCAGCAAGCTGCAGACTCAAAGACCAACGGCATTCAGCACGTTCCCGACGACGGTGTTCTGGGACAAGATGTGATCAAGCAGATTCTAAGCCAACATCAATACGTTACGCCTACATTGAACATCTTCGAATATGGCTACCGAGATGCTGTCCTGTCGAAGTTCTTAAACATTCAACCAGGAAGCAACCGTACACTCGACAACGCTCACACGAATGCCCGCCTCCTTCATGAAGCTGGGGTGCCTATTCTCGCTGGCACCGACGCCGTCGGCATATTGAAGCAGGGCAACGCCACAGCCTCAGTTCCCTTCGGCCTGACCCTTCATTTTGAGCTTGAGAACCTTGTCAAATACCTGGGCATGTCCCCCGCCGAAGCTATCAACTCTGCTACTCGCAAAGCCGCCAAGTGGCACCGTGTCCCTGATAGGGGCTCCATCGAGATTGGAAAGAGGGCTGACTTGGTGATGCTCAATTCCAACCCTTTGGTTGACATCAGCAAAACTCAAGATATTGCTCGGATCTGGGTACTTGGCTATGAGTCTCCAGTTTACGCGAAAAATGGTACCGCTAAGAATCCAGGAGCTTAATGTGGAAAAGATATTGAGCAGTTCGAGGGGATTGCTTGTTCAGCTTAGATAGCGGGGTGCTTATAGTACGAGCTAGACTGAAGACCTGTATATATACATAGAGTGAGTTTGGTGTTTGCATGGTTACATACCTAGGTTCGATGGCTACGTGTTCGGGCTACTCATGTATAAATTTTTGATATAGAAGGGACATATGTATATTTGATTTTGAACCCTTGGCTTATGCAAGCAAACGAGAGTTGTAAATGGTTTTATAGGTATTCTCGAAGATAACAATCACCATATCTTCAACAGCGATTTACCTCTGCCGCCCAGGAATGATGCAAACTTTGAGGGTGTGACTTTTTGATCAGCCCACTCATCTGTTGGCCCAAAATCGACAACGCCGTTTGAGCGACGTTCCAAGAAAGTCTGTCGTTCATTGAATGTCCCGTTTACGCAGCCGATCCTTTCAAATGAAGGGATAACGGAACGTCTTGATAGACATCGAACCAGAAGTAATCCGAAAACTTCTCCTTTGTCTATGTATCCCACCAGAACGAACAAATCCCTTTACTTCGAGAGCGCCTCCGAAATGTTATCATAACTTGAGGTTTCTTCCGTGCATGCATCCACATTTGTTGAGTTACCACAGTGGACATCGGCAGCTACAACCGTGTTCGGGTGCAGGTTTACCCCGGCAGGCCACCGAATCTCATACTGGTAACTACTCAATCTTCGGAAACCTTTCACTTTGAGAAGAAATCCCCACAGTGTAATCGAGGCTGGCAACCTGGGGCCCGAGGCAAAGACGGACTTGGGGTTCGCGGTATACTGAGTTCTCAGAACTCTCATCAATGGGAGAGTATTTGGTTCGGGGTCTCGTGTGTTGTACCACGCCAGGCTGTACCTCTGCAGAGGATAATGTGCTTCCCCAGTTACCGATGCCCAGGACCAGGTCGGCATATTGTCCCTTGACATACGACAACTTGCACGTTCACCGGTCGTGTGCCACAACAAATCAGCGGCGAGGCTTTTGCGCCAGACTCCAGCCATATACTGATCTCCAGGTGTCGATTTTGCTGCTCGAGCAGCCAACCCAGCCAAGGCAGGCAGCCTGTCATTTGGTCTTGTCAAATGCAGCCTCGTGAACTCTTCTACAATATCTCTGCGCCAAGCTGCCTCGATGTTATAAGCGGATTGAGGGCCCTTTTTATCGACAGGCGCGAGATCAAGAGCCTTGGATCCTTTCAGAAGACTGCGCGCAAGAATAGTCCTCGGTTCATTCGTTGCCGAGCACTCACAGCTGCAAATAGAGCGGCACTCCCAGGCCATCTCTGACGGAGCAAAGTGGAGAGTCCGAGGAGAAAGAAGCCTCTCTTGGAATGCCCATGCTCTTGTCGAAAGCTTGCTGCGCATTGTGCGAAAGTTGGGATCCCACACCTGTGGGCTGTCGGCAGGCAAATTATTAAGAACAGAAGCTGACGAATTCCTCTTCCATGGATAGCCCGGAAAAAAGTCATGATACGGGAGTTGGTATGCCAAGGGTCCTCTCTGACGGACATGAACAATGTGCGTTCGCTCTTCTCTCAGAGGATTTGTGGTAAACGTCTTGCACTGGATGGCGATAGTCTCCCGTCTCTTATTTTGCGGGTGGAGAAAGCCAGCCAAGCTATCCTGTGCACCATCGGCACTGATCGTAAAATGGGCCTGGGAATAAATGTAGTTCATCCGAGTGGCATGCTTTCCCCAATCGGTCTCACAATCTTGAATGATGCAGAGTGAGTCGATCCAAAGATATTTGTAGCCCAGTCTTCTTGTGACATCCATGGCATCGGCAAACATCTGGGGAATTGGCTGCGGAAATGCGACCCGAAACTTGTCAAAGCAAGAGAGAGTGGTTATCAATGGTGATACGCCGCCCCAGCAGTGACTCAAGGCAACGTAACGCCCTCTTTCTCCCGGACTTGGCAAGTATAAGTAGGCGTCTGCACACGAGGACCCCACATCTATAACTCGGGGAGGCAACGGAGGCATCCCGATTGAAGAAGGACACTTGACATGTTTACCGGTCCCCGAGGTGCATTCATGTAGCCACAATTTGGCAAGCTCAAGCATCGAAGACGTGTGGGATTCAGGTATGTCGTACGCCCTTCCGACACCGGGCCATGGAAAGTTATTGCCATCTTACGCAAGTCAGAACTCATGACGTTTAAGTTGAATTCATATAGCTCAGATGACTTTCGACTTATGAATGACTTACAAGCAGTATCAAGTGGCAAGTAGAACTGAAGGGCGAGGCCTCCAGACTCAAGCCCTGAAGACCCCTCAGATCTGTAGCGTACGCCGGCAAATAATGGCCCTCGATCAATTTGCACCAAGTAAACGTAAATGCTGTCAGCATCTGAGAGGTCACTGGGCTGCAGAAATGCAGCGATCCCATCCCACAACACCTTGTAGCGATATCCAAATTCCTCGTCGGCAATATTTTCCCGCAACTTTGACAAGACCAAACATTCCTCCGGGTAAACGCAGCGCTCGTCATGCTTTTCGCCGGTCTCGGAGTCTTCGCCAAATGCGAACCTTTCCAGTTCACCATTTCTGATTACCCGAACGAACTGTAAAGGGGCCATTATGGGCAAAAGGCCGGCGTAAACTCCGCTAGTATGTGTAAACTTGTGATGCTGAGAAAAAGAGCGAATTTTGAACTCGACAAGGAAAAGAGTAAACGGCTACCCTCGCCCTTGATTGGTTGTGTGATTGATCGTATCCTCTTTGCTTATCGAATGTCACGATAACCGAATTATCTTCTGCTTACTTCCGAACAACATTAGGTAATGTCTTCCAGCCTAGGTTGCTGTTCCAAGAACATCAGATCTCGAAGTGGAAACGAGAAGGCCACTGAAAGGCTCCAATTACGTAGTTTTCTATCATAGTGATGGCCTTCAATGAAGTGACCTTACAACTGTTTGACATCTGGGTAATTTGGCAAAGTAAACAGGCGTTGAAATCGCTGTTTCTGCTAGAGAAATTTGACCAAGAAAAAGAAAGAAAAACACTATGGAAGTCGCGCGCATCCCTGGGCTTTACGTGACCCATTGACGGCCAGCGGACAACAAAAACGCCAAAGTTCACTGTGTCAAGAGCTGAGATTTTCAGGCGACCTGGGAAACAGAACGTCAGATTATAAAAACGTCGTCGCCCCGGGAATAATTCACGTAAGGCCTCTTGGCATTGTTTGCCAAGACACCAAGCGGCCAAGGTGAGTGAAGCTTTGCGGCGTCGGCAACACGGAGAGATCTCCTTTCTTGGCCATGCATCCACCGCCATCCTCCACATCACGACGCGGGGGACTACCAGGTGGAAAAAGAAATGGATCACTGGGGGAAATGGGCTTCGTGCGGGGGATCAAGACTAGCGGCGCAGGTCGAACGCATCCGATTGTCGGCTAGTTTTCTCCGGCGACAGCGGTTGAGAAATCCCATCAATCACTTCCTCGCGTGGAAGAGACGGTGCAGTCGACCCTGGAGCCGATATGCAGGCCACCTGCACAATCTCCGAATCCACCTCAGCCAACAAGCCTCCCTCTCCGTCTTCCCCAACTTCTCACAACACCGCAATGGGGTTGCGGTTGGTCCCCCAAAGCGTGGCCGGGCTGTGGCCCGGTGCAGCGGTCTGCTGATTACGCGGATGGACTGATGCAGGCGATGAACGGCAGGAGAAACAAGGGCATGATAGGTGGAATGGAACGCTGTGGTTTCTCCCCTCGTGCAGCATACGCTTGGTTATTTCCAGATGGCTGGGTGAAGCGAGACTAGCTTCATATCGGCCCCTGCTATCTTACCCCGACTTTGGGGAAATAAACAGCACGTTTGGGGTCGTGGTGGTGTTGGTCATGATGATCTTTTGAAAATGCGGGAAAAGAAATTGAGGAGAGCTGTGCCAACGTCGCTTGGCGATGCAGGTCCAATGCCAAGCAGTTCGAGTATATGAAGAGACTCGGCCTCACAAGAGTTGCAATGGATGGCTGATCACCTCTCCCGAGCAGCCCTTTCCCTTGGCATCTCACTTGGCAACCCTCCTCGACGTGTGTGTTTCCTCCTCCTCGTCCAATCCCACACGCAGCCATGAGAGTCTCATCCCTCCTCGCCACCTTGGCCGCTGCTGGCACTGCGCTCTCGAGCGCAATTGAACTTCCGGCCGGCGTTCCTCGTAACATCCAGGAGTTTCGCGAGAAGCACCCTTACGAGAAGCGCGGAAAGGACTGCCACCGCAAGACCTACACCATCCGCGCCTCCAAGAACGACCTGGACGACATCTCTGATGAGTTTGTCGAGGGTCTGAAGAAGGCCAACAACGGCGGCACGCTCTACCTCCCCGCCAACCAGACTTTCATCATCGGCAAGCCGCTCGACCTGACTTGGCTGAACGATGTGCACGTTCACTGGGAGGGTGAGATCAAGTTCACCAACGACACTCCCTACTGGCAGGAGAATGCCTTCACCCACCCTTTCCAGAACTCCATCATGTTCTGGAAGTGGGGTGGCAACAAGGTGAAGCTGTACGGAGAGGGTGTTCTCAACGGCAATGGCCAACGGTGGTGGAACGAGTTCGCGGGTCTTGAGTAAGTCTCCTGCGTTATACTCCGAAGGCGTTCGAGGTTGCTGACAGTTCGAAGGATTCTTGACCCTGACAACACTTACCTGCGTCCTATCCTGTTCTACGCCGAGAACGCGACTGGCCTGTCTATGGAGGGCCTCCACCTCAAGGACTCGCCTTGCTGGACCACCTTTGTCGTGACTTGTAAGCACAAAGCGCCGTACAGAATCTTGTGTGTACACAGCTGACATCCTCCCCAGCCAAGGATATCTCCTTCAAGGACGTCATTGTCACCGCCGAGTCCAACAACGCCACTGCCCTTCCCAAGAACACCGATTTCTTCGACTCCCTCAATGTCGAGGACGTCCGCGTGGAGCGCACCTGGGTTAACATCGGCGACGACTGCTTCTCGCCCAAGTCTAACGCCAGCAACATCCACGTTGACACCATGTACTGCAACGGTACTCACGGCCAATCCATGGGCTCCCTGGGCCAGTACGCCGGCGAGAAGAGCTTCGTCAAGGACGTCGTCATCGAGAACGTCTGGATGCTCAACGGCCAGCACGGCGCTCGCCTCAAGACCTGGGCCGGCCCTAACGTCGGCTACGGTTTCATCGACAACGTCACCTTCCGCAACTTCTGGCAGGCCAACAACGAGTACACGGCCTTCATTGACTCGTGCTACTTCAACATCAATGCCTCAGTCTGCGAGCAGTACCCTTCGCAGATGAACATCTCCAACATCTTGTTTGAGAACTTCTCGGGATATAGCAGCGGCAAGTATGGCCGTGCCGTTGCTAAATTGACCTGCTCAACCAACCCCAACGCTGTTTGTGATAACATCCAGTTCAAGAACTTCAACATCACCACACCCTGTGGCGGCGAGCCTGTCATTCTATGCGACGGTATCAAGGGCGGCATTGGCATGCCTTGCATCCCGTCCAACAGCACTGAGGCCAAGGAAGCCCTGGCGGCCAAGTGCACAACGGCGTTGGCTGAGGCTACGCCGTGGGTTGTCAGACCCTATGACGCTTAGAGATGATGTTTCCATAGAAGGCACAGACGGTTCACGGGTTATGATGAAAAGAGGCGGCGGATTTACTTCAAGTCGTTGATAGCGACATAGATTCATGTACAAACTTTAACCAGCAAATACAATTTTGATATCCACGGTCCGAATTGCGCCAGTCCCAGCCCCAAAATGACACAATTACAACTTTGAGTCTCTACAAGAAAGCAGCTGCACCAACAAAGCCGGCGGCAGCGACAGCAGCAGCAACCATGCCGGTCTCACGAGGACCGGCGTTCTTGGTACCAGTGCCTCCAGAACCACCAGCCGTGCCCGTCGCCTTTGAGCCACCGGAGCCGGCGCTGGTAGCTGTGCAGACGGGAATCTCGGTGGTGAGGTCCGTGAGAGTGGAGCACTGAGAAAGGGCAGAGGCGATGGAGGCCGAGTTGGCGTCGACCCAGCTGAGGACTGCAGAGGTGTAGCTTGCGTAGTCGGAGCTGAGATCGGAGGGGACAGTGACGCTGCAAGGGTCCGTCTGGGTCGAGGCTGTCATCTCGTAGGAAACAAGCTTGGGGGGAGGCGTAGGCGCGTTGGAGTAGACGGTAGCCAGGGCGTTGAGACAGGGGTCGGCCGAAGCGTCGGTCTGGCGCGGGAGGATATCCCGGCGAACACGGTCCGGACGGACGTCCATGACGGCGACAGCCGAGCCGGCGAGGGCGGCGACGAAGGTGATCTTGGCGAGCATCTTGACTGAAGAAAGGTGGTTTGTAGGAAACGAAACTGATTTAATGAGCGTTGACAGTAGAAGTTTGAGAGATGCAATGTTTGTCGGGCTGAGTTGATGACGATTAGAAACCAGCCATAACGGAAGACCGGCAACGCTCAAGTTAAATAGATTCTATCCACGATGAGTGCCCCTGATCCTCAACGTTGGAGCCTAATTTCACACAGCAAAAATCAGGACAACTCCGACGCGCCGGATAGCCGCCATGGAGGACGTGCACTTCCTAGTGGCAGTCTAGTTCTGACACGATGGCGTTGTGAATATGACAGGAACGTCAAGAGATCATAGCCTTGGTGTGGTGATGGAATTAGCATGGCCACCGGCGTGCACACGGATGTCAGGCAACCGTCGACCATTCCCTTGGGGATGCCAAACCTTTCAGCTAGAGCAGATCTTTTCCATGTTTCATCGTGCCATTCTGCCTGGCTTTACCATGAAGAGCAATCTGAGTGAAGTAGCAATGAGCTTAAAGGGTTTAGAGTCGTTTCGACGAGGCATTCAGGGGAGGTGGCTTAGCTAGTTATCAGGCTAGACGGCATCAGGGCTAGGGGTGAACCAGATCGGCTGCCCAGAGCCGAGCGATTATGGGAAAATGACGATGTGTGTCAAGGTCCTGATTCATGCCAGAAAGAGAAGTATAGAAGTTGAGCTGTGGGGAAGATACTGCGTAGCAACGGGATCGCAAGGGACGTTGCTCGTCCTCATATGCCTGGCTGGCTTTTGATGCGATGAGCATGGGATTCAGAATAGACAACCTAGGTACATCTGACCTTAGGTAGTGTATGTATGTGTCGCGTTGCTTCTAATAACAGACAAATTTCAACCAATACGCCTTCGCTGACCTCTTTGACAGTTCCTCATGTCTTCCTCGGCTGATAGAAGTTCAAGCCGTGACAGAGTCAGCCCAGCAGCTGATGTCTTCAAAAATTTGGGGGTGATGTTTTTCAGCCACCGCATTAAACCAATGGTTCAGCCCTGCGCTAAAATTCTTGGCAAATTTAAGCATTCAGATATGCCCAACGGTCGGCGACTGTGTGGCGTCAGCTGAGACTCCTCGAATTCCCTTTCTCAGAGGCTTTCCCGAAACGGCAATCAGCTGGGCGAACGAGTGTAAAGTAGCCTGCGCCTTACAAGGCATCAAGATGAAGTTCTTTATCTACAATCAGGCAAGAATCTTATTGCGTTTATTGAGGGTAAATAAGCAGAAAAGGGTCTATCTGTGCGTGAAATACACCAAACCCACTTGCAGGATCTCTGAGTGAGGACTATACCTCACTGTTGCAGTCCAACGATGCCAACCTTGAGAAACTCTGGGTTGTTATCGATGTTTCTCTTGATATCTCCCGTTCTCAATTCATCAATATCCCAGGCAGCCCAGACGAAGCGACCATGCAGGAACCGAGCTTCGTCTGAAGCCGCCCACACAGCAAAGTGACCACCCAGCTTCTCTACACGAGGAAGTCAGTCAGTCGGATTCCTTCGTCGCAAAAATGCCCATGAGAACCACTCACCATCATCAAATGGATAGATGTCTCTGGGAACATAAGACTTGAAGATGTCCGTGTAAACAACACCCGGGTGGAAGTTGATGATTTGCATCTTCTCAACAGGCGTATCATTGGCGATTCTCTGCAGGAGCATGGTGCCCGCGTTTTTGGTCGTGCTGTACGCGGGCCAAAGAGCCGCCTTGGGGAAGTTATGGGTAGCTTCAGTTGAGACGCTGACGAGGAACTATCATGGTTATTGATGTCAGCCATACTATTCAAGCCAACCCGACCGGGAGTCGCATGAAACACACCTTTTGACGATTCTCGCCTGCCTTCTGTTTGTAGAATTTCTCGGTAAAGTCGAGGTGGGATCGCACATTGACAAGGTACTGGCTCCAGACCTCATCGCGACCCAGCTCCAGGATGGGGCTACCAGCCGAAACAATTGCAGCATTGAGGATCAGCACATCAACAAAGATGCCATGGTTCTCGAAGCTCTTCCAAAGCGCATCCGTCTCGCCAAGATCGCCTATATCAGATTGGCGGCCCTCGATCTTTACAGAAGGATACTCTTTGCGAAGCTGCGATGCGGCTTCGTCGAGGACGTTCTGGCGCCGGCCGAGGATGATGATGTGTTTGGCACCGGCTTGGGCGAACCCCTGCGCAATGGAGAAGCCAATTCCAGCGGAGCCACCGGTGATAACGACCGTCCTACCGGCTTGAGACAGCTCTGGGCGAGCAGGGTCGATAGTCGGATAGGTTGTCTTGTGGGTGGTCTTGGTGAAGGTGCTGCCGTCTTGACCGGCGGTTTTGGCAAAGAGGGTATCCATGGCTGTCGAATCTTGTTAAAAGGCGTTGGCTGCGATTGCGTAGTCGAATTGATCGAGTTTGAGCGCGCTGATACTGTTGCGGGAACCCTCACTTGAAGCCAACTGAAGATTCCCTTCTCTTATACCAACGACTGTAGCCATCATCCATCTACACGATCACGATCACGTCTTGCGTCGCGAGAATTCGCTCGCCAACAAGTGAGCTCCGTTTTGTCATCATCGGAAGCACTCATCAAAAATTGGTTGGTTGTTCCTCTGGAAAAAGAGCTTTGTAAGAACATGCGGCCGCTTTCCCGCCAAGCCCCGCAAGAAACCCGACGGAACTTCCGCAAGATTCCCGCAAACTTGCCGCCGGAAACCCGCAAAACCCGCACGAATCGGCCGCGCCCACCGCCAATGCTCCGGCTTACGTCTTCGGAGCTGACAAACGTCAGGCCTCTGCTGCAACAGCCACATTTGTCCTCCATCCCGCTTCTCAATCATCAGTAACGTTATTTCGTGTTAACGACGACCCCGCTAGAGTAAACAATCGTGCAAGAGCACTTCCCGTCGGATAACAGTCGGGGCTCTGCTTTCATCCGCGCCGCCCGAGATCCTTCTCTATTGCATCGCGCGATGGCGCGCATTTCCAAGCAAAAAGCATGCATAGCCTGCACTGAATCCAAGCGCCGCTGCGATAAGGGGCTCCCATCGTGTACACGGTGCGACGATCGGGATGTCGACTGTCACTATCCTGTCACCAAGCGCCGACGGCCCCGGCCCCACGAAGCCGTCGGACTCTCAGAAGCAGCCGTTTCATCTGCGGCGGCGGTAGCATCACCAGACCTCTTCTCTCTTGACTCCGGTCCTCTATCCATCGGACTGGGAAGCAACCCGTGGATCGACTTTGGAAACCTCCCTTCCGACGTGAACACCGCGCAACCCGCCGCCGCACCTGTCAACCCACAAGCATCCGCCCCTCTGCCGCAACAGGCCCCCAACACCACAACCTCAGACACAGACAGAGATCCGGTCGTACGAGACATCGCCCGGAGCAAATGGTTCCTCGCCCCTTCGACATGGCGCATCGACCACTTACCAACGCTCCCACGAAACATCTACCCGACCTCGGTCCTGACAAACTTCACCCGCGGCCTCCAGACTTGGGTCCACCGCTGGGTCCTGCACGGCCACAACCCCTTCATTCATCGTAGCATGTACGCAGAAGGCAACTACTTCCCCTCATGTCTCCAAGACGCCTTCACCTCCGCGTCCATGTACCACCACAAGACACCCCAAAACGAAGCTTTCGTCTACCGAATCCTCGACGAGAGGGTAACAGCCATGATGGCATCCCAGCCCGTCACGGACGAGACATCCCTCTCCGTCCCGCTTCTAGAAACACGAGACCACCTCGCAAGAGTCCAGGCCCTCTTCGTCTACACCGTCCTCCGCCTCTTCGACGGCTCCATAAGCCAACGCGCCGCCGCCGAGGTCCACCTCCCGACCCTGTCCCTCTGGTGCAGACAGCTCTGGGACTCGGCCTCCCTCGACGCCAACGCCCTCTCGGAGAACCTTGTCCCCGTCTCGAAATACTGCAACGACATGTCCGCCCAACGAAACAACCCCCGGGACGAGGACGACACCTACGACTCGGACCTCTCAACCTACAACCTCTGGGTCCTCTCGGAATCCGTCCGCCGCACGTGGCTCATCGTGACGTGCACCGTCGGTGTCTACGCCACCCTCAAAGGAAGCTGGTCAGAGTGCCCCGGCGGAGCTCTCTTCACCGCCCGCGCAGGCCTCTGGGACGCCCCGTCCGCCCCGCGATGGGCGTCTCTCTGCAGAGAGCTGGCCGCGGGGAACAAAGACGCGTACGAGCGTTTGACGCGGGAAGAGACTCAGACTGGTGGTGTTGGCGGGACATGCTGCGATGGGACCTTCTTCGTTCCGTCGTTCCATTCCGAGGGCTTGTTTCGCAACGCTGCTGCCGCCGACGTGGACGAGTTTGCGAGGCACCTGTTCACCATCATCTGGGGTCTTGACCGAGTTGAGAGTTGGGCTTTGAAGACGGCGTCGGCGGGGGAGGTTTGTCTTACTTACTAGAGTATGCCACATGTACAATCAATGACACGGCGTTGGGCGGTTGGCCTTGTAAGGTGTCTCACATCTTCAGAATCAAGAACAAGTAACAATCAACGTATATACATGTACAACTTTTTCATGCCAACAGTGTGACAGGAGATGGCATGGTGCATAAAACAGCTTCCATTTATTTGCAAGGCATGATCATTACCGTCAACGCCCGTCGAGGCAGGACCAGACACTTCGACATCTAGGCCTTTTGCGTTCCCCTTACCTTACTATAATCAAATTTCATTCGAGACAACCGAGCACAGATTTTCCTACTCGTCGTCCTCTTCAGCCTCCTCTTCTTCTTCCGCTTCCTCCTCGGCCTCCTCAGCCTCCTCCTCGGGTTCTGCGGGTGACTCAGTGCCGTTGACCGCCTTGACCTCAGTCACCTCGGTGGCAATGCCGCCCTCCTTCTCGAGCCTCAACCACTCATCCCACTCAGGGAAAAGCTCCTCGTCCTCTACGGGTGCGCCAATCATCTTAGACACGCGACCCTTCTTGCCCTTGTCGAGGCTCTCCTTCCACTCCTTGACAACCTCTGCCGTCAAACTGGGCTTGTATGTTTGCGAGAACAGGACAGCCTCGGCTAAGCGGCCGGTCTTGGTGAGGATCTCCACACAGCCAGCGACATCACCAAGCAGCCATTGACAACTGAAGGCGACGTTGTGAGCACCAGCCTCCTGGGCCTGCTCGGCCAGTTTTGAAAGACCACTGCGGTCGGAAGTAGAGGAGTAGAGCAGGAGGAGGGATCCAAGATCCTTGGCATGAGTAAAGCACTCTTGTGCGACGGCGACCTGCCATCCTGCAAGAGCGGCATCACCGACTGTCTTCCACTTGTGCTCGACGTCAGCTTCCCTGGCGAGCTCAAGAGCGGTGTCAAGCTGGCCCAGACCAAGGGCAAGCTCGAACTTGTGCTCGGGGTCGGTCGCGACCTCCAGTGCCAGCTCCTTGTGGCCCTGGCCCTCCAAGAAGCGCGCAATCTTGTTAAGCTGATCCGCGGGAATTGTTGGCAGAAGCTCCTGTGCCGTCTCCATATCGTCACGGAGGACCAGAGTCTGGTACTCGAGGACGGGCAGGGACAGGGCAAATGAGGTAACGGCAACATCCTTGTCGGCAAGGTAGATCCTTGAGTCGCGCTGAATGTAGCCCAGGATGTACATGGACTGGTCAAAGTGAGAGACGGTGTAGGTCTGATCACCAACGAGGTAGTTCAAACGGTTGGTGCTGTTGGTGTAGAGGAAGCAGTCGCCAACCCACTCTCCGGTGCGGACGCTGTTACCATGTCAGTTAGGATCATTGCCAGTTGAGCGAGCGTCCTACCTCTCGTTGATATCGGTAATGACCTCAAAGGCGGCCTCGACGCCATCCTCATCGGCTTCGCCAGACTGAACGCCCTCGACGTAGGCCTCACGTGAAAAGCGGAGGACGTAGAAGGTGTCTTCGCATGCGAGAGCAACAAGCTCACCACTGTCGGACCAGTACACCTGTGCCTATTAGCATTCGTCCGCAACACGTAAACCATATCCAACATACCTCTCTCGGCTCAACCTCGATTCTTCTCACAAGGCCGCCGGTTTGCCAGTCGAAGAACGAGATACCACCCTGGCCCTTAACACCGAGCAGAACACCGCCGGTGAGGCCGTCGGCCTGGAAGCCAACATCGAGGCCGCCCGACTTCTCAACAAAGTTCTTGTAAACCTTGACGCTCGTCGCCGACTCGCGGATGGCGAAGTCGTTGGTGTTCTCCTTGGCCGCCCAGACGAAGTCCAATGCAGAACCGAAAGCCTTGTTGCGCCATGCCAGGGCTGTGTAGATGATGTACTCGCCGTCACCGCAGACAGCAACAAATCGTCCGTTGGGGTTGTGGAGGAGAGTCGAGGGGTACACTTCGCAAGTGCCCATTTCCTTGACGGGGAGGGAGATGGGCTCGTTGTCCTTGATAGAGGCATCTAGGCTTGTTAGCGACTATTGCAAAGACCAAGAATGGCCATAACCTACCTCCACCCTTGATGATGGCCGAAACGACCTCGTTGTGGCGGGCCCAGATGAGCTTTCCTGAAGCGTCCATGGAGACGGCAGGCTCCTCGCGACCAAGCTTGACGACGACCGCGCCATCATCGAAACCAACAGCGACGCCCTGCTTGCCCTTCTGGTAGGAGACACACCATGCGCGCTCCAGGCCGTAGTTCAGAGATTGCTCGAAACGGTAGGTGTTGGCGTGCCATATCCTAATGGTGCCGTCCTCGGATCCGGAAATGATAACTGGCAATTCGGGGTGGTAGCACGCGAAAGAGACGTTATTCGTGTGGCCCTCGAGGGTGGCGATCAGAGACTTGGTGGTGTAGTCCCAGACCTTGACGGTACGGTCGTCGGACGTTGTCAGGAGGTAGGGCTTGTCGGAGTGAGGGTAGTAGTCGACGTGGTTGACGCCCTTGGCCTCGTGGGCCTCGAGGGTGAAGTTGGGGGTCGCGGAGCCGAGGCTCCAGATCTTGACGGTGCGGTCCAGGGAGGCGGACGCGAAGGTGTTGGTGTCCTTGGGGTTGATGGCCAGGCCCATGACATAGTGGCCGTGGCCCTCGAAAACCTGCACGCACTTCCAGCCCTTCTCCCAGTCCCAAAGCTTGATCGTCATGTCATCGGAGGCGGTCAGGACGAAGGGTTGTGTCGGGTGGACGGCGATGGCTCTGATGTAGTCGGGGTGAGCCTCGAAGGAGGTAATCTTCTCTGAGGTGTTGTAGTTGTATACGCGGATCTGGAAGTCATCGGATCCGCAGACGATCCAGTTCTTTCTTGCGACGAATCGGCCAGCTCGCACAGGGACGTCGGTGAGCTCGAAGGTCTTGACGATCTGCTGGGTCTCGTAGGACCAGATGTAGACATGGCCGCTGTAAAGTGTCGTGAGAATCCATGGCTCCTGGGGGTGGAAGTCAATGCCTTTCACCCGCTCGCTGCGGGCGAACAATTGACGCTGGAGGCCGAGGTCAGTTTTGGAGCTATTCAGGAGATGACAGACTGGCGACAGCTGTGGAGCTATCGCGAACGCTGCCAAGGAGCTGCCATTCCCATGCGACAGAGAAAGCTCTGGGGATTAGATTGAGATGAGACGTACCTTGACGTCGACCTTCATCGTGAACACCTATACAGATACCAGCAAGGGAGGAAGGGAAAGGTGATGCTGTCCTCGAAAGGCGAAGTGGGGTGGGATATGCGGCGCTGATGACGACTCTCACGATGGGCTCATGTGTCGCGTTTCGTGGAAATCGAGTAACCAGTTGGTGTATTAGAGTAGGCTGCTGGAAGCCGGTCGCGGAGGTGGATTGGGAAGCCGCAGGAAGGTGTGTCGTGGGAATTGATGGCTTCCAGAGCTATGGCAGTCGCAATTTTGGCCAGGTCGGTATTTCGAGCTTCAACAGATGTGTCCCTACCGCGAGTTCAGGAGCTGATTGGTGCCTGACTACATGTGGCTTTTGCCTAAGGCAATCACAATCAAGCCACGCACTCCCTCGCTCTGTTCCGCACCAAGAGAGACAGCCCCAGCCACAGCATCTTTGGACGAGCGAGCATCAGCCACACTACCCCCACAGGGTTCAATGTCCGTGCCACTGCCACCACCTGTCCCTGGGCACTTACTTAGTACAGCTGCTCTTTTTCTGTCTTGGGGCGCGGAGTCCGTTTGTGTAATCTCACGATAACTTCACTCAAACACTACCAGTACCATGCATTGGCACACATTTCTACACCGCGAAACATTTGGCTAGGAACATAATGCACTGGTATGATCCACTACAATGAATTACCATCCAGGGAGGCTTAAAAACCTGATGGGTTATTGTCACAAATACAGATAATATTTCGAGATTTTGAAACTCAATTTAGTATTGAACATGCCGAGACCTAATGACTCGGCCTCCAACCTGATGGGTTGTAGTGACTAACAAAGCACATGCAGGGATCTGTATCCCTATATCCCAAAACGCCGCGCCTTTCCCATGATATGCTAAACTCCAAAAGATTCCCGATGCCGTTAATCATAAAGTTGCTTAAAGGTGAGGACCTTGTAGTCACTCCTCACTGTCGGCCTGGACCCTGCGGACAACCTCGACAAGCATGGGGTGAATCTTCTCGCCGGCCTGGATGCCGCAAATCTTGGTGACAACATCCTCAGGACCATTCTCAGACATGATCTGAGCAAGCTCCTTGCTCTCATCGTCTCCCTCGACCTCCTGGAAGCGGAAAGCCATCTCCGCAGCGCGGAGGAGGGCGGAGCAGTCCTGTCCCTTCTCGGCGAGCTCAGCAGCAGGGCCGACAAAACGCTCCTTGCGGCTAAGCTTGCGGAGCGGGGCACGGCCGACACGCTCGACAGCATCTTCGAGATGAGGGTTGCCGATGCGGCGAATGATCTTGGCAGCGTATTCGCGCTGGGCCTTCTCGTCAATGCCGTGCTTGCTGATGATCAGGTTGCTAGTCTCCTCAAGAGCCTTGCGTACCTCGGCCATAATGGCCTTGTCCTGGAGGGCGTCGTAGACAGTACGCTTGCTACGGTTGTAACCGTGGTAAGCAGCAGTAGCATGACCGGTGTTGACGGTGTAGAGCTTGCGCTCGATGAAGGGGGCGAGCTCATCGACCCAGTTGATGCCCTCAATGCTGGGAGTCTGCGCGAAGGGAGTGCGCTCAACAACCCACTCGTAGAACTTCTCAAGGGTAACGTCCAAGCCGGCGTCAGGGTCCTGAGCAGGGACGATACGGTCAATGGCAGAGTTGGCGAAGCGAGCACGCTCGTCGTAGTCCTCAAGGCGGTGGGGTGCGGTGTTTCTGGGGTCCTTGATGTGCTGGGCAAGGGTGTCGGTAGCACCAATGGCGTTTTCGCAAGCAATGACGGCAATGGGAGCCAGGTTGCTGGGTCGCTTGTCAATACCCTTAGCGATGACAGGGGCGATGAACTTCAGGATGTTCGGGCCGACAGAGCAGGTGACAACGTCGGCGGTGGCAATCTCCTCGACCAAATCAGCCTCATGTGATTTTGAATTGATGGCGCGGTAGTTTGTGATGACGTTCTCGTTAGTGCCCTCGGCGCCAACCTCAATCACACGATATGAGGGGGTCTCGTTGAGCTTGTTAATGAGAGCATCGGCGACATCGGCAAAGACCACCTCGTAGCCGGAGTTGTGGAGGAAGCAAGCGACGAATCCACGGCCGATGTTGCCGGCGCCGAAGTGGACGGCCTTCTTGGTTTGTGTTGTTGACGACATGTTGGATATGTGTATAATGTGGTGTTGGGGAAGTAAAGATGTTGGTACAGATAATCCGACTTAGGAGTCTTGTATAGGTGTGTAGAGTTTGTGGTGTTTGGATGAGATCGATGTGAGATCGAATGAAGTTGGATAATGGTCTGATGGGATGCTCAAGACAGAGCAGGAGACTCGGGGGAATCAGGTAAACTTATATTTCGGGAGACTTCGCCTTCACAGAAGGACGCCCACGATGTAATCAAGTGCGAGTGCCTATAAGAAGGCGGCATGGGATGGCCTTGACGTGTGAAAGGCTCATTTACAGTGGGGGCATCGGCTCAAAATGGAAAGCATGAGGGGAGTGGATGCAAAGGAGGGGTGGACCCATGCGATACGTCGCAGTGACAGTACGTATCCATGACCACTACGTAAACGTCAGTGTACGAATACGTACCGGGCAGAAGGAGGGATCAGGGGACGTGAGACTGAAGGGGAGAGAGGGGACCACCCCGGCTCCTTGGCTCCTGACTCCCTGACTCCCTGACTCCTGAGGCAGACACCTCCCTCACTGCTGCGTATCAAGGACAGACCAAGGACGGGATGGCCCAGGGCAATGACATAACGCCGCAGCGCCCCCAGCCATGCCATCATCCCCATTATTTCCTGCCTTTGGCGCGAATAGACAGCGCGCCTCTTCCCCTTCATCCCGTCACCCTGCCCGCCAGTCTCCGCTTCATTGAAACGGACCGGCGTCGAATTAGCTCTCGACTGCGGCCCTTCGCTGAGCAGTAGGGCCAACGAGCATGCAGCATTTCGTCAAAGAGCCTTGCCGTGTCCTCTGAACAGGTCTGTACCGGTACTTTCACCAGTACAGCTCGCCATCTCCACTGAGGGGAGGGGGGTGTCAGCCGGGAAACACACACAATGAAGAGGGGTGCAGCTCCTCCGTTGGTTCGGGATGGGATGGATGTGGATGAATGGGGATGTGGATAAGGCACAAGGGAACCGACGACGTGCTGCCTTTCGTAGGCGCCCCTTCGTACTCTCGTTGGACCAGATTTAGTGGTTGCATTTTGAGTACTGGCAAACGGCTGGAAAGGATATCACAAGCTTTCCGTGTTGATGCCGCAACACGTCTGCTTCTGACGTTCGGTCCTTGCCTCTCTTTTCCTCGCGCCCATTAGTCTGGATGGTGGGATCTCTTCCATCTTCATGCCCGTCAGAAAGTAATGGCTCCACCGGCGCAGAGAGAGAGTAACAGCAATGGCAACCTAGAGAGGCGAGGCAAGCTGAAAAGGGTCACCCGTGAAGAATCACAAGCATGGCATGTGGTGAGCGCTCTAGCAGCTGGTGTGCCTCAAGTGTGTGTGTGAGAGAGTGGTGGTGTGGCACATCGCTTATGACCCCAACAAGGGGCATATGCCAGAACGCCCAAGGCCTTAGCATATCCGCACTATCACTTCAAAATAGACCAGCCGAGACACTGACACTGGCTTATCATCACCGTGATTGAACGCCTGCGTTGCTTGCTTGACCTGCCTGGCCTGTCTGCGGGATGGCTATATCCTTCACTGAAAGGATATACCGTACGCCCGCTCCGAGTACCTCAGCCCCTCTATGTACTGCCCCTCCAGAGGGCCCGTGGTCCGGGTGTTGATGGGTGGGCGGGCGTATGGGTGGATGAAAGCGATGCCGGTTCCGTCCGGTCTGGAACCACGAGGACCCTGAAATGAGTGCAACATGGAACATGTGGTGGCCTGGGCCGCAATGATGACCAGTACCTGATGGCATAGCATGAGTGCCAGCACCACCTCAAGTCTCTCGCGTGGACTTGTCCAAAGCGGGCGGCCAGTGTGTCGAGCAATATCAACGTTGGCTCATGAAGGGGGAATGCCATGGCTGGCGAGTGGCCGAGGTAGAGGTAATTTTTGTGCGTTATCGTGACATCGGATCGGGATGAAAATCAATCGCAATCGTGGATCAGCAGTCTGTTACCGATAGGTCGCACTATTGGGGGTCAGGGACTGGTGCTTCCGTGGCCTGTTCCTGAATCTCCCTGCGCCCGCCTCACGGTGAATGGTCGGACGGAGCGCCGAAGGCGCCGAGATACCATGGTGAAGATTTGAGGCCAAGGCGGCATTGGCAGAGTGTATTTGGAGGACGCAACGTTAAATGACGATCGCGTCCTTTGAACGCTCCTTGCGGTAATTTTCGAAAGGGCCGGCCTGCAACCCGAGCAACAAAATTGGTCCAGAAACAATGCGATGCCACGTCCGTCAATCAAGCGCAAACTTGTCAGAGAATCGCTAAATGCAGTCTGTATACCATTAATCGGAACATGAGCGGGGGTGGCTCGGCTGTCCTGGCCGCCGGGCTGAATGAGCATTGAAGATGGGCTGCGGACAAATCAACATCAACAAGAGCGTGCCATGGATCATGGAGTGATGGGTGTTGCGAATGGTGAAAGGCCCCTCTTCGGTTGATTTTGGCAGACTGCCCCTCATTCTGCTCGGCGTCGCCTTGCTTGCGCCTTGCCCCGCGCCCAGCCCCCCCTGGTCTTCTTCAGTGTCGATCGGTGGTTGCAACTCTGATTTCAGCCATGAAACGGGACGGATTCCCGCGAAGGAGGTTATCTGAGGATTGGGGTGATTACGGCGGCGGTTGTTCGTCGGCTCGCAGGAGCGCTCCGTCAGGGATGGGCGCCACAAACGCTTCGGTTTGATTCGTGGAGGGGACGAGATGGCGCCACTTTGGTGTTTGCTGTCGCGGCGCCCAGGCGAGGAGGCCCCGCAGCTGCTCGCTTTATTGACGCCGACGGTGACGAGACGGGCATGATGCAGCGGAGATTCGGAGAGATGGTGAATAGGCATACCAGGACAGTTGTAGGGCACGTATCCGT